CAGAATACGTAGCATCATGTTATAATTCTTCGAGCTAAGTTCCTCAGGAGAAGCCTCCTTACTCCACTGGAAAAACCTTTTCGCAACATCAGGGTTTGATTCGAGCTTTCTCAAAACCTTCAAAGCTAAATCTTGGCTAATCACTACATCACTCGATTCCAACTCTTTCCTAATCTCATCCTCACCATTCAATCTGCTAAAGATATCAATCACGATAGTCTGAGCAGAAGATTTCTCTTCAACAGCAGGCTCAGACGAGAAGCTTCGACCCACTGATATCCCAAAGGAGCCAGAGCTCGTCACTGGGGATCGTAAGGAACCAAGTTGTTCGATTTGTTGCAAAGCTCCGATCCCAGAACGTAACTGAAGGAAAGAAGAGAAATATCGGGTTGAAATGGAGGTTACCTGAGAACAAGGAGAAGGATGAGATCGATGGTAGGTTCGAAGAAGCAGCAATCGCCATTGTTGATATCTCATCTCGGATTTGATCTGGGTTACCGAAAATACAAAAGGGTATCGGTTATTGGATTTGATCTGAATCAAAAAGCTTGATCCTTTAGAAAGAAACGAGAGACAAGAGGAACAGCGATTGCGAAGCTCTGGGAAATGTTAGGGTTTTAGTGAGGATTTTGATTTGAGAGGAAATGAGACCATCTAATTCAGATAGAAGGTCCCATCGCAATGACGCAGAGCAAACAAAAACATCTTAATATTTTTTTTCAACTTGATGATTTCTAAATTTATATTTTTTTCTTCTATAGATTGCTTTTCTTATTTCCGTATGTTGTTTTTCAAAAGTTTACATTTTTATTCTTTATATTTATATATTTTTTTTCTCATAAATATCTTAATATATAAAATATTAAAATTTTAAAATATTAATTAACGTAATGTCAAAAATGTTAACTAATGTCAAAAAATATTTACATTTTTTTATTATTTTTCTTTTATGTATTTGATAACAAAATTTATATTCAGAATTGTTTCATATTTTTAGATATTTCGTTTATAAATTTAATAATCCTTAAAAATTAAAACTTTACATTTTGATTATTTATATTTTATATTATGTTTTTAAATAACAAAAGATTATAATTAGAAATATTTCCATATTTTCAAATATTTCTCTAATTGTTTTTTTTTTCCTTTTTACTATATCTTTTAAATAGAAATTTATCAGAATTAAAATATGCTAATTAATGAGATGGCAAACCGCGATTGGTGGTTTAACATCCTACGTGGACGGCCTCAGGAGCTTATAGCCTCTGACTTCTATATAGTATAGATTTTCATGAGTTTATTTTAACCTTACAGTTCCCCAAAACCTTTGTTTAGTTTAACCTCATAGTTTTTTTTTTTGGTTTTAATGTTCAATTTTATACCAAAAAGTAAATGGGATTCATACATACATACTAAAAGACTAAAACTAACAACCCATTGGCACCCTATTGGAGAGATACAAAAGAAGAATGTTCTTTTTAAAAGATTACAATAGATGCGAGAAACAACCCAAGTGATCCTTGGAAAGAAAAGAGAGAAGACGATCCCACATAGTGCGATCAATGGAAGTTTTGATAGAGAAGTTTAACCTCGTTACTCATAGTTCCTTCGAGAAGTATAGTAGATGAAGGAATAAGACGCACGACGGGAAAAACTAGAAATATTAATCTGACTAAACGGCTACGTTTCGTTTAAGTAGTCTTCCTTGTTCATAGGCCTGGGCGTTCGGATATTCGGGTCGGCTTCGGGTCGGGTTTTTCGGGTTCGGGTTTTTCGGGTTTAGAAAACTAAGACCCGTTCGGGTATTTTGAAACTTCGGGTTCGGGTCGGGTTCGGATCTGGTATTTCGGGTTCGGATTCGGGTTTACCCGAAGTATCCAAATATTAGAAATTTTGTATCCGATTCTATCCAAAGTATTGAAAAATACTCAAAAAATCTATAAAACCTAAGTATTTTATACCCGAATGTAACCCAAAGTAGTTAAAACACCCGAAAATATCTTAACATCCGTATAATTTAGGCACTTAGGTTATTACAAGTATAAATATTACTAATATATTATAACTATGTACTTATATTTGGGTATGTTCGGGTACTTGTTCGGGTTCGAGTTCGAGTCGGGTTCGGGTTCGGGTTTTCGGGTTGTGAAGTTTAGAACCCGTTCGGGTATTTTAAAACTTCGGGTTCGGGTTCGGATCGGGTTTTTCGGGTCGGGTTCGGTTCGGTTCTTCGGGTTCGGGTATTATACCCAGGCTTATTCATACGAATGAAACGACGTTGTTTTCATAGAGTCATAGAGAATCACAACGTTTTTATTCTAACCGAAACAAGACAAGAAACGTGTTTTCGATTGAGTAAGCAGGATAAATTATCATCTTTTTGTAGTTTAATTTAGTTCATGATATTGTTGTGGTCTATATATCAAGTTATCAACATGCGTTTTGTAAGAGAACTTGTAATTTTTGTATATGGTGTTATTCATCTTTTTCTCTATCTTTTTTATATGTGTTTTTAGTTTATTTATTTATTTATTTTTTTTTTGGTTTTAGTGTTTTTAGTATTTGTTCAAAGACATTATATTCACTAAAAACAATGAGTTGTTTGTTTTCTTTTTCCAATTTTTACTTTACTTGAGAGAATTAAATGTTATAACAAATGATCAAAACTTGCATTTCTTTTTTATATAAAATGGATAGACGAGCCAAACTTATACACATACATACATAGCCGATCTTAAAAATGTGATGGCCCCAAGCAAAATAAAAAAAAAAATAGTGTACTAAATGTCGATTTTTTTTTACCGCAAAATAAATTCATCCATTCAAGCTAGAAAAGGACGGTTTTCTTCAGGAGAAATCCAGTCCGGTACAGAAGAGTTTACATGGGAAAAGATAGAACCGCGTAATTGTGCCTTTTTTATGAGACAGTCAGCACGGGTATTGTTACAACGTGAGATAAAAGATAAAGTAAAAGAGGGGAAAATTAAAGAGACTTCAACGAACTAAAATCTTCTAACTCCGAAGCAAAAGCAGTCCACTCATCGGGAGTGGCTAAGACTTGAGTTATCAACTCTCTTTTTATTATTATTCTTTATGTGAGCGATCAAACTCCCCAAACGATATTAAAATGGATCACAACACATAAGTCGATCCGATTCAGAATTATTGAAGTTTTTTAAAAAGGCAGTTCCTATAATTATTAAACACACTAAAGGTCTGGCTAGCTTCTATTGAGCTACCTCTCCATTACACAAAGGAAATCACGTAAACGAGACCATTACATGGAAGTATGGAACTATCAAACCAATTTGAGTTAATCCGATTTGATTCCTTAATTATAACCACCTAACACTATTTTAGTTTAACTTCGATGATAACCAACAGGCAACAGGTATAACTATTCTTGAAAATAGCTAATCTTTATAATGATCTTAAATGATATAACCAAATTCTTTTCATATAGATTTGTTTTACTCAAGAAAAAATAGATTGCCAGAAATTTCACTTCTGCTAATGAGATGAGTTCTATATATTGTTATAATGGCTATGAGATGACTAATAAAAAGCGCAAAGAAAACTCAAATACTGGATGCGGATTATTCATAATACAATGGGAAACTGAAGAATAAAAGTTCATATATGTAACTCTAATTCAACCATAACTGTTTGGATTGGCAAACATAAACTCAAAAAAAAAATATAAGTTGGTCCATAAAAGAATTACTTCATACTCTCGAGCGAAAGGACGTATCCGTATCCGTCCCCGCACCATCGAGACCATGGGCGCATCGCCGCCTCAACCCAACTTACTGATCGGACATCAAAACCATGTATTGTTGCAACAAGTGGCGGACCCAGAAATAAATTTTACCGGAGTCATAATATAATAACTTAACATTAAATATTTCTTTTATGATGAAAAAACTTTTGAAGTTAATTTAGCTTAATAATATGTTTTTAATCTATCAAGAGTATCTCTCTATTTTTGTTTGTACTTTAAAAAAATGTATAAATGAAGTGTTGTTTGACAGCAAAAAAGAAATAAAACCAAATAACTGAAAAATAAATAAAAAATACGTGAAAATCTATGGAAGAAAGTGTAATAGAAGGTGTAAACCAAAAAGAAAAAGAAAAAAAATAACAGAAATTAGAGGTAAAATCTGATAGAATGGGTGTCAAAAAGAGATTCCATCTAGATTTTAGGAGGGTCAAAAGAGTGTTTTTACCATTTTATCTAGTGAAACCAACATAATTATAATATAAAAACAATAAATACCAAAATTTTAGGTGTGTCATTTGACCCCCTAATTGCCTTAGTGGGTCCGCCAATTACCAACAAATATACTGTTTATAAGACATGGCTCCATTAATTCCAAACACTGGATTTGAGTAGAAAGTTACCAATTCATAAAACTAATTTATATAAACTTTTTCAAAATTTGTTAAAGAAAAAAAACATGAAAATACGGGAGGTTCGGCAAACACAACATTTTAACTTGCCAAACATACCATCTAACTTTCCCCCCTTCTACAACGCACCATTTAAAAAAAAAAAAAAAATCTTTTTTAATTTTTTCGCCAATAATAATAACACGAAATGTTTGCCAAACGCATATGCGACAAAGCCACGTTACATATTTCTATTTACAGCCATAGATATAGAGCAGCTATAACATTGTTAAAAGAAACTAAAAAAATCTTTACTATAACATACAGAGTATTCGAGATATTTTGAAAGACTCATCTTAGTAAATAAACTTAAAAAATAAAACACGGAGGCGAGAGGACCACAGTCCACACAGAAAGAGTCTTCACATATCCTATAATATCAAATTGATATTACCAAACTAAAACGACACGTGAAGTCTTGAACAGTCAGTAAAAAAGCTACCGACATAAGGCAAAACTGATCGTACCATTAAACGTAATCCACGTGGTTTCAGATTACACGTGGCACCACTCCATTTGGCCTATAAATACAAACCCTTAAGCTCACATCTCTTCTCATCATCCATCTTCTCTACCAAAAAACACACACCAAAAACGATTTTACAAGAAGAAAAAAATGTCAGAGACCAACAAGAGTGCCTTCCAAGCCGGTCAGACCACTGGCAAAGCTGAGGTACTCTTTCTCTCTTTGACAAAACTTACTGAAAAACTTTCATTTTCTTGTTTGATTTAGTTTGTCATAATTATGTTACTGATTTTTTTTTTTTTTTTTTTTTTTTTATGTTACTGATTTTGTGTTGACCATGGTGGTTATAGGAGAAGAGCAATGTTCTGCTGGACAAGGCCAAGGATGCTGCTGCTGGAGCCGGAACTGCCGCACAACAGGTAAACGATCCATACACACACATTTTGACTATATGTAAAGAAATATACGTCTTCATAAGCTTTAATTACATATACGCAGATTTCTGATGTTTTTATATGGTTTTATGTATATGTTTTAGGGGGGAAAGAGTATATCGGATACGGCAGCTGGAGGTGTTAACGTCGTGAAGGAGAAGACCGGCATGAACAAGTAGAGCTTCGAGTCAAAATTGGGAGTTATAATTTCCCGTATCTAATTAGTTGTTGGGATATTAAATAAACTTGGGACTCATAATTGATTCTCATATCCAATCCGACCAATCGTACTTGTTGTTGTCTTTAGTGTTGTAATGTTTTAATGTTTCTTCTCCCTTTAGATGTATGTTTGGATGTTTATGTATTTTTAGCTTCGGGTTAATCAACAACATCTAGTTTAAGTTCCAACAACTTTGTGTTTATCCTTTCTATATTTTTAATGCTCTTAATATCCCTAAGGAGCCAGAGCTCTTCATTGGGGATATCCCTAATTAAGGAGCCAGAGCTCTTCACTGGGGATCGTAAGGAACCAAGTTGTTCGCTTTGTTGCAAAGCTCCGATCCCAGAACGTAACTGAAGGAAAGAAGAGAAATATCGGGTTGAAATGGAGGTTACCTGAGGACAAGGAGAAGGATGAGATCGATGGTAGGTTCGAAGAAGCAGCAATCGCCATTGTTGATATCTCATCTCGGATTTGATCTGGGTTACCGAAAATACAAAAGGGTATCGGTTATTGGATTTGATCTGAATCAAAAGCTTGATCTTTTAGAAAGAAAAGAAATTTTCAGTTTTGTTCTCATGTTTTGGCAAAGTGAGATTGACCTCTTAGAAAATAGCCAATTGAGCTATTTCAGACCAAATTACCTTTAGAGAACAACTATTCTTGTTTGGTTACGTTTCTTAACTCTTCTACAACCAAATTATATGAAAGAAAAAATGATTATATAATTTTTTTACTTAAACACAGAGCCGTGCCAACATCGGTAATCAACAGAAGCGATAAAAAATAAAATGTTTCCTCTTATAAAAAAATCTTTACAATAATTACCATCATTAATATCAAAAGACATGTAAATGACTAAAATTACCAAACAAATAGTATTTGTAGTAGCATTTTTTTCTTTCTTTTCAACATAATCATTAAATAAATTCTTAAAATCAAAGTTTATAACTAATATAATGATGAATGGCTAAGTCATTCAATATGTCATGTGGTATACTCAAGATTATATACGATAACCAATTCAACAATCTCACTTCATAGATGAAATGACTAAATCTTTTAATATTTCTATATTATATTGTTTACATAGCTATTTGTAAAACCATAATTTTTATTGTGTAAACCATAAGGTTTCAATGTTTAAGCATATGTTTCTATAGCCATATTATTTGATTTGAGTACATATAAATAAAAATGAAAAATATGCCCTTAAAATTTTCCAAAAATTTATATGCCCTAAGCCAATGTTTTAATTTTTTACATTGTGGCACGGCTCTGCTTAAACATATAAAAAAATTTAGAAAATCAGAATTTAAAGAAAAAGAAATGAAATAATCCGAGTACAAAGGCGAGCTGCTCTTTATACTAAAATCAAAGGAAATTTTATTTTAAATCTGAAATTTTGTAGTGAAATAATTGATTTTGCTTCATTATCAAGTAGAGAGAATAGAGTTAAATAGATTAAGAGATTTTCCGGCAAGTTGGAGAAATGATAAAAATGGTGAAAAAGCAAGTGTTCTTCCTACGGAATCGACTTAATCACCGGACAATTAAACAAAACTCAAACTCTTTAGTTTTTCGAACTTAAAATTTGCTAGATGTACAATATTTACATGTAAGAAACATTCAAAACGTATAAAGAAAATAAAATTCTGTGATAACTGTTGAAAACAGTTGCAAAATTAGGGATGCAGAGGTTGAAGACGACTGCTAAATTACAATTTTACCCTTCATTGAATTTTTTCAGTGTACGTATGTATATGCAATTTACAGTGTATGTATCATTGATTATGTTGACATGTAAATATGTTAGATTATCGTCTCTCCGATTTGCGTCTTTGGCTAGTAGAACATAATGTCAATTTACTTACATGCGATCGATTTTAGTACCCGAATCACAAGTCTTGCGAAACCGTTTTCAAAGATCTATTTTTTTTCAAAATTTGCAAAGAGGCGGAACGGAGTATCGTCTCTCCTGCAAGTAGTAATCTTAGTTGAATCTTCGTTAAAAACTCGATGCCCGACCTAAATCAGGATAAATCGTTTTCAAAATTTTGATTTCAAGTATATCTTTCGTATGATCATATCATTTCAGAATTCTCTTTTTTCTTCAATAGCAAACCCAGATTCTCCAAAATTTTCAAGAAATTGATGTTTTGTACTAGGTGTGCTTTCTTCTTTAGTTTTTTTTTTTTTGTTAACGTACGCAATTTGCGACTTAGACAAAAAGTTGTAAACCATAGTTATATATTTTGTCCCTTTGAATTTCTTCTATGTACGTGTACACAATTTTCTGTGTACGCAATATTGATTTTATGGACGTGTACGTTTCTTAAATTATGTATCATTGTCGAGGCGGTGTACGTGTAATATTAACAAATTTTTAATTAAAAAACTTGGTTAATTTGACTAACATTTCACAATATACTATTGGTATACATAAACGTAAAAATAAAATATAATAAAATAAATATAATAAAATCAATCTTAAAACATAGAAAATATATATATATATTTTCTATGTTTTCATATATATATAATTTTTGTCTATTATATTAAATGGCATGCAAATATAACATGCATTACCTATCATTTTCATATAGCACTACTCTAATTATGTTACACTAGATTGTTGGTAAATAATATGTAATGTTTCAAACTGAACCCGTAAACGTACACGGCAATATTGAGATACACGTGCACGCACATGACCGCACTAACTAATTGTTGTACTAATATCATGAAATGTCTTTCCTACTATACTAATATCTACTTCCGTCTCATCAGTTGGACATTGGCTAAGTCACTGGAGACTAGAGCATCATCATTATCGAGTATCTCCGCCACACCACTTAGCAATGTAGAAAAGTCACTATATACTTCGGAAGACTCATTTACGGTCACTAATCTGATTCAGGTTAAATCCTCCTTCATGATCCTCCAAACCAAACTCCACACAATTACCATTCACTTCATTTCTACCATGCCCATTTGTATTCGTGTTCGTCAAATATTCACCTTCACATGCTTCTTCGTGTACACAGTCAGTAATGTACGTACATTCTTTCAAATCATGTCTTACCTCACAGTTAGAACTCAAACATGGTTAAATATCACTATTCTCTCCAAAATTATCGATGATTTTTCTATCACGTACACGTTTTAATATTTTAATATGTACATACCTACCTAAATTTCTTTTCTCTTCTACCAATTTTTAATTTATATTATGTGCATCTCCACTCACAAACAACAATAAAAATAGAAATCTCTATTAAACACATGCATCATAAATTTATGAGAAACACATGCATCAAAAAAGACATATTTTGTAGAACCGTTCGTCTCTGAGGCGATAGGCAAGGCGATCGTGTCTTTTCATCTATGATGCTCTTTCTCCATCACTAGAGTGAATTACGCTGGTCTCCGGTAATGTATGTTTAAACGTCGGCAAACGATAAGATGGTTTTGGCGATTGATTTGGAGTTTTTGTGGTGCTTACTACAACGCACCTTTCCTTTACTCTTTCTGATGGCCATAGCTGCGGCATTGCTTGCACTTACGTTGATCATGGATCAGGTTCTAAGTATCTCGAGCCAGTTTTCAATTGAGGCGACGTTAGCGGCAGATCAAACGCACATGGATTCGGTGAAAGATGGTTCTTTTGGTGACCGGAAACGAACTCGTTTCCGAGAGGTTTCTCCGATAAAGGAGATGTGTTATTCTTAGTTCATCATAGTGGATCATTTATTTGACTTTCACTACAAGAAAAACGTATATTGATAGCGCGGAAAAACTGCTATCGTAGGTAATACATAGCGAAATTACAACTGCTATGATCTCGGCAGCTATGGTAGTTGCCCCACCTACGATAGCATTAATTTTGTCTGCTATAGTATGTTCATATACAATAGCACTTTATTAGTGTTATTATTTACTTTTTCATAGCAATAATTTAATGCCATTATTTAGTTGTTCATAACAATTTATGAATTTTTCCAATTTTTTCTTACAATTTGATTTATATAATTCTTATATTTGAATCCTGTTTTTAGAATTTATTTAATTGGATAGAAAAACTTTAATATTTCATAAATTTTGAACAATGTTTACATAACATCATACCAATCATTATACTAATTAACATCGAAAGTATACCTAAGTCTTAACCAAAATAAAACTAACATCATAAGGATAAACTAACTTCTTGAGATATAACCCATCCAAGCTTGCTCATCTTCTTGCATTGGCTGCATATAATTTGACATAAAAAGTGAGAAATATTGTCAGATAAGAAAATTAGGTAGAAGATGTTATGTCAACTTGGTTTAGATAATTCACATACTAGTACATAAGAGTGATTGTTGTGGTGACCTAAGACGATATTTTTTGTCTGACTACCCTAGATTTAATTTCATGCCCCAATGTCGCATAAGCCAAAGATCAGTCAAGTCAAAAAGAACTACAAGTACTAATTTAGAAGTAACAAACTTACCCATGTATATTAAGATGGGACAGGTGACGTCTTCTTATTCATGTTGCTTTAGTAGCCTTAAGAGTAAACGACTTTCTTGCAAGACAAACTTCAATCTTGTCTCCTTTATGTGTTTCGCCTTCCCGTTAGCATTTCCGTGCATAATCTCTGTAAACATGTGTATGACAAACTGAACATAAATTCATCAAGTGTACAAAGGCATTAGCCGGCCATAAAGTTAAATAGACTGAAAAAACTAAAGGATTTGTTTAGACTAAAAAACCTAAAAGATTTGTTTGGGCAAGTAAACAAGAGATAAGAGCTTCAAATTGCGACTCTTAATCCTCTCTAAATCAATTTCCAGTGGGACTATGTACGTTAAGTACACTATTAAAGAAACCAACTCATATGAAAAGTAGGTCTCACTCACCATTGGTGATGGTTTGGAACCGTTCTTGACGAGCGCTATCCCAAAGTTGGAACTTAATGTGTTTTCCATCAAGCTCAATGTTCTTATCTTAAGATCAATGCTGCATCAAACGCCAAAAAATTAACAAACTCAGAAAAAAAAAAGAAAAAAAAAGAGAATCATACATATATCAGTCTCTAATCTCTTTACACAAGTACATAGTTCTACCATCATCAGAAAAGATCAATATGCTTAAGATAAGATAAAGCTTAACCTTGTCACTATGTGAAATATGCAAATTAGTTCACCAAAACCTGCAAGTTTTGACGTAGAAAACCAAAACCTGCATTTCTCAAACCAAAATCTACAAATTAATTCATCAAAACCTACAATTTACTTAAAAAAACAAAAAAACCTGTAATCTACAACTTAAACAAACCAAAGCATGCAGTTCATAACTTAGAAAAACCAAACCTAAAAACCAAACCTGCAACTTAAACAACCAAATCCTAAGAATTGTCAAAGATGGTAAGTTGTAGGCAATAATGGCTTGGCTTCTAGAACAAAATTCAACACAAGTAATTCATATGTGATTACTAATTGGAACTAAAAGTGTCGACATTACTCTAGCTATGCAACATGTTTGTCATGTGAGCAATATCAACCTGTGAGGAATCACAGAACTGAAGCTTCTCGTTGTTCTGAGTGGAGTCTCTAACAAAAGACGAAAAACTCATCAAAACAACATGAACAAAATAACACTTGAAACTCAAAACGACATGAAGACAAAGAACACTTACTTGAATCTGAGCAAAAAAGATGAGAAGTAGGAAACATAGATGGAGGAAGATAGTGATGGCTTGTTTCGTCTTTGCCATCATTAAACTATGAAAAAAACAATTCTCTCGCTCACACCAAAGACTCAAAGTTTGTGTCAACGATGAGTCAAACAACGAATCAAACGAAAAACAGATAAACTCAAATGAAAACACTAACTCAAACCTACAAGATAATGAGTTCAAACAACGAAAAAAAAATTATTGAATGAAGAGAAACGAGTTCAGCTCAAAGCTAATCAATTCATGACACCAAACCCTAGACACCAATTTCCAGATCAATTTGTAAATTTGGGTTTCATCTCTCTTCGAATCGCTTCAAAATCGTCATATTGCAGACAGCCTAAATACTCAATTCACTAAAATCATTAACTAATCTCGAGTTTACATGCGATGAAAAGCAAAACCCATAAATGGTTTCAGACAAAAATCGAAACTTTATGTACCTTGAACCAAGAAGCCATCGCCTCTAGATGAAAAGAAGCGAATTGCTCAAATTTGGTTTTGTGCAGTTCATCTTTGTCGACAAAAGTGTCATGTGGTGGTGGTGGTGCCGCCATTAGAGATAGGAAACTAAGGATTCAGATCTAAGAGAGGAGAGAGAGAGAGAGATTTTTGCGAGGTAAAGATGCGCTTGTTGGTGGTGCTGCCATTAGAGATCGGAAACTAATGATTTAGATCTGAGAGAGGAGAGAATAGAGAGAGATTTGCGAGGTAAAGATGCGCTTGTGGTGGTGCTGCGATTAGAGATTGGAGACGACGAAGGTTTAGATTTGAGAGAGAGCCGAAAGAAATATTTTTCTTTCGAGATATCTTTTTTTGCCTAAGTATTGGCGTTCTCGATAAAAATTAGGCTCTAAAAGTTCCCGCTTAGTGAAAATTTCGGTTTAGCGTTATTAAAATGCTATCGTAAAGTTACGAAAATCGCAAATCTATTTTTAATAGCAATTCAGCAAACCGTGCTATTGTCATGTGCTATTAATGAAGACTTTTTTTGTAGTGTTTATCTATGATGAACTTGTTATCTCCGTGAAGGGTTTTGCGACTCTCCATGATGCCCAATATCCTCGATACCTATATTCTTACGATGAAGGGATTGAGTATAAAATTCGCATAATATATTGGCGAATTGGTGGGCGAATATGGGATCCCGGAATCAATAGACCATTGTTTTCGATTGAAGAAATTGGTCTCTACGATAACTTCCTCTTTCCTAGGACACACTTTGATGGTGATGGTTTCGCTGTCCTTGGTTCAGATTATTCAGGTTCTATGGAAAAGGAAATGTTGGTTACTAAGCGGAAACAATGGGTAGGGCGTTGTAAAAAACATGATCCAGAACCATTTCAAGCAACATATCAGAGTGTTCGTTTAATCAGAGTGATGCGAAAAGCATTTAGGAGTCTCATCTATACGATGTTAGCCTTTTACGAGTATATGAAGAAGAGACTTAACAAATTGTTGTTTGTAAGGCTTTCGTTAAGAAAGCAGAGTCACTTCCACTTCTTCATCGAAATTGTGTTGAACAATTTTTTTTATTTGTTTCAATTGTTGTATTTGAACAATATATTTCATTTGTTGTTAAAAAAAAGAAAGAGAAACACCTGCATCAAAAAATGTTAGCCTTTTACGAGTAATTCAAAAAATGTTATACACGTATATAATTATTTGAGTATGTACGTACACAAGCAAAATTATTCTCGTACATATATACATGTACATGGTATTTCTAATATGGAACTATCTCTAACAACATGATTCAAAATAAATAAAGGGAGACTCACAAAAATGCCCATTTTTCAATACCCCTTTTCAAAAATGCCCCCTTTGGCTGTCCATTTTTAAAAATACATTTTTTATGTAAAAAATGACTAAATTACCCTTTTAAAAAAAAAAAATATCACAAATATATAAGGAAATATAACAAAATTAGGTCCACAAAATACAAATATTTTGGCGTTAAATTTTTGGCGGGAAAAATTTACAAGGTATTTTAAAGGTTTTTTACAGGGTATTTATAAGGTTTTACAATGTATTTTAAAAAGTTTTACAATGTATTTATAAGGTATTTATAAGATATTATAAGATTTTACAAGGTATTTTATAAGGTTTTACAAGTTATAAGGTTTTACAAGTTTTTTATAAGGTTTTACAAGTTATAAATACCTTATAAAACCTTATAAGTACCTTATAAAACTTTTTAAAATACATTGTAAAACCTTACAAAACACTTTTAAATACTCTGTAAAACCACTTTTGGCGGGAAAAATTTTTACGGGAAAATTTTATGATGAAGCGGAAGCTTCTAGGGATAAAACTAGATTCGTTGGTTCTGAGAATACCCGGATAACTAGGGTTTGAGAGTCCTCCTCTCAGGGCTTTCGCAAAAGCTCTTAGGGTTGTGAATACTCTTCACAGTGGTTTATAAAAACCTCTTTAAATCTTTCGATTAATCAATTCATCAATAACTTAATACAATAGGAGACATAAGAAGGCTATTTATAATAAAAGCATAAAACTCTAAAATCCATAGAATATTCTAGAATAATTATAATTAATAAATTAAAAGATAATAGAAATAGATATTTGGAATATTTCCAAATATCTCGCTGCATCAGGTCTCGCCGGCCAAGAAAAGATTCGTCCTCGAATCTTGTTTATGCGCTGCATCAGCTCCCTCTGGCCAAGAAAGATTCGCCCTCGAATCTTCAGCAAGGTTTTCAGCATAGGAGATCTTCGAAGATTCAGCTTTATCTCCCTCTTTTGATTCTGTCCGATTTTTGCACGAACTGGATCTGACCCGAAATTTGCACGAATCTCGTCAGACCCGATTTTTGCACGAATCTGGTTTGACACGAATTTTGCACGAACGCGATTTGACCCGAATTTTGCACGATGAGTATCTTGCACGAATTCTGCACAGATCATATCTTCTGATAAAACGAAATCAATAACTATAACATCATCTTCATAGATGTCATAGATGGGACCACCATAGATCTCTCTATAGATCTCATGGTTTTCTTCTTCTTCAGAAAACAGACTTTCGCCTGTGATAGGGTAGATGTTTCCGGTCAACATGACATCCAGAATCGAGCCTCGACTTAGAAATCAAAGCACTGTCTCTGATACCAACTGATGAAGCGGAAGCTTCTAAGGATAAAACTAGATCCGTTGATTCTGAGAATACCCGGATAACTAGGGTTTGAGAGTCCTCCTCTCAGGGCTTTCGCAAAAGCTCTCTTCACAGTGGTTTATAAAAACCTCTTTAAATCTTTCGATTAATCAATTCATCAATAACTTAATACAATAGGAGACATAAGAAGGCTATTTATAATAAAAGCATAAAACCCTAAAATCCATAGAATATTCTAGAATAATTATAATTAATAAATTAAAAGATAATAGAAATAGATATTTGGAATATTTCCAAATATCTCGCTGCATCATTTTACAAGGTATTTTAAAGGTTTTTACAAGTGTTTTGGCGGAAAAATTGCGGGATCACTTTTCCCGCCAAAAAATATTTTGTATTTTGTGGACCTAATTTTGTTTCAAATAAGGGTAAAATGGTCATTAAAAATTAAAAAAGGACAAACTTAAAAATGAACTCTCAAATGGGGCATTTTTGAAAAGGGGTATTAAAAATAGGGTATTTTTAACAATTTCTCATAAATAAATAAGGAAAAATTTAAAGTGTAATTCATATATAAAAAATTTGTAATATGGATTTTAAAAGATAGAAAAAAAAATTATAACTAAAAGTACAAAAATAAAAAATAATTATAAAAGGAAAAATAGAAAAAATGTGAAAACAAGAAAATGATGGAAAATAATAATAATATTTTTTTATATGTCTGTTTTACTGTAGCTTTGAGAAAAGCATAAACTTGACACTGTGGCGGATGAGATTAGTCTCACATTCTCATTTGGTTATAAGGACATTTTCGTCTAAAAATCAACAGATGGCTATTACGTGAAAACTCAATCTAATCTCACTTTGCCAAAACTGGGGATTAAAAAACATGGTCAAATGCTCTGCCATGCAATTTACCCTAGAAAGAAACGAGAGACAAGAGGAACAGCGATTGCGAAGCTCTGGGAAATGTTAGGGTTTTAGTGAGGATTTTGATTTGAGAGGAAATGAGACCATCTAATTCAGATAGAAGGTCCCATCGCAATGACGCAGAGCAAACAAAAACAACAAAAAGAAAAACTTGTAATAATTCGATTTTAGCCCCTGGTTTTATTGTAGTTTCCAGTTTTCTGTCATATAGTTTTAATTGGATCAGTATTTACCGTGACCACGCATGATTTGGAACTTGTAAGGAAAAATCATTGGCTTCATTTATTAATATCTATTTTTTTCTTTTCTTAATATCCTAGAGAACTTCTCAATATTTATATGTTCTTAAATTGGGTACTTTTAAGAATTATCTCTGCCTTAATATATGATATTTATTGATTTTTAAGATCTTTTAGAAGTACTTATTTTGGTTTTTTTTCTTCTATGAAATTATATAATTCAACTTAATCGAAATGAGAAACTGATGAACATTATTATGTCTACAAACATGAAGTGCATTAAAAATATAGAAAGGATAAAACAAAGTTGTTGGAACTTAAACTAGATGTTGTTTGATTAACCCGAAGCTAAAAATACATAAACATCCAAACATACATCTAAAGGGAGAAGAAACATTAAAACATTACAACACTAAAGGCAACAACAAGTACGATTGAATATGAGAATCAATTATGAGTCCCAAGTTTATTTAAAATCCCAACAATTAATTAATTAGATAAGGGAAATTATAACTCCCAATTTTGACTCGAAAGCGCTACTTGTTCATGCCGGTCTTCTCCTTCACGAAGTTAACACCTCCAGCTGCCGCATCCGATATACTCTTTCCCGCCTAAAACATATACATAAAAACCATATAAAAACATCAGAAATCTGCGTACATCGGTACATGTAAGCTTATGAAGACGTTTATTTCTTTACAAATATGTCAGAATGGGTGTGTATGGATCGTTTACCTGTTGCGCGGCAGTTCCTGCTCCAGCAGCAGCATCCTTGGCCTTGTCGAGAAGAACATTGCTCTTCTCCTATAACCACCATAATCAACACAAAATCAATTACATAATTATGACAAAATTAAATCAAACAAGATAATGAAAGTTTTTCAGTTTTCAAAGTTTTTGTCGAAGAGAGAAAGAGTACCTCAGCTTTGCCAGCGGTCTGACCGGCTTGGAAGGCATTCTTGTTGGTCTCTGACATTTTTTTCTTCTTGTAAAATCGTTTTTGATGTGTGTTTTCTGGTAGTGAAGATGATGAGAAGAGATGTCGGATTAAGGGTTTGTATTTATAGGCCAAATGGAGATACTTGTGTGGTGCCACGTGTAATCTGAAACCACGTGGATTGCGTTTAATGGTACGATCAGTTTTGCCTTATGTCGGTAGCTTTTTACTGGCTGTTCAAGAGTTCACGTGTCGTTTTAGTTTGGTATGTCAATTTGATATTATAGGATATGTGAAGACTCTTTCTGTGTGGTCCTCTCGCCTCCGTGTTTATATTTTCTTTAGTTTATTTACTAAGATGAGTCTTTCAAAATATCTCGAATCCTCTATATGTTATAGTAAAGATTTTTTTTAATTTTTAACAATGCTCTACCTATGGCTGTAAATAGAAATATGTAACGTGGGTTTGTCGCATTTGCGTTTGGCAAATTCGTGTTATTATTATTGACGAAGAAATTAAAAAAGAACTTTATTATTTTTAAAAATGGTGCGTTGTAGAAGAGGGGAAAGTTAGATGGTATGTTTGGCAAGTTAAATGTTGTGTTTGCCGACCCTCCCGTATTTTCATGTTTGTTTCTTTAACAAATTTTGAAAAAGTTTATATAAATTAGTTTTATGAATTGGTAACTTTCTACTCAAATCCAGTTTGGAATGAATGGAGTTATGCCATATAAACTGTATATTTGTTGACATGCCTTGAATCTAATTGATTTATTATTTGTTGGTTGCAACAAGCCAACAACACATGGTTTTGATGTCCGATCAGTAAGTCGGGTTGAGGCGGCGATGCGCCCATGGTCTCGATGGTGCGGGGACGGATACGTCCTTTGGCTCGAGAGTATGAAGTAATTCTTTTATGGACCACATTAATAACTTAGATATTTTTATTTAAGTTTATGTTTGCCAATCCAAACATACAGTTATGGTTGAATACTTGAATTAGAGTTACATACATGATACATGAACTTTTATTCTTCATTTTCCCATTGTATTATGAATAATCTGCATCCAGTATTAAAACCATAAAAATATGTATGGAGTTTTCTTTGCGCTTTTTATTAGTCATCTCATATAGCCATTATAACAATATATAGAACTCATCTCATTAGCAGAAGTGAAATTTCTGGCAATCTGTTTTTTCTAGAGTAAAACAAATCTATATAAAAAGGAATTTGGTTTTATCATTTAAGATAATTATAAAATTAGCTATTTTCAAGAATAGTTATATCTGTTGGCTATAATTAAGGAATCAAACCGGATAAACTCAAATTGGTTTGATAGTTCCATGTAATGGTCTCGGTTATGTGATTTCCTTTGTGTAATGGAGAGGTAGCTCAATAGAAGCCACCCAGAGCATGCACATAGTTGATACTCTACGAGTATCATTAACAATTTTTTAGTATTAATTTTAATGTTTGTTTATTGTTTGAGATTTTTTATGATACTGATAATAAATCTGTTTCCATTGGTGAGACCAACAACCTTGTATTTCTCAAGCTATAACACGACGTCCCTCCATTTTTGTCTCGAATGAAAGAACAGAACATTACCGTGGAGGATGGAGAAGCTTGAAGTTCAGCCCATCATCGTTAAGCACAAGCTTGATGTTCTGCAATGTCTATAAGTGGTTCCAGACACGAGAACAACAAGACCTGTTGTGTCGAGATTCATGACGCCATTCTCACCGAGCAACAATAAACACGTTACCGATTCTCTCCTTGAAGCCTCTGGATTTTCTCTTGATTCATCAACATAGCTTTTTTTCAACCCAGAACACGCTCTGATCTGAAACCTAGCCTCCGCCGATCGCGTGAGAGGAGAGTTCGATCTCCAAAATGAATTTTTTTTTTTCTCCTCCTTTCGGCAAAACGCAACAAATCAGAAGATGACACGTCACTTGATACTGGGTATCAAACGTATCACTGGACTGATACGTATCAGGCCCATTTTAATTGTTTGCTCCATTAAAAATTAATTTTTGGGCTCTGATACTCTAAAAGTATCACCCATGTACATGGTCTTAGTGTGTTTAATAATTATAGGTACTGCCTTTTTAGAAAACTTCAATAATTCGGATCGACTTATGTGTTGTGATCCATTTTAATATCGTTTGGGGAGTTTGATCTCACATAAAAGAATTAAAAAAAAAAAAAAAGAAAGAGAGTTGATAAATCGATATTTAGTACACCATTTTTTTTTTGCTTGGAGCCATCACATTTGTAAGATCGGCTACGTATGTATGTGTATAAGTTTGGCTCGTATATCCATTTTATATATATAAAAAAATGCAATTCTTGATCATTTGTTCTCTTACAAAAAGCATGTTGATTTATAGACCACAACAATATCATGAACTAAATTAAATTACAAAAAGATGATAGTTTATCCTGCATACACAATCGAAAACACGTTTCTTGTCTTGTTGCGGTTAGAATAAAAACTTAGTGATTCGTATGAACAAGGAAGACTGCTCAAACGAAACGTAGCCGTTTAGCCATATTAATAGTATTTCTGTAGTTTTTTTCGTCGTGCGTCTTACTCCTTCATCTACTATACTTCTCGAAGGAACTATGAGTAATGAGGTTAAACTCTTCTATCAAAGCTTCCATTGACCGCACTATTTGGGATCATCTTTCTCTTTTCCTTACAAGGATCCGCTTATCCCACCATCTCTGCTTGAATCTTACTTTGGTTGTTTCTCGCATCCATTTCAATCTTTTAAAAAGAACGTTCCTCTTTTATATCTCTCAATAGTGAGCTAATGGGTTGTTAGTTTTAGTATGTATGAATTCATTTTTGGTATAAAATTGAACATAAAAACCAAAAAAAAAAAAAAAAAACTTTAGGTTTTGGGAACTGTAAGGTTAAACTAAATTTCAACTTTAATTTTAGAATCGGTGATAAATCAAAGGTGTTATGAGATTAAAGTAGATTAATTCTCAAATAATGTGTTGCACTAAAATCATTAAAATGATCATAATAATAGATACTTGATTCATAGACCAGACACAATCACTGGTTTAAGGGAAAGAAGAAGAAAAATTATCCATAACACATTATTTGAGAAAACAAAATTAAAAACTTAAGCTTTTAGATTCCCTATTCCTCCTTCTCGTCCTCGCTGTTGCAGCTACTGTTGCTGCTCCACTCACATTTCAAGGTAGATCTCGGAGAACCACAATACTTTCCAAGCTTCTCAAAGCTCTGATACATCACTGTTCCTCTCTCTTCTCCTAGAGACTCCATTGTTGTCTCTCTGCATCCGTAATCGTCTAGGTCCACACAGAGACCAGAGTCATACCCATTCTGTGGGACGCTAGAGTGGACAGCTACAGAGAATTGCTTTGGCTCGAAGCAAGTTAGTACCTTTGAGACCAGATGGCTCAAGTCCATGGTTGTGAAGTCGTATCCCACTGCTTCAAAGCTAGCGTAGCTGAAACCATCTTCTGGTGTCACATGGATGGTGGAGATTGCGTCACCTTCGATGCTGTTCATTGAGTAGCCACATGGCTCAAACTCAAAGTCACAGATTTGGGATTGAGGAAGTATCTTTCTGATGCCAGAGTTATCAGTCATAGAACCAGCCGAGCTTGACTCGTTCTTGTAGAAGACAGATGCCTTGTCTTTGTCCAGACCAGTCATACACATCTCAAGCGTGTAGACATTGTTGTTGCTGCTGTTGGAGTTGATGTTAGCAGAAGAAGCAGAGTACACATGCCATTTCTTGGTTTCATCGTCATTGCCCATCAAGTACGCAACACTGCTCAAACCCAGCTTAGCAAAGTGACCATCAAGAACAGAGACTTCTTCAGAGAAGTTGCGGTGAGGGAATGGTTGTCCTCCAGGACAGAGGAAGCTTCCACGAGTGTACCTCACTGCCTTGACGTCAAGAGAAAGCTCACTAGCTAACCTCAAGAGTGGCTCAATAGAGAGGAGGAGCTTAGTAGTCCCACAAGTCTTGATAACAATCTTGTAAGGGAAGATAAAGAGACTGGACTCAGAGAGAACATAAGAGTCGAGCTGATCGTTCGAGAGAGATGAAACGATAGTGCACTCAGCTGGCTGAAGAATCTCATCGATCTGAGATTTGGTCAAGGCACGTAGACCTTTACCTTGAGTGTCAAGAAAGAGACCAGGCTCAAAGAAAGTCACTTCAAGACGCTTCTCGTAGCCTTCGAACCCGATTGCAGACATGGCCATCACGCTTTGTTGTTGTAAAAAAAAACTTCTTTGAAGGAGAGAACGAGAGGAGTTGGGAACCAGAGCTTTGATATGGAGATTGTTGTAATTGAAAAGCTATGGAGGAAATTGGCTAGTACTCAGGAAGGCCTCTTAGCGCAGTTGGAGTAGACAGAAGATTTGAATTTCTTGATTCCACCGTAAGGACGAACGTCTTCAATGCTGTAACCAAGTGGTGCTTCGTAAAATAAGGAACTTGTGCTTGACTTCTTATTACCACCTTTCGATTCCATCATAATCTCATTCACGCTTTTTCTGTTTTACATAAAACAAAAAGTTAGATACTTTAATCCAATTATGAAGATGCAAACACATAACAAATATTAACATCTGCTACTTTTTCCAACAAATCCAGATATCTAACACTTTTTCAGATTATTTCATCAGATCTATGTAACATACGAGCAATTGCTAATAATCGAGCCCTAAATTGATGATTATAAAACATAATAACATGTTCATGATTAGAGACTTACATGTAAAGGAATATTGATCAGGATCCGGAGTTTATAATTCTCTTGTTATTGATCCAAAATATGAAACGAAACGAAACCTGAAAATGAAGTCAACAAAAGCCAGATTAATCAGCTTATCAAAATCAACATAATCTCAGATCTACGACAATAATCAAAAAGCTTATGATAAACAAACCTTAATCAGGTGATTGAGAGAACTCGAAACCCTAAATATAAAGAGAGCCGCTTATGATTTGGTAATGATGAAAAAAGAGAGAGAACGAGTTTGAGATATTGTAGAGAAGGTAGAGAGACTTGTTTATATAGTGTCCAGCCCAGATGCGTTGTGAGGCTATTAGGGCTCGGACTATTTACTTATTTACCCTTTTGAGTTTGTTTACTAAAATACCCCTACCCTTTCTTTATGTGGGAATATTTTGGGTGCGAGATTCGCGACGATTCTTGACCACAAATCCATTTACAGCAATAAATCTTTTTTGCATTCTATTTTTGTCAATAAATAGTTTAAAATATGAACGAATCTTAGGATGACACGTGTATTATTCGAAGCAGCCACGTTGATACTCGACGATTTCTGACCACGAAAAAGAAAAGAGCGATAAATCCGTTTTAATTGTTGGTAATTTAATACTACGTTTTTGTGAAAATGTATTTAAAGATTTATTTATAATAATACGTTTAGATCTCCGAGATAGGCTAAGCCACAGAAACACTGCAGCGAATTAAAAGACGACACGTGTGATGTGTGGGACGACACGTTCGAGAATTCGATACTCACAAGAAAGAGACAGGTGCGGAGTATGTGAGCTGGTGTTGTGTAATAGTGGGGCCCAGAGAATCAAATTCTCTTTTACTAGGCTCTTCCTTTTAGTCTTTATATAATGACTGAAATGACCCTGTTACCAATACCCACCCCGTGACTCATTTTTCCTTTGGTCAAAAAAAGTTTGAGAAAGTGTAAAAGTGAAAAGTAACCAATCAATATACACTTTTCAAAATCAGTACTCAAAAACAAACAGAGGAAAATTAGATTAGTCTCCTTAATTCAGTTCACCTAAAACAATATTCCAAATCTGACGTAATAACGATCTCTAAAAATCAAATTGGTAAACAAACAACTGTGTTAACATACAATTGCCATTTTACATGTGCTACGAGTTGGTCTAACAATGTATGATTTAACGTTTTCTTAGAATGGTTGAATGTTAAACAAAGATATCATCAATTCATTTCTTTCATATAGTTTCTCATATTCATGAAATTGACTGGATTCTTAGATAAAAGATCTTCTAGAGAGTCTTTAATAATTAGTTGTTGTGATGAAGAAGATGCAAGTTATTGAACAAATCACAAGAGGTTTGCCAGAGTTGTTTAGCAAGTTTCGGGTCTCTAGAAACTTGTGATGATTCAATGGTCCTTCCTTTTCCTCCAAAATAGTAAACACCTGATGTTTCCTGCAAACCAAAAACATGTTTTGAGTATTATGTAAGTAAGAAAAGCAGATCATACATGAAGAGGAGACAATCAACAATCCATTATTTATATAAAGTTTCTCTTTACGGGTGTGGATAAAGCGGCATCGATGATAGATTCAGCTCCCTCCTCCGGGGATTGCAGTAGGCCAACAATTCTGCCGCCAAGAAACGCCATGGAAGTTATGTAACGAGGAAGCTCTCGCATTAAATTCGTTTTCACAAATCCTGGATCAGCAGCTCTGTATTCAACAAGAAAAACTCACAACTTCAAAACACATAAAAACTCACAACTTCAAAACACAATCTTTAAAGAGTGAAAGAGAGTACTAAATTTAGAGAGCAACGATACATACATTACAGAGACCTGGCGTGAGTCGTCTAAGAGCCTAAGCTGTCTGTGCAATTCATATGAGAACAGTAGAAGACATACTATTCAAGAACATGAAGCCAGAATTCAGTATGAAGAAAACCACATATATGCTTAGTAATTAAGTGATTGTGGGAGGTATTGGCTTACACTTAGAATACTCATAGATTCGAGCGCAAGGATATTGTCTTGATGTCGAAAAACGTACTCCAGTAACAGAATCCTTGTTGAAATTTTTAATGAAAGCTACGTAAATAAATAAATATCAAGTCACTTAAGCTAGTCTTTCATGGTTTTTGTTAAAAGTATATCACTATACATACCTGCACGATGTGTGAAAGATGTAACGTTAACGACCCGTGAAGGAATATAACTGTTTTTCAGAAGTGGCAAAAGAAGTTTGGTCAAGAAGAATGGACCAATATAGTTTGTAGCAAGCATCCTGACAAAGAGGAAGACATATCAGATCCATACATAAGTTATTGACAACTGAAAACATAAGATTTGATTAAACCGAACTTACCTGTCATAACCATCTATGGTTGGTCGACTAGAAGTTGCCAATATCCCAGCATTGTTCACCAAAAGCTGAATCGAAGGATGTAACGCTGAGTCCGATAGCCATTGCTCTAGAGAGTTTTTAAACTTGAAGATTGATTCAAAAGAAGACATGTCAGCTTCGAAATACTTGAGTTGGGCATCTTTGTACTTGTTCGTAATTTCCTTCAATGTCTGTCATAAGCCAAGAGATTTTTGCTTATTAAAGGATAATGTGAAAGAGAACATTTCCATGTCGACAAAGCGGAAACAAAAGGGGAGTCATAAAAAACCTCTGAAAGAAGCTGAGAGGACCGTCCAACTGAAAAAAAAAATCAAGAAAGATTTCATCCCATTAGACCACAGAGAACTAAATGAATGAAGAATGGTAAGTTTGATGAAACCAATGTGAATTCTCTTTGTGATTTTTTTGTTACCAAGAACGACGTAGAAACCTTTCTCTGCAAGAGCAAATGCAGTGGCCCTACCAAGCCCAGAATTAGCCTGAAATCAAAATTTAAAACTCATGACATAATAAAGACAATGATGATTCACACAACCAGTGAAGTAACAAGAATAGGTAGTAGATTTTTGAAGTAAGCTAAATGCAAGTAAACATTTACTTCACTTACACCAGTGATAACACAAATGGGTCTCGAAGATCCCTTATGTGGATTGATGGAGCAAGAAATAGGAGTAGCTATTGAGCCAAAGATCCTTGCTCTAAACAATTGAAAATAAGAAGAAACAAGTGCGGTATTCCAAAACAGAACCATCCTCCAGAAATCACATGTACATACAAAAAAAAAATTGTTTTGTATTTTAATTAACAGAATTCAGTTGAGACATTACCATTACTTAACAACATATATCAGAAAATACAAACCTGAGATCCAAAATGAATCAGGGAATTGCAAAAGACTTCAAATATATCAGAAGTGATTCGGAGTGGAGGGTTTGTGCTTGACGCAAACGTTATCTTTGCCTCGAGCAAACCAACCAGACTGGATTGCAGAGGGAGAAAGAGTATGATTCCGATTTGAATTCGAAATCGCTACACCGGCACGATCACAAAGCCCCCACACATGTGAAAAGACGTAACAAATAAATGATTCAAGTTTGCTCAAATTCGACTTTTGCCCAAAATATTTACCAAAAAGAAAGAAAGGAGAATCTAAAAGTTGAGTCGAAATATATTTTTTACAAAATAAAAAGTTCTATTGTTTTCACTTTTCACACGAGTTGTAAAAAAGAAAGAGAGAGAGAAAGATAAAAAATGAAAAGAATCTTCGAGAATTCGGTTTCCGGTTCGATTCGGTTCAAGCATATCAAACTCTATTGTTGAACCGGGTTGGCCGGTTTAGCTACGGCCTTGTCACAATCCTGTTTCATTTCATCCAAACGCTTTGATACCTGGAGGAGATTCATAACAAAATTAGACAGTGACACAGAGCTTCAATTTCAAGTATCTAAAGGAGATATAGCTTTTTTAGTCTTTGAGACCTTAATGGAATAAGCCAATGGAAGCAAAGTATCAGGATCCATGGCATCTTCAGGGAAATTCCTCAGAGCATGCATGAGTTCCTCAAATGGCAATTTCAACAAATCATCATGGCAATGCTTCAATAATGCTAAACCGACTTTGAACACGATTTTAACACCCTATGCCAGACAAAAAAATAAACACACAAAGATATGATACAAAAGACAGAGACTTTTGAGATTATAAGATGTTGATTTTAAAAGTACCTCAGCTAGAAACACATCCCAGATTCGTAGTGCCGAATGGAAAGGAAATGAATACGAAAAGACGGTTATGAACCATTGACTTGCATACATACTTGGATTGATCATTTCTTGAGTGAAATGTTCTCCTAGTTTTGGCATTAGCTCTCTTACCAACTGATCAAACTGTAACAGATATTGCTGTACAAGAGGAAGCCCTGCCTACATTTACATAAATCACATACATATTAAATCATTAAAAGTGTCTTCAGGAGTTGAAATTATGTTTTCAAGCATAATGTTCCAAATAGCTACTATCATAACTTCAACAAGAAGCTCGTTTGACAGAGAATGAAGCTAATCTTGGATAGTCTAAATTCTAAAAATAATAAAAAGTCTCTCTACAGGATAGTTGACAGAAAATCTGAAAAAGCAGTCATAAACTAACTAACTGATGAAGGAAAGGATTTTTTTTTTTTTTTATCTATTTGACTTTATGTCATTTTCTTACTATCCCTCAAACAATCAAAGCGGCTCTATCATAATCAAACTCGCGTAACTAAAGAGGAAAGTAGCTAGCATATCGGTATCTTCTACAGTAAAGAAAGCCCACCTGATACAATCCTTCTATTGGGGAGTGAACAGCTCCTTTGAGTAATGCAACTAATAACCAGAATGCATCTTCTTCGCTCATATAAAGAAGCAACAAACCGGCTATGAAACCCATTCCCTGCAAATTGTTTTTAGAACCATGAGTCTTTAGTAATTAGTACCATCTTGGTGAAATAAGACGACAGGAAAAAATCTCTGAAAATACCTGAACATATCCGACATCTCTGTCATAGACAGAGTATGCTTTTAGAACATTGTATAATGATCTTTGGCCTGGTCCATGTCTCTTCTGGAAGAAAACATGTGATGGGAAAGTACGAGATATATCCCGAATGATATCGAGTTCTGATGCTGACGTCTCATAAATCACCAGTTGCTATAACGAAATCGAGAGAATTCTCAGTTATTTTCTTTCCAGCAATGAAGCCAAAGAAAACGAATAACAAAACACATAAGGAGATTATAAGTTATTACCACATAAACACCGGGATTCATAAGCAAAAGGTCCCGACTTCCAGAGATCAATTGCCAAACGAGACCCCTTAAGCAATCAGGGATCCCTTTTCGAATCCGCCTCTTGACAACATGAGGTTTTCTCCTAACGTAATGCTTCCAATCACTACCCCCAGTTCCAATCATCTTCCTCCATTTTGTGACTCTTCTCTCCTCCCTAAAGGAATTTAGCATCCATGGTCAAATAACAAAGCACAATATACTGGTCCTCAACAACAACAAAGGAAAAAACAATAACTTTTTCACATTTTTCATGCAGACATACTTCTCATAGTTACTAGATGATTTAGTCTTGGTGAAACGTTGAGGAGAATTGCCATGTTCCTGCTTCAGAAACCCGAATCTATCAACCGGTACAAGTAGAGGGACTGGTCCTGGTTCACTGTTTATTTTCCTCTCCATTTAACTAACCTGAAAAAACCAACAATACTAAAAAATCTGAAAATCCCCAACATTGTGATCAAGTAATGAATCAGACCTAAAAGCTACATTCAAACTGAAATCATCATCTGCGGAAGAAAGAGATAAACTACATATACTCATGGTGATCAGTTCTTTAACACAATGATGATGATCCAGACAAAAAAAAAAAACAGAGAAAGATTTGTCGGGAAAAAGCGAAACCCACCAACATTCCGGTGGCAGATCACGAGGGTCGTATCCAAAATCTTAACTTTCTGAATGAAATAAGGCGATCAAAGGAGTCGCGTACTCTAAAATTTCCCAGCAAAATTGAAATCTGAAGAACAATGGAGCTATGAATTTAAAGGAAAATAGAAAGGAGACGTTGGACTTGGAGATCACATCGATCATTCATACGCGTTCTATCACGTTCCAGATATTTATATTTATCAAAAAAGGTTCAGAATTTATCCGATGGAACTTTTTACATTTGCAAACCAAAAAAACACGAAATTGGTTTAGGTTCAATCTGCTCTGACCCGGTTGGTTTAATAGCTTAAAATCCTAAGTAAATAAAATACATTCTTCTTCGAAAACCCAAAATAGAAAAGATGATCAGGTTATTAAGAACATTGACTAGCTTCCGTTCGTCTCATGAGATTGCCCCAACTATCACCAAGGCTCCAAACTTTTGAAGGCTGCTCGATCCAAGGACCGTTCATGATGTTCAGAATGCTACAGGCTTCACTGTATTCTAGCTCCGGCAAGAGCTTTGGGGTCAGTAAGAAGCACCTACAAGAGCAAAGACCACACATTTGTTTCTTACTTTTTAACACACTTGAGAGCATTTTCCAGGGTTTTGATATAAGTAGAAAAAGGACAAACTTACTGTGGTGTGTTTGGTTGACTAGCAGCTCTGACCAATTGTTGAAACATCTTCCTTTCGTTTATGGGATCCATACCTGCAGAAGCAAATGTATATTATTTTTAGAGACTTGACTGATCATGTTTCCTAACAGTTTTTATAAAAACATTACAGTTTTTACCTTGATTAATCTCATCAACAACCCTGAAAGGACAGTTTGTCAGATCTTGAAGAGAGACAAGGTAAAGGATAGTTGAGACAGAACGCTCTCCTCCGGATTGGTGGTGAGAGCTTAGAACCTGAAGTTGCCCAGATTCCCTGAATTTCACTTTGATATGTATTCCGTATTGATCAAAGTCAGTGTCACGCTCATCCAATGAAACTTCTCCTGCAACAGCCATTTCTTGGAAGTTGTGGCTGAATGTTTCATTTATCTGACCAACAAGCTGTCTCAATGTTGGAAGCCATTTCTCCTTTAATGAATCGATTTCTTTCATGCATATGCTCAGATCTCTTTTATCAGCTTCAAGCTTCGTCGAAATGGTATATATCTGACTTTGGCGATGTTCGTACTCTTGCAGAATGTTCTCGTTTACGAAAAGGATTGAATTGGCTTGAGACAGATTGTCTTGTATAGCCGCTTCCAATTCTTCGACTGTGGTAGGCATCTCCATAAACTCCTTTTTAAGTTCCGGTGTGATGATTGCAACAGATTCTGCATCCCTCTTGGCAGAGGCTAGCCGCTGCTGCTTTCCTTCTACCTCTTTCTTACAATACTCAACGGCGTGAGATAGCTGCTGTGCCGTTTTCTCATATTGTTTGATATTGATTTCCGACTCTCTGATCTTTCTTTCCAATTCAATAGAAGCCATATGCTTCTCTGCGTAACTCCACTTATGAGCAACAGCCTCCACAAGCAATTTCTTGAGATTAATCGCATATGTATAGCGGTCAGCGTTAGCTCTGGAAGCCTGATCAATCAGCTTCGCAACTGAAGCATCCATGTCCTCCTCTTGCTCCAAAGATTCTAGCTTTGTCTTCCTTTGCTGGTAACGGGATTCCAATTCACGGCGTTTTTTCTTCTCCAGATGCGAAACATTTACAATCTCCTCCCTCTCTTTATGAAGTTTAGCTGCTTCTTCTTCCAAGAGTCTTTGCTCTGTTTGAAGACTCTTGTGAGTTTCCTCCATGAATGAAATAGAGTCTTCTAATTCCTCCTTTCTTGATCTCAGTTTCTCAAGCTCTCCAACGTCCACCCCACATAATAGAAGACGTGATTGATATACAGAGTCTACACTTGCCGAGGAATGACCACCATACCTTGAGGAAGACCACCGGTAGTGATTGTCTGGTGTCCAAAAGTCTGTAATACCCAACTTAGAGACTTCTTCAGCCCTCTGATCGGTAATCTTTGATCCAATGTACGAGTCGTCCAGACCAAACTGGGAAGTTAAAACCTCCTTGATGGCGTCAGGAGCATCAAATATTTGATCAAGCCGAGTATGGATCCCAAGAGACCGCATCTGATCAGAAATATGAAAGGGAGCCTTTTGACTGCCGCCAGCGACGACATAGTTAAGAACAGGAACATCGAATCGTTTTAGATTTCTAACCAGCAAATCACGGTCCTCAGGATCCTGAGTGACGAAAGACTTCCAGGCATAATAAGGAACATGACCCTCCAAAAAGCAAGCGTTCTCTCGATTTGGAACGTTAACCTCTACCAAAACAGGACCATATACTTCCCTTTTAAACTCATGACGATTCTGTTGCACCCATTGATATGCGTCAAATATCCTTTCAGCTCCAGAGTTACGTAACGCAGTCAAGAGTTTGTTATTTGCATTCTCCATGTCCTTCAACTTGTCTGCGCATTGCCTCAGGGTGTGTCTCTTCTGAGACAAAAGCCTCTCATTATCCCCCTTCTGATTCTTCTTCCGGTTTATGCTCTGATGCAGCTCTGTAATCTGATAGCTCAATTCTTCAAGTTTGGCTACAGGACGTTCGTATACAGGCAGGTTTTGGAGTTCTTGTTCCGCAGCAACCAGATCCTCAGTAGCTTTCAGAATCCTTTCTTGGCGGTGTTCTTCTTGTTTCTTCAATTCCTCCAGTTCTTTGTATGTTGCCACTACACATGCTTCTGCCTCATCTTCTTTCTCGAGCAAGTTACAACGGTTTCTTCCATTTGCATCCATGAGATTCTTAACTTTTTTGCATTTTGAATCTGCCTCTGCTTTCTCCTTCTTTTGTTTTTCAATAGGTTCCTTCATGCTGTTCAAAATCCCTGCAGCGTCATCCAATTTTTTCTGGGCTTCCTTCATTCTCTTCTTAGCATCCATGTACTCAGCCTTTTTCATATCATACTTTAGCCATGGCAATTTCTTCTTCATGGAATCAACCTTAGTCAAAAACAACTCTCTCTGCCTAACACGCTCCACGTCCTTCTCTTGCTCATCAACAAGAGCTTTAAGCTGATTCAGCGTCTCTCCATTTTTCGCAACAGCTCTCTCAAGCTGCTTCAGATCACGGCTTTTGTCAACTAGCGCGCGATGATGGACTGGCAGCTGAGGATCACCAACAGCTTTTTCCGTCTCCTCCAGGAGCTGCACAGGCGTTAACTTAGCAAACTCGCAAACCCTATCTTGTGGCAGGAACTGCGTGAGATTGTTAACTTGAATGTTAAATTTCTGTATAATCTCAACTATATCTCTCTTACAAACTGTGCTTCCATTGAACATCCACTCAGACTTGTTACGTGTATCGATCTTACGGAAAATGGTAAGAATTTCTTCCCTGGTGTTCCCTCTGAGAGAGATCTTGACATAGCCAGAATCTTCCCCGCGCTTGACATATGCTCCAACACTGGTAGCTCTCCCAAGAAGCTGAGGCTCACCACCAAGACAAAGAGCAATGGCACACACAAGAGAACTCTTACCTGATCCGTTAGGTCCAATTACAAGGTTCAAACGTGATCCAGGTTTGCATACCAAGTGATTAAATGTCATGAAGTTATGAAGCTCGATTTCGATTATATTCCCAGGTAAAAAGTCATCTTCCCCTCTGGAGATTTTAGGGCGCTTAGCACGGCGTTCAGACATGGTTGCTCAGCAGTCAAGAGATTCTTCTCAGTTAACCTGAAAAAATTGAAACTTTCGTATGAAATCCACAGATATAAATTGAGGGAAACAATGTAGAATCGAAAATTAGAAACTTAAAAATTTAGATATCAGATTCTGGGCAATGAAAAAAAGCTAACCCTAAAACAAAAATTGAAGAATTAAAAAGTAAGATCTAATCAAATAGAAACTTCTTATAGTATTAATCTCAAATCACAAGCAATCATCAGTTTCACATTAACCCTTCTCTCCAACATAAACCCTATGACTGGAAAATGAACAGTAAAACCAAAACACACAAAGTTTATAAGCAAAATCAACTTAAAACTAAGACAAGGACACAAAATTAAGGACAAAGCTGAAATACGAACCCAAAAGAAGAGTAGACAATTCGATTCGCTGACAAGGTTGAATTTTCACAATAGAGAGGAAGAAACTGACCTGAACAAGTGAATTTAGCCGAAATCGAATATTCCCGAGCCCGAAATTGTACCATACGAGAATAAACCCTAGACTCTATCTGAATGGCGATTTCAGTTTATTTGGAGAGCTGAAAGTGAAACCATGGAAAAGCGAAAACCCGGGAAAAGGAGAAGCACGACGATCAATGCACACTCTCTAGGTTACCCTTTAAAATCCTTTTAAGTCCGGTTCAAATTCAACTCGTTTTAAAATTAAAATCGGGTTCCGGTTAAATAATAACCCGGTTTATAAATTCAAAGACCAAACTAAAATTCAGCTCTTAAACTAAGCTCTTGACATTGGATGATTATATGTTTCAAAAAATTTCATTTATTTTTTCTCCTATTGTAATATGCGAAAGTCATAGTTTATTGGTAGCAGAACCAGAGACGATGGTTACATTTGAATTCAACTGTTAAAACCGTATTAAGGAGAAACTTTTGTTAAGATGGTGTTGTTTTTCAGTGACCGTGTTGAAGAATCCGGTACACATCGATGACTCCAGAAGCAAACTCGGGATCAACTGCAGCTTTTACCGCTGTTCCTGCAACGGATTTAACATTGACCGGAGGTATTAAAAGTGGCCCGATCAGCGGAATTTTCGTCACCTCTTTTGGGAACAGCTTCAAGACCTGCAAATGATAAATTGTTTTGAGACAAAAAGATTCTTACTTGTGCCTACAGATTGTTTTCAAGACAAACCAAGATTGATGCAAATCGTCTTTTACCATTTCGAGAGGAGCTCCAATGAGACTAAGTGGCAGCTTTATGCTACCGACCTGACGAGTCCCATGTATGAATCCTGGCCTTAAAACCGTTCCTAAGAAAGCACAGAAATAAACAACGATTTATCTGGGAACACGCAATGTATAGCAACAGAGTTTTTGATTAAAGTGAGAATTTACAAACCTCTGTTTCCGAATTTATCCAAAATCTCAGCTTCAGTTGCTCTCTGAAAATAGATAGATAAGTTGATCAAATAGAAACGTAATAACTAAGAACAAAAGCCAAGAAGACAAAGAATAAGAAGAAGTACCTTCCCTTCGAAATATCCTCGAATCAAGTTATTTATGACACCAAAATCCGCAGCTGATATATACACAAATCTTTTCACACCTAAACATTATATATAAGCGGCTTTTCTGTTAGTTTGCCAAAGAACAAACTGCAAAAAGCTTATCTACATATTTTTGCAGATAACTTAACAATTCGAGTTTTCTCTCATTCCCATACAGCACAACAAATCTATGAAAATTTACCTTGTTCTGCTGCAGCATTAACAGCATTGATGTTTGCAGTACCATTAATTCTGACCATTTGTGAGTTGGAACCAAAACCACCAACGCATGAAATCTAGACAAGTTTCCATCAGAGATAGGAAGGAACCACATGATGAAGTAAGTTACTTTTAAGAAGATTTCTTAATTACCACAGACGTAATTCCTTCTAGTGCAGGCTTCAGAGAATCAGGTGAAAGCAAATCACCTATTTTTATAGTAGAAAACAGAAATCGAGTGATTCATCGAAGTCTTTCGTTTAATAAATGATGAACAAAGTGAAATATGTGTATTCAGATCTTGGGAATACCTTGATGCCAGGTTACATCATCAACCCATGAATCATGCAGAGAAGATCTTCCAGACCTAATAAACAGTTCAAAGACTTAAAAGTTAAGCTACGAAAAGACAGACTATGAGCACCAAATCAGATTTAAAAGAGGCAATGATACAAATACCTGCTAAGACTAGATACAGAGAAACCTTGTCTCAGTGCCTCCTTGCATATGTGTGAACCTACATAACCATTTCCTCCCAAAACCAATATCTGCATTCAAAAATAAAAAAACACACTTTGTGAATAATTTTCTTTATATTGCACATATGAAAACACAAACAGAGATTGAATAAAAGAGAACTCTCAAATACAAACCAGAGACTGCCCAACAACAACCCCATAACCAAAGAAATCTCCACACTCATATTTCAACTGATTCTATTCTTAAATAACTTTGAGGAACTCTCTTATCACAATGTCTCATGAGACTCAAAAGCAATGAAAGATTTATGTTACCTTATTATCTCTTGAATGTGAACCAGCAGCTTCAGACAAAAGCCTTTCATTTCCTCTCTGACTGATTGAACTGCCAAAGACATAAAGACAAGAAGACTATCATTAGTATACGCAACATTGTCAATGATTTAATGAAGAAATCACACAATTCAGTAAGATCAACTATTGGGTCAGAGACTATGCCCCCAAAATGATAATCCCTAGAAGTGATTCATTCTAACAGCAATAAAGATCAATGCTTTATTCGAAAAACAATTCTATAGAATTCGAAAACCTTAGAAGAAGAAGAACTCACGACATCGTGACGGTTGAAGAAGCTGCTTGTGATCGTTTCCAAATCAGAGACCTAAACATTGTACACTTAAACCCTAAAAGCTGAGTAGGTCAAGTATCGTAAGTAGAGAATGTTTATCAGAGGATTAAGATGAATTGAAAACTTGTGTAAGCGATTATAAAAACTGATACTGAAGAATTCTTAGAAACTTTGTTGTGGAATCATCATGAGTCGTGAACTCGCGATCTTCTGAAAAAAAAAAAAAAGCAGAGACCTTTCACAATCACAACTACTGTAGACGATTGTGGCGGTCTAGCTTCCACGTAGACGATCCACGTGTCTCTATGTCTTAAAAAAAAAAGAAAACATTTTGGAGAAACGTCATTTGCAAAAATTATTATCACAAAAGTTTGATAATCCTATGCCAGATTTGATAATATCTATCGCTATATCTGTTCAAATTAAAAGAAAGAGATTATGATAATTTTTATCTTCAAATAATCCAATTTCTTTTAGGAATTTGTTGTTATTCCGATACTAACGCTAAGCTCGTAATATTGTGAAGACCTTATAAATAACTCTAAGACTTGAACATTATAGTTATAGATTTGGTTAACAATTATGGACAGATTAGCAGGAGCCAAACCCGAATCAGAGAGGCTAGTTCGTTGCAACTCAAATCAAGGGTCAAGTGATCGTGTTAACGGCAACAACACTGTTGATATTGTGTCCAAAAATCTATTGCCTGATTTGGACGACCAAAAGGGACAACTTGGTCGAATTTTGAAAGAAACTGAGAACAACGACAAACAACACTGCAGCGATTCTACGTGTAAGTATTGTATGTTATCAGCTACAGAATCATATGAAGATTCAGTTATGCAACGAGATATTTGGAAGACTGCTTTATGTGTTTTATTACTTAATAAGAATTAATTAGGGGAGTTTTTTTTAACGTTGATTATATTACGGTTATTAGAGAGTTTTCGGTATCACCATGAACAAGTGAGTTTGGTTTTAGGTTTTATTCAGTTTGGCATTGATTGTTTATCTTTTTATACATTTGTTTATCGAATCAATTACTTTATAACTTTATTGATATATAGGCTATGCTTTCAGTGGTTCTTAGACAGTTTTGATATAATTAAAAAAGAATCATAGGACTGTATATTTGTTAGTGAAATTAGTATAATAACTTGATTCAGAAATTTTTATCTAAGATATGAAACAAAAATTCTTCTTACCAATTTGGTTAAGAAAAGAAAATAACGACAAAACAAAAGGAATCCACATGGGTGATGAAGAAATTCATATGTTTCTCTTAACTCCTAATTAATCATACTTAACTTGTTCGCACCAGTTGGAAAGTGCATAATATACAGTAAGTTGATGTAATCAAAAATAAGCATTGTTGAAAAAATCAAAAGTAATATTAGTGAAGCAAATTATAACCAAGACATGTTAGCCTAGTGAATTGTAATATTTCCGTTAACAACTAGATTTATACAACACAATATATTGTATGTTTTTTTTTTTTTTTAAATACTACTAGTTATCTTGTGACACTTGCATAGTTAACAAGTAACAACCTAAAGACTAATTACATGTTTTATAGAATTAAATACCATTTAAACGTCCAAATTGCCGACAAAAAACGTCCAAATTAGTGAATAGTCATCACAATTGTGAATTTATTGTTTGATTGATTACTTAAAATTTTCTGCTAGCTATTTTGCAATAATCATAACTCATAATTTAGATGTGACACCTACTCTTTTTGTTATAGCACAAAAGAAAATTCATGATTTAAACTAATTCACAACTTATAAACAAATTTAGTCCCAACTCCCAACTCTGATATAATCTTTTTTATGTTTTCTCTCTCAAAATCTCTCCTCTTTGTCTCTCTATCTATCTTTCCTTCAATGGAGCTTCTTCATTCTGCAACATTTCCAAGTAAACAAAAGCTACTCATCGTAGTGACAATTGCCACAACTCTCTTCACCATCATCCCTCTTCTATACCCTTTTCTTGAAGACCCTAACTTCTTCCTCAAGCAACAACCTCCAAGCCAAAGCAGCATCATCAAGCTAGAAAACGGCGTTGTAACATCACATGAGAGCTGCGACATATTCTCGGGAGAGTGGGTTCCTAACCCTGAGGCACCTTACTACACCAACACGACGTGCTGGGCGATACACGAACACCAAAACTGCATGAAGTTTGGAAGACCCGACACGGATTTCATCAAGTGGAAATGGAAACCTTATGGGTGCGAAGATGGCTTGCCGGTTTTTGACCCGTTTAGGTTTCTTGAGATCGTTAGAGGCAAAACCATGGCGTTTGTTGGTGACTCCGTTAGCAGAAACCACATGCAGTCTTTGATCTGCCTTCTCTCTCAGGTAACACCTTTTTTCTTACTTTTTTTTCTTTTGCCTTTTATTGAATATCTACAATGATAACCCTCATAAAAGAAAAACATTTGTTTGTTAAGTTAATCTTTTTATTTTCTAGCATAATTTTGAGTTTTTTAAATAAGAAATTTTATATATGATGTAAACAGATCGAAGTATTGTTTTTTTCATTAAACCCTCTTTTCTAGTCATTAAACCTTCTTTAGAGAATTCTAAGTTTAACGAGCCAAAAAAAATGCATTAAAATGAGTAAATCATATTTTAGTACTCATGCACCAAAGAATATCACATAACCACTCTTGACTTCGAAGTAACATTCTAATTGATGAGCTTCTATAACTCGAATCATTAGGTCATAGACTCACATACATGATTTAATTATTAGTTGAAGTTACACTTTTGATAAAGTAGTATAAACGAAGTTAGATGTGCATCATTACTTTGATCAAATATCATTATTTTAAGAAGTGTTATGTACATATATATTAACTTGACATGTACTATGTTATTACCTAAACTCGATACAAACTTAATAACTTACTAGTAACTACTCAATTATTTGTTTAAAATAAAAGATTGGTACGTGCATAAAGGTGATTTTGGTTCACCGGTGCCACAATGGCACAATTATTGAAATAATGTTTTCTTATATTACAAAAGTGATTATGAAACAGAAATGGAAGCAGTCGGTCCAATGATTTTAGATGTTTTAATATAATTAGTTTACTTATGTTTAAAGATTCTGGAAAAAAAAAAGAAAAAAGAAAGAGAAATACACATTGACATTTCCACAGAGTCCATTGGTCATTTTGGCTTTACGTAGTTGGATGATCAAATTGCGTAAACAATACCAAACATGAATGTCTTGTCCAGCTTCTTTTTTTGTTCAATTTCTGTTCGGATTCTTGTATACTAAATATAGGAATCGAATCTCATCTGATTTGGTTTCCTTTTACAATTTGGCTTCAAAGAATGCGAGTGTTTACTTTTTATTTTTTCAATTAAAAGAAATTAAAGTTCTATTTTGGTAAGATTTGGCTCGTTTTTCTTACAATTTGTTCAAATTAAAAAAAATATAACCAACTTGATTTATTTCCAATTACATTAGTTTGATTTTTTTTTATTCATCTGTCCGCACTAGAGATCCCTCCTATTACTACTTAGTTTCTTGAGAATAAACTAGATTTAACATTTCAGGTTGAGTATCCGATGGATGCTTCCGTTAAGGATGACGATTATTTCAAACGATGGACATACGAAACATACAATTTCACGATTGCCGCATTTTGGACACCACACTTGGTAAAGTCCAAAGAACCCGACCAGACCCAGACCGAGCATACTGATATCTTCGACCTATACCTCGACGAGGCAGACGAGAGTTGGACAGCCGATATAGGAGATTTTGACTACGTGATCATCTCATCTGGTCACTGGCATTACCGGCCATCAGTCTACTACGAAAACCGGACAATCACCGGTTGCCATTATTGCCAATTACCGAACATAACCGATCTCACAATGTTTTACGGGTATAGAAAAGCTTTTAGAACCGCGTTTAAAGCGATCTTGGACTCGGAAAGCTTCAAAGGTGTAATGTACTTACGAAGTTTTGCACCGTCACATTTTGAAGGCGGGTTGTGGAACGAAGGAGGAGATTGTTTGAGGAAACAACCATTTAAGAGCAAAGAGAATCAAGATGAAACGACAATGAGGCTACACAAAATTCAGTTGGAAGAATTTTGGAGAGCTGAAGAAGAAGCGAAGAAGAAAGGGAAGAGGTTAAGACTACTAGATACGACCCAAGCGATGTGGCTTAGACCCGATGGTCACCCAAGCCGCTACGGCCATATGCCAGAGGCCAATGTCACGTTGTATAACGACTGTGTTCACTGGTGCTTGCCTGGTCCTATCGATAACCTCAACGACTTCTTGCTCGCTATGCTAAAGAGAGAAGAAGACAAAGGATCATTGGCTCAAGTTCGGAAAATGTTGTCGTAAGGACAACACCAAATTAAGTCTTCTGCTTTATTTAATTAAATTTAAAAAATGGTCAAATGTTGTGCCTAGTTATTGGATGACCACGAGATCACCATTATATACCATATATAAATACATATTTATGATTAGACCAGACACCATTGTCTTGAAGCAGACAATGGAGCTTCCTTTGTTTGCAATCCTTCAAAGAACACCAAGAGTTGCAGTTACATTAGCATTTGTTCTGTTTCTCCTCACAATAGTTCCTGCTTTATATTCTCTCCTTGCCAATCCAATCTTACCTCCATCGATCTCATCATCCGAGACTGACCATCCCCCTGAAACCAAACATACGCGTCTCAGTCATCTGAATTCTTCATCAAATCAGATTCCTTCACCCTTGAATGGTCCCATTCCCGCTCTAACCGAACACACACCTTCAAGACATCGGAAATCTTCTTTCCATCGGATTCCTACACCTGAGGACGGTACCATTTCCTCTCCAACCGATCATACACCTTTAAGACAAAGGAGTTCTTTATCTGATCAGATTCCTTCACCTAAGAATACTCCGATTCCAGCTCCACCACATCGGAATTCTTCATCCGACCAGAGTCCTTCACCAGTGAACAGCCCTATTCCCGCTCCACTCAATCATACGTCTTTAAGACATCAGAATTCTTCATCCGATCAGATTCCATCATCTGATGATCGTTCGTCCCCAGTCATCACAATACCATCAAGAACGCGGATCAGAGATGATGAGCAAAGGTGTGATCTTTTCACCGGGGAATGGGTACCGAACAAAGAAGCTCCATACTACACCAACACGACGTGCTGGGCGATACATGAACGCCAGAACTGCATGATGTTCGGGAGACCAGACACCGAGTTCATGAGATGGAGGTGGAAGCCAGACGGCTGCGACCTCCCCATCTTTGATCCTCAAGAATTCTTGGAAATGGTAAGAGGGAAAGCCATGGGGTTTGTTGGTGATTCCATTAGCAGAAACCAAGTCCAGTCTCTCATGTGCCTTCTCTCTAGGGTAAAAAAAAATCCAATCTAATTGTCAATGATCACCAACTAACCAACATCTCTCTAATGTGTTGACTTTTTAATTTCCTTGTAGGTAGAATATCCTGAAGACATTTCTTCTTCACCAGATACAGATTTCAAAGTATGGAACTACACATCCTATAACTTCACTCTTCATGCCATGTGGTCACCATTATTAGTGAAGTCTACTAAACCTGACCCTACAGATCCGAAGTCCAACTTCTTCAGACTATACCTTGACGAGTATGACACTGAGTGGACAAGTCAGCTCGACCATCTCGACTACCTGATTATATCATCTGGCCACTGGTTCTACCGGCCCATTATTTTCTATGAAAACCAACAAATCTCTGGGTGCCAATACTGAGCGTTACCAAACACGACTGAATTGCCTTTGGACTATGGATACAGGAAGGCTTTAAGAATATCTCTAAAAGCTATACTCGAAAATTTCAAGGGTCTTGCCTTTTTGAGGAGTTTTTCTCCTCAACATTTTGAAGGTGGGCTTTGGAACGGAGGGGACTGTGTAAGGACACAACCTTACAGACGAAACGAGACAATACCCGAAGGTGCAGATCTCAAGGTTCACGACATTCAACTGGAGGAATTTAGAGCTTCAGAAGAAGATGGGAAGAAGAAGAATGGTTTGAGGCTGAAGTTAATGGACATGACACAGGCAATGCTATTGCGACCAGATGGGCATCCTGGGAGATATGGCCATCTACAGAATGCAAATGTGACTTTAAGAAATGACTGTATTCATTGGTGCCTGCCTGGACCTATCGATACTCTGAATGATATACTGCTACAAATGATGAAGACATAGAACTAGAAAGCATCCCTCAAGAATGAATAGTGGAGACAAATATCAAGAAAAATTGTAAAGAAACATTCATGTAGGAGTCTCAGTATTCAAATGCCATGTATTCATATAGAAGGACAGAAAACCATTTGACAACAATTATTGTATTCCTATAAATTTTTATATGCAGTATTTTGACTCCCTTGCGCAAACTAAAAGCACAACAGAGTACTCGTGTACACAACTTCTCAAAAGGAAATTTTGATGAAAACCAGGACTTGCAAAGCCAAAATGTAGACGACAAAAGCTGACCTGAGATACATAAGCCTTGTTTGGGTCCCATTTCTTGTAGCAGATGAATATGGAAGGTAGGAATGAGCATCAACTTCGTGGTCTGATGCAAATTCTCTATCTGAATTTGTTCTCTTGAATCTGTTCCTCGCAGCGTTCCCTTCAACGTTAAAGCTTTCATATCTTCTCCACAAATTGTTTAGTCTCTCTAACTCCATCTCGTTCGAATGAATCTCACCAACAATCCCCTCTGCTTGTGCCTGATAAGAATATCAAAAGCTTCTGTTAAGAAACAGTCTAAAGGGAAAAGTGTAGATTAATTTGGCTTGAGAGATGGACCTGCTTTGCAGCTAATTGCTCGATTAGGCTATGAAGTTGTTTATCCAGTGTCTTCTCTCTCTGAGCTGTGAAAGAAAAGCCTTTCCACTCAGATAATGTGAATGAAACTTTTCACGCTATCAACCTATCTAACAGAATCAAAAACAGATCTCTATTGAATTCTTACTGAAAATAAGCCTTTTCAAATATGTTGAAGACGTGATGGTTCTGAATCGTGATAAGCTGGTAATTTAATAACTAATCAGATCTGATGACAAAAAGTACCTGGAGAAGGCTGCTTCAATGCTCTTTCCTGTATAACAGCCCAACTCCTCTCTAAATCCTGAACTTTTTCTTCCATTGAACTCTAAAAGGAAAATTTAACTTATACTGCCATCAGATATACAGCCAGATTAGAGTATTCCATACCCATGAAACGTAAAATGAAAACTAACCAAAGCGTTCTTTTTGCTCTCTAACTTCTCTAGCATAACAGACTTCATAGCCTCGGTATCTGCTCCATCTTTTCCATTCCCATCAGGCTGAATAACAGTTTCACTAGAGATTCTGGACTGCCTTGCATCTAGAGAAGCTTGTGCATCTTCCTGCTCAGTTTTCAAGTTTTCCTCCACATATTCTAGCTCCTGCAAACCATATAATATCAGGCAGAGCCCAAGTGGTAACACAACCAACATTCATATCTGTATTTTATAACTCACCTTCAACTTTCTAAGAAGAGAATCTGCTTCATTCCTCTTCTCTTCAATTTTGCTCTCACAGATTGATATTGCATTCTCATATGCACTATTTTCTTCCAGAAGAGTCTGCTCTCTCATATGTGCCTAGTTGCAATACCAAAAGAAGAACCATAAGGATCACTTCAAAATCAGCCAAAACCATATCCATTGAAGACTAATCCTATAATGCAAACACACGATTCCCGAATTCAGCTTCACTGTTTCAATAACTCAAACCTGTTCACGAGTAGCGGAGTGCGAATCAAGCTGAAGAGTGAGAGCCGCATTGGAGGCAAGGGAGTGAGCAAGAAGGTCAGGTAGACGTTGGGAGATATCCGGTGGAGGCAATCTGAGCCGTAGATCTTGGATCGAACGGCTGAGGGTTGTCGCTTTCCGGCCAAGCTCATCGACGTATTTCTGCTGCTCCTCCGTGAATACCAATGGGATCCGATCCTTCTCATCGTCTCCTTCTTTTCCATTTTTACCGACGACATCGGCGGCCCAGGCTAGAAGTCCGGCCATATCTCGTCTCTTTTTTCTTCTCCTTCTCCGTCTCTTTGGTGTGACTCGCGGGACGATGCAGAGCTAAACCGGGTAGTTGGTGGTTTAACCGGGATGGTTCGGCTATATTAGTTAAATTCTATCGTTGGTTCGGTTGACGCTCAAAATGGGTTAACTTTCTAGTATCCGCCCCTATATATGGGCCTTAAGATAAGGCCTTATCTATCAAACAAAAAGAGTTTATGGGCCTATGCTCAATCAAACCTCTATCAAATCAGATATTTTTGCAAATTAATTGTTAAACTAAGACTTTAAATTCTTAAAATAGCTTACATATTTTCTAATAAATTTAGTAACATTAAGTTGTCATATAAGAAATGTGATAATTTGTTTCTTAAGAGGTGGTATTATCTTAGGGGTATATATGCATTGAAAGCAACATTTATAAAATGACTAAAAAATCTTGTCCTTTGCCTATTCAACAGGGGCATAAGAAATGTAATATGCATTACCGCGTGTTTGCAATTTACATTGCTTGCAATCAACCCTCTTACTCCTTCTCTAAGGAAAACATCAAATCACAAAACCTCAAGCATCTTCCAAACCTATCCACTAAATTTAGAATTTTTCAAATAACCAATCCAAACCAAACATGTAATACTCAATCATACATAGTCACATACGAACTAAGTTGTTAACCAAATATTTTGTTGCAAAAATACAAATAACCGTAGAGAATTATTGTAATCCAAAATCCAAACCATCTTACATTTTTAATTTGGGAATATCTTGTCTAAGTTTTAGCATCTAGCAAGTCTCCTGCACGTTCCCAAAACCTTAACTTGTAAACCATCATTTATTATAAATTCACAAATTTTCCCTTATATTTTTCTTTATAACCAAACAAACCCACAATCGTCTAACAGTTTTTAAAAAACAACCCCTTTACTTTTTGTGAAATCAATTTCCAAATCCGTCGTTATCTGTTTCTCCTCTTGACTAAGCAAAATGTTGAAAAAAGTGAGGCGAAAAGTCAAAGTCTTAATCACCAAACCCTTTAAAAAGCCCAAGACCAGACCTCCTCCTTCACCACCACCTCTTCCTCTTCCTCCTTCACCATCTCCACCACCGCCTCAAGAAATGTCTTCCTCAAGACAAAGCAACACTCCTTTTCTCTTCCCGAGATCCGATTCCTCTGTTTTACCCGACCCGTCTCGTTTCTTCAGTAACGATCTCCTCTCAACTCCTCTCCCTACAAACTCATTCTTCCAAAACTTCACTCTCAAAAATGGCGACCAAGCTGAGTACTTTCACCCTTACATCATCAAACCATCGGTCTCATCTCTCTCCATCTCATACCCATCTCTCTCCCACAACTCTGCTTTCATCTACGAAGCTTTCAACGCCGACATCATCATAACCGGGTCAGATGGACCCGACCCACATTCTCGAAAAACTCATCTGATCTCTTCCTTCAGCGATCTCGGCGTCACTCTCGATTTCCCTTCCTCTAATCTCAGATTCTTCCTCGTCAGAGGAAGCCCTTTCATCACCTTCTCCGTTAACTCCTCCATCACAATCTCAACGATCCACGCCGTTTTATCACTTTCCGGTAACACCTCATCAACAAAATACACCGCCAAGCTCAACAACAACCAAACATGGCTAATCTACGCCTCTTCTCCGATCAATCTAACCAAAGACGGCGTTTCTTCCATCAATTGCGGTGGTGGGTTTTCGGGTATTATCCGAGTCGTCGTGTTACCGAATCCAAATCCAGATTTCGAATCAACCCTCGACAGATTCAGTTGCTGTTACCCAGTTTCCGGTGACGCTGATTTCACAAAGCCCTTTGCTTTAGAGTATAAATGGGACAAACGAGGCTATGGAGATCTTCTAATGCTAGCTCATCCTCTTCATCTCAAGCTTTTATCAAACAACCATTGTTCAATCACAGTTCTAGACAATTTCAGATACAACAGCATCGACGGAGATTTAGTAGGTGTCGTCGGAGATTCATGGGTTTTAACACCAGACCCTGTTTCTGTTACGTGGCACTCTATCAAAGGAGTTCAAGAAGATTCTCACCAAGAGATTATCTCAGCTCTAATCAAAGACGTAAACGCTTTAGATTCCTCAGCTCCGGTCACGAACTCTTCGTATTTTTACGCGAAATTGATCGCTAGAGCTGCGAGGTTAGTTTTAATCGCTGAAGAAGTTTATTATATCGATGTGATTCCAAAGATTAGAACTTACTTGAAGAACATGATCGAGCCGTGGCTTAATGGAAGTTTCGAACCAAACGGGTTCTTGTATGATCCTAAATGGGGAGGTGTGATCACCAAGCTAGGATCGACGGATTCAGGAGCAGATTTTGGGTTTGGGATTTATAATGATCATCATTATCATTTAGGTTACTTTGTTTATGCGATTGCTGTACTTGCAAAGATTGATCCTTTATGGGGAAAGAGATACAGACCTCAAGCTTATACTTTAATGGCGGATTACATGACATTGGGGAAGAAAGGAGCTAAGTCTAAGTCGAATTACCCACGTTTGAGATGTTTTGATCTTTTCAAGCTTCATTCTTGGGCTGGAGGGTTAACGGAGTTCGCCGACGGGAGGAATCAGGAGAGTACGAGTGAGGCTGTGAATGCATATTACTCTGCCGCTTTGTTGGGGTTAGCTTACGGTGATACACATCTGGTGGCAGCGGCTTCGACGGTTCTGACTCTGGAGATTCACGCCGCGAAAATGTGGTGGCAGGTGAAAGAAGACGACGCTATATATCCTCAAGACTTCACATCGGAGAATCGTGTGGTTGGAGTTTTATGGTCAACAAAGAGAGACAGTGGCTTATGGTTCGCGCCTAAGGAGTGGAGAGAATGTCGCCTTGGGATACAGTTATTACCGTTACTTCCGGTATCGGAAGTTCTGTTCTCCGATGTGACATTCGTGAAGCAGCTCGTGAATTGGACAATGCCGGCGTTGGCGAGAGATAGCGTCGGAGAAGGGTGGAAAGGTTTTGTGTATGCTTTGGAAAGTATGTACGACAAAGATGGAGCAATGGAGAAGATTAAAGGATTAAATGGGTTTGATGATGGCAACTCTTTAAGTAATCTGTTGTGGTGGATTCATAGTAGAAACAGTGATGATGATGATTATGAAGAAGACAATGAAGGTGGTTATGGTGGTCATGGCGGTGGCGGGAAATATTGCTCGTTTGGTCATTATTGTAATTAAGCTTTAAAGTTGTTTCGCGTTTTGGTTTGTTAAACAATGCTTATTTTAGCTTGTTTTATATAATAATTAATAAAACAATGTTTTTCATTTTTATAGCTACATGCAATGATTTTCCATCTTGTCGAACTCTCTCTTAATTACACCAATGATCTCTCTATGAGAATATCCACATATATATTCTATATGTCTAAAGTATTACGAAGGAAAGAATCTGTCATGTATCGTTTTTGTATCAAGTGAATGCCGTCGCGATCTTGAAACTCCTTCTCGAGAGAAGCTATGGCTGCTTCATAATCATAATGGTTGTTGATATGTTCCGTTGCAAACTCATTCAGATATTTAAGACATCCCTTGTCATTATAAGGACATATGATTGATTCTTCTTCTTCTGATCGTTGAGCTGATGCGAGTGAGACATATAATGAGAAGACAAGCGTTACCAAAAGAATAAAGAGAGTAGTCCATGGAAGCACAAATCTAGACGCCATGGTTTTTTAATGCTTTTGAAGATTGCAACTAATTAAGAGATCAAAGAATGTGGCCACAAACAAATTAAAATCTGAATAAGATAGATTGTGAGTTTGTGACTGACTATATATATAGTCGATGACCATAACAAAGTCTTTTCCTATTTTTTAATTGGGATCAAGTTGGTTTCTTGCGGATTAAGTTATTGCTTCATGATTATCGAGTAAATTTTGTTTTTTTTTATCCTAATAAAATGATGGAGGAGACGTGGCTACAAGTTTGGATAAGGTGGCTTCACTCCCGTTTATCTTTTGTTTACCCAAATATAGATTAGTTTTTTTCTTAGTTTAGTTTTTTTTTTTGCTTTGAAATCAAGGAAAAGGTTTCAAATAGGTTTGTCTTCTTTTTTTGGTCACTGGTAATATTAAATTTTCAAATACGTTTGTGATGCTCGTATTATAGTTTTAATACGATGTTAATATGTTATGTTGATGCAAAGGAAAAAAAAAGGATAAAAAGATAAAACCATGGGATGGTTCTAGTGGTTGGTGGATCGTGATTCGTGAACTTTCTCTAAGATTCGGAAATATTCGTCACACTTGGGACCCAAGAGTTTTAACATTTTCCGAACGTGGTAAGACATCTAAAGCCCATGATTTGCTAATACTAGCTTCCAAAGTCGTCACTCTACTCCATCCAATCACAAATGACTAACAAATTTTACAAATAATCATATATTTTCGAAACAAATTTTTAACATTAAATAACTTCATTACATGATAAACTAAGATCCACTAATTTTGCCATTTTGGTATTCGACATTTGATCCTCTTTAATCACACACTTCATTACATGATAATGTATTATTAAATAAGCGTTAAAAGCGACGTCGTCTTCTCCAACTTTTGGGGTTATATCTCTACACACTACATTTTCCTCGTGGAGAAGGAAATGGAAAGCGCACAAAAGCAAAGATGACAAATAAAGTTTGAAATTCAAAAGAGAAGCAGCACGAAGAAGACGAAGAAGACGAAGAATCTTGGAATTCGAGATCCGAGGAGAAGATGCACTCGTCTCTTCAGACTCAGCAGCCGGAGCAGCGATGCCGGCCGATGACCTCGACGGTATCGGAGATCGAGGAAGTTATACCCGATGAGGACTCCGATAGAACGACTCTTCTTAACGGTGAACCGTTGCGTCGTCGAGTTTCCGGTAAGTTACCGGTGGACGAAGAACCTCGTCGGATTTTCCGGCAGCAATCGTTCGGCCGCGATATCGGCCACGCGGCAGCTGAGACGTACCTAATTACTGGACTTAGCTTCAAGCTTCTTCGTTACCTCGGGTACTGATCTCGATTTTCTCGTTTTTGGAATAGGTATAGTGATGATTACGCCTAGGGAATTCGTGAATGGTTGTAGATATTAGCTGGCTCTGCAAAGTATCCAAGGCAATTTAATTTAGTTGCGTGAGATTTGGGGACTTTACTCTAATTAGGAAAGTTACTCCATGTGCATGTTGTTTTGCTCTTAATCTATGAACATGTGATGCTTTAGTTGCAGAGATTAGCATTTAGTTCATGTAACTTCAAAGCCTTGTAAATTCGATTCTACTTTCAATTTGTTGAAATCTAATACTGATTTTTTTCTTAAAACAATTTACACTTTAGCAAGAAGTTATCTTATTGTTAATTTTTTTTTTGGTTCAGGGTAGGCTATCGATGGATGACAAAATTACTTGCCCTTACATGTTATGCTATGCTGCTTATGCCTGGCTTTCTTCAAGGTTTGATTTTTGTTTTTGTCTTTCCTGATACATAAATTCATTCAGATGAGTTATTTTTACATTGTTTTTCCACTGGGAAATTAGTCTTTGATTCCTCATCTCAAGTTTGTATTATCTTCTGCAGTTGCATATAGTTATTTTTTCTCAAAACAAATCCGGAGGAGTATAGTGTATGGAGATCAACCAAGGAACAGGTTTGTGTGTGTGAACTGAATAGAATCTTACCTTTTCCTTTTACCTCTGCCTAAAGCGGTATGTCGAATGCCTGAACGGGCGATTCTTTAGGCTGGATCTGTACTTGCCAAGCAACAACGATGGCTTGAAGCCGGTTGTGGTTTTTGTGACGGGTGGAGCTTGGATTATTGGGTGAGTAGCACATCAGATTTACAACACTCTCCTCTGCATAATTTTGAAGTTCGTTTGTTTTGCAATTTCTCGTGTCCCAGAATCAGTTCACAGTTATAGAAGTTTTCTTCTCACTGTTTATTTGTTGATGTTTGAGTTAAATAAGAAGGAAGTAAAGATCCTGATTTGCTCTATATTCTTATCTCACCCAAGTTTCATCTTCGTGCACTAGATGAAGTCGCGTGTTAAATTGTTAATAAGTTCATTATTTGCTCTTGTGCTGATATATAGGTACAAAGCTTGGGGCTCGCTCTTGGGAATGCAGCTAGCAGAAAGGGATATCATTGTAGCATGCCTTGACTACAGGTAAAGAAAATACACAATTCAAAAAACTAATCGTCTTTTATATATATTACTTATGTGGACCACAGAATCAAAAAAAATTTAGCTCTGTTTGTAGCTTTTTGGTATTCGAAGATTATCGAAAATCTTGATTTCTGACATGCATTTACCAAGCAATCCGTTCTTTTTGGTGTAGGAACTTTCCTCAGGGAACAATTAGTGATATGGTAACTGATGCTTCTCAAGGAATCTCATTTGTCTGCAATCACATCTCTGCATTTGGAGGTGACCCCAACAGGTTTCAACTCATTGACTTTGGTTTTAATTACCATTTGGTCTCTCGGCTATTGAAGTGCATGTATGTGCTTGTCTCTGTAGGATCTACCTGATGGGGCAATCAGCTGGTGCCCATATAGCCGCTTGTGCTCTGTTGGAACAGGCTACTAAAGAATCAAAAGGAGAGAGCATCTCCTGGAGGGTGTCCCAGATAAAAGCTTATTTCGGATTATCTGGAGGGTAACTTCTAAACTTAATTATATGTGCTTTTTTGGTATACATACAGCAATCGACCTGCTTATCATTTTGAACTTGAACAGGTACAATCTATACAATTTGGTTGATCACTTCCATAATCGGGGACTGTATCGCTCGATTTTCCTAAGGTAAAATCTCGGTTAGTTAAATCCTAAACGATCATTTATTTATCTTTCTAATGTTCAACTCCAACTTGTAGCATAATGGAAGGAGAGGAGTCCTTTAAAAAATTCTCCCCAGAAGTAAGATTGAAAGACCCCGTTGTTGGAAAAGCTGCGTCTCTATTGCCTCCTATTATACTTTTCCATGGATCCTCAGATTATTCCATACCATGCGATGAAAGGTATATATGATCATCTTAAGTCATAGTTTACTAATTGATCCATTTGGTTTACTAAAACCAGCTCTTTTGGCAGCAAAACTTTTACAGACGCTCTCCAAGCTGTTGGAGCCAAAGCCGAGCTTGTTTTATACAGCGGAAAGACACATACCGATTTATTTCTTCAGGTAAAGCCACAGAAACTACCTTACATTGTGTCACACACACACAAAGACTAAGCTCCGAGTGAGTATAATAAACTCATGAGAGTATTTGTTTCTAGGATCCCTTAAGAGGCGGTAAAGACGAACTCTTTGATGACATAGTCTCTGTGATACATGCGGAGGACAATGATGCGCTGACGAAAGACTCATTGGCTCCTCCCAGAAAGCGTCTTGTCCCAGAGTTGCTGCTGAAACTGGCTCGTGAGGTTAGCCCTTTCTGACTGCCAAAAAACGAAAAGAAGCTTGTTTGTTGATCCTCAGTTTTTTTTTACCTCTGTTAGTTGCTGTGTGTTTTAATTGCATGATGTAAATAAAAACAAACGTTGTGGATCCACAACTATTTTATTTGACCCATGTAGATTTGAACACATCAATATGATTACGTCCACAAGTTTGAAATCTAATAAAAGCTTAAAATAGATAATATCGAGTTTTATCATATTCTCAAAAGGTGATAGAGATGTGACTAACACATGATAGACTCCTGCATGTTTTGTTACTATGAATATGATGGTGATCATATGCAAATTGGACTTGTATAAACAGACCATAGGTGATGTTGATATAACTTAACCTTATTCACCTTAATATGGACCCACCATTTGCTTCAACTTGTGGCTTATGTTCTTCCTAATCTTTAGACTCGAAGCGACTTGGCAGATTCCAATTGGCTCTTTCGATCTCAACCGTTGGCCACATCAGCTTGACCGACTTAATGTGAAAGGCAACAAAGTTAGGGCAGGCCATATTATCTCCAACATACCACCAAAGAAGACACCTAGCATACGAAGATAACAAAAAAGTTAAAAAGAGTCATCACTTTCTGAACAATGCTAAACAGTAACGATGCCTCTCGAAAGAAACCTGAATAGTAGTAGGAACATGACACAAGTTAAGAATTAAGATAAACATTCAACTAGAAAAGGCTAATGGTGAAGCCAAAGAGCTACTACTAAAGTTTCCAGCTTTACCAAAATAGTAGTTGATGATACAAAAATAGTTAAAAGTTGCACGTTCCAGAACCTAGGTAACATGTGGATGGGTCCTATAGAAGATTACATAGGAAGGGGTGTTTACACTTATAGAGAAAGTAGTGTAACTATTGGTACCATTGCAAAGATATAAGAAGACAATTAGTTTTGTTTTTCACATTTTCCTGATGGTTGATGATTCCAAAAGCTGTAAGCTTCTCTGCTCTAGACCCCTTCTCAGAAACTCAGCCAGCCACAAGGTGATCAAACGACTTTTCAAAGCCACAAACTTCTCGCCACGTGTCCAGATCTCAGTATTCTATCCTTCCACAACTAATATAACCTTCTTAGTTCCCTGCTACCTTTAGATACAATCTCACTCACCATCAAACAACTACAACATCTGGGTTAGTATGATGAAAGTAGAGAGTAACTGGGCACAAGCCTGTGATACATGCCGATCAGCCGCCTGCACCGTGTACTGCCGGGCTGATTCTGCCTACCTGTGCACCAGCTGTGATGCTCAAGTTCATGCTGCCAATCGTCTTGCTTCCCGCCATGAACGTGTTCGAGTCTGTCAATCATGTGAGCGAGCCCCGGCTGCCTTTTTCTGCAAGGCAGATGCTGCATCTCTATGCACTACCTGTGATTCAGAGATTCATTCAGCAAACCCACTTGCTAGACGCCATCAACGAGTTCCAATTCTGCCCATTTCAGAAAACTCTTACAGTTCCACGGCCACTAACCATTCATGTGAGACAACAGTGACAGATCCAGAGAACAGACTGGTGCTTGGTCAAGAAGAAGAGGATGAAGATGAAGCAGAGGCAGCTTCGTGGTTGTTGCCTAATTCAGGGAAAAACAGTGGTAACAACAATGGGTTCTCTATTGGTGACGAGTTTCTGGACCTTGTTGATTACAGTTCGAGTGATAAGCAATTCACTGATCAATCCAATCAGTATCAACTAGACTGCAACGTACCTCAGAGGAGCTATGAGGATGGAGTCGTTCCACTTCAAGTTGAAGTATCAAAGGGTCACATGCACCACGAGCAACAGAACTTTCAGTTGAGTATCACCTGTGGCTCCCCAAGAGCTCATCGAAGCTCCAATGGTTCCCTAAGTCATATGGTAAGCTTTTCATATATTTAATTCAGATCCTTTACTATGACCAGCATCAACTAAATGTCTAAGAATGTCTTTGTTACTGTCATTAGGTACATGTTTCATCTATTGACCTGGGAGTTGTGCCAGAGTCAACAACGAGTGACGCAACAGTATCAAACCCAAGATCGCCCAAAGCGGTAACAGACCAAGTACCTGACCCTCCAGCTCAGATGCTCAGTCCAAGGGACAGAGAGGCTAGAGTCCTGAGATACAGAGAGAAGAAGAAGATGAGAAAATTTGAGAAGACGATAAGATATGCTTCAAGGAAAGCGTATGCAGAGAAAAGACCACGGATCAAGGGGCGGTTTGCAAAGAGGAACGAAGTTGATGCAGAGGCAAACGAAGCTTTCTCCACAACAATAACGTTTGACACCGGATATGGAATTGTTCCATCATTCTGATGCTGCTATGGCAAAACTAGACTGCATGCTTGTAAATTACTTCTGGTTTGAAATTCCTGCAGGTTGTTACCACGGATATGCATATAGGCATGTAGTTTTGTCTAACTAGTACGAGTTAATTAGATATAAATTCATATTTAGCTATTGTAAGTTCAAACAAAATTTTCCCACTTGGTAGAAATCCTCTTTATTTATGAAATATTACCACCACATAGAATATTGCTTTACAGTCTAAATTCAAACTGATGCTACAAAGAGATATGCATTAGTTTAGCTAGCTGTACCAAGAATAGTCAACACGTAACTCACCTTGCCTAAGTTCAAAGCAAATAATTCCACTGTTGATTCCTTTCTTGGTGACACTTTCCACATCACTGCCTTTATCGTAGAAGATAAATGATTCCACTTATGCCGCCCCATGACATTTTCATACCTCCCTGAGAAAGAAGGTTTGAATCAATAGTATGATTTTATAACCAAAGTAGATAACAGAAATCCAACAAAATCAACATAAAACCACACACTGAATAGTCTTTTTCGGTAATGTACTCAGATAAGTGGGAGTCAGATAACAAACAACCAAGAACCCTGGGTATAATTACATCGACGCATATTCTTGTTCCTGATTAGCATTGGTGCCAAATCCATTCCCACGTGGTTGTCTCGGATAACAAGATTCTATCACTCACAACCAAGTACTAGCAGAATATGTCAATGCCTAAGGACCATCCTAACGAACAAAGATATTCAGTGTGAGAAATCTATTTCTTGCTCTATCTTTTAGAATAATAGCTCACTTTTCCAAGGTACAGTAAAACCTCTATAAATTAATAATGTTGGGACCATGAAATTTTATTAATTTAGAGAGATATTAATTTATCGATAAATTAATAATTATTAATTTATAGAGAGATTTTACTAATTTGGTAATTTCTTAAAAAATTTATATCTAAAAATAAATTTTTTCTTTATAAGCAATATCTTTTTAAAACCAATTACAAGTAGAGAAACAATTATTAAGTTTAAAAAACAACACAAACTTTTTTTGAATAATAAAGCCATATTTCATTAAATATTTTAAATATATATCGTAGTAATTCATATATGACATATATAAATTTATATATATATATATATAAAGTTAAATATGCATATATATATATATTAAGTTAGATATACATATATATATTGATAAGTTTATACAATTATTAATTTATGATATAGATGGGACCATATGTTTATATGGGATTTTCAAAAAAATTATTATCTTATTAATTTATCGATTTATGTCATATTTTACACTGGTCCCAACTCGGGACCGGAAGAATTTATTAATTTAGAGAGGTTATTAATTTATAGAGTATTAATTTATAGAGGTTTTACTGTATATGCTGGCATTAAAAAATAACGAGGCAGCAAAAGAAAAAAGGTAACACTGTAAAGCCTTCACTTTTTGCCACCTGGAAAGGGCCACGTCTCAACTTATCTACCACTAGGATAGCTTCCCACTTCAATGGTTGAGCTGATGAATTCATCTACCAAATCAAAATATTATTTAGCCATCTGAGTCAGTTTTAATATCCACATGAATTTACCCACCAGTGTGTTGTAAAATATGTTATTTTTGGACCACATAAATGGATCTCAATCATCCACTGGAGCCAGAAGTGTCCACTGCAGCGAGTACTCAGACCAGCAGAAAATTTATTCAGTGATCTGTTTAGATCATGCAGCATAAACTTATAAGCCACACAAGAAAAACAAAGATATCCCCGGTTGCATATAATCAACAAGGAAACTTGAAGTAATAAAGTTTCTACTAAATTTCTTGTCAGGAAATTTTAAGATTCAATGACAACCACTTGGAGGACTAACGAATTTAAGAGCCAATAGAATGTTACTATTTGGGGATGGATTCGAGCTATCACGTGAAAGTGCATAAAAGTGATTACCTTTTGCCAAAGGTCACTGCACTTTTGCATTTTTCCTCAGATAGTTTCTCACAGCCATGGAAAGTGGAGAATCCGCACAAAACGTATCATTACAAGCTTTTCTTTAAATCTGAAAGTAAGAAAGTATTTGCAACCATGGAAAACTGATAAATAATGAAAAGAAATAAGCAATAAAGTTTTCTTTCCTCAATCTCTAGAATTGAGTCACACAATAGATAAAAAATGCATTTTCCTCCACAAATCTCGATGCAACTTTCATGTTATCTGAAGGCGTACACATGTGAGAGAAGTTCCAAACCGCTACAGCAATAAACTTACAGATGGTCAAAGAGCAATAATAAGCGAAATACTTATTTCTTGAACTGCAAGTGAAAAAGGCCAATGCACAATTTACTCTTCATGAACTCGAACCAGACTATATCTCCAATTTTTTTCACCATCAAAACACTAAAAGCCAAAGATGCCTCAACTTATCCAACTTGGCAGAATAAAGATCTCCAAATATGCTTACTAATGTAAGGAACCTAGAATATTTTTCTTTAGAATTCAATGATCATGAAACCATTTCATAACAATTCTACATGCCATTACATTTCTCATAAAGCCAGTAAGTAACAAGAACTTAAATGTTAAGTTCCAATTACCAAGCAGAAAAAAACCTTTTCAAAGTTTAAAATTTACTCATATAGGAAAGAGAAGTGCGGTGTAAGCAAAAATGAAAGAAGAAGAGATGCGAAAAGTGTATCCTAGGACCAGCATTTTATACAAAAAAAAAACTCACTTTTCAGCTCTTGAGGCATAGAGTGAAGGAAGCCACATGAATTTGGCCACTTGGACCACAAAAGGGTATCATACATCCACTGGACCCAAAAGCGTAACTGGAGCTAGTCCTCAAACCTAGAGAGTATCATATTCTGTAGCTTCCACATTGTAAACATTATGAGCATAACACCAACAAGGCAACTCAAAGTACTAATGGTTACTAGTACAAGCAAACCCAAGATGCTGAACACATGAATGGGTCACCAAATAGCTTGCATTTGCTAACCAATAAACTAGCAAGCAAAGGTGCTTAAATTTTTTGCATCTATGGATCCTGTGGAGTAGTAAACAAGTGTAGCATAAAACTTTACAATTACCTCCGTGATCCTAAAGACAAGTCCTGAATTTTTTCAAACAAGTGTAGTATGTATTAGATTACTTCCACAGGTTGAGATCTAATAAAGCTACAATAAATAGTATAGAGTATCATCATAAACTCAAAAGTGTTACAGAGATGTGACAACACTCATGAGTCATGTTTTGTTACTACTTACCATATATGGACATGTAATATAATTAACCTTTGCTCATGTGGACTCCAAAATTCCTTTCAACTTGTGCGTCAGGTAAATCCTAATCTTTTGACTCAAGACTACTTGGCGGATTCGAGTTAATTCCTAAAACATCCACCGTCTCTATGTTTTTCACGTCATTTTTCCGATATGCTTCTCATTGCCATTAACTTATGAACCAGACTAAACATTAAAACACTTTTCATCCGAAAATCATTTGGAAGTTTCAATTGCAAATCTTTCTAAATGATGTAGATACAATCACAAATAATTTAAAAACAACTTTACCATATTCACGAGTTTGTCTAACCTTTCTATAGGTAGTCAATAACAGTTGGTGATGGCTCTGAGACTCAAAGCCTTACTCGGAGATATACCTGGACAGTAATCACAAGGTTCAGGATGAATATTCAACAACCTAAACTTTGTATGAAGCCAAAGAGATCAAGGAATCTAGCTTTACTTTAAATAAAATTCATATGAAAAATAGTAACAATGTGTCTGCAACACCATGGCATTTTCCGGACCACTTCCTCCTGAGAATCTATGTATGGCAAGTGGCAAAACCTAAGCAACTTGTGAACAGGTCCCAATGAAGAAGTGCATAGGAGGAGATGTTTACACTTTACACTTTACACTTTACACTTTACACATAAGCCTTCCCAAAAGCTCAACTAGCTGCAAGATGATCCAATAACATTTAAGAGCCACTAACTCAGTGCCACGTGTAGGCACTCAGGATTCGATCTCCCCTCTGCTTATTCTCTCACACCAGATATAAGCTTTATTAGCCCCTTCTTTCAGATACAATCTACCACACCATCAAACTTACTACATCTGAGTTATTATGTTGAAACAAGAGAGTAACGACATTGGTAGTGGAGAGAACAACAGGGCACGAGCCTGTGACACATGCCGGTCAAACGCTTGCACCGTATACTGCCATGCAGATTCTGCCTACTTGTGCATGAGCTGTGATGCTCAAGTTCACTCTGCCAATCGTGTTGCTTCCCGCCATAAACGGGTTCGGGTCTGCGAGTCATGTGAGCGTTCTCCGGCTGCTTTTTTGTGTGAGGCAGATGATGCATCTCTATGCACAGCCTGTGATTCAGAGGTTCATTCTGCAAACCCACTTGCTAGGCGCCATCAGCGAGTTCCAATTCTGCCATTTTCTGGAAACTCTTGCAGCTCCATGGCCACTCACCACCAGAGCGAGACAACAATGACCGATCCAGAGAAGAGACTGGTGGTGGATCAAGAGGGAGATGAAGAAGGTGATGAGGATACCAAGGAGGTGGCTTCGTGGCTGTTCCCTAACTCAGACAAAAATAGTGGCGATCAAAATAACAATAACCAGGACAATGGGTTATTGTTTAGTGATGAGTATCTAGACCTTGTGGATTACAACTCAAGTATGGACTACAAATTCACAGGTCAATACAATCAACACCACCAAAACTGCGGCGTACCACAGACAAGCTACGGAGGAGATAGAGTTGTTCCGCTTCAACTTGAAGAATCAAGGGGCCACCAGTGCCATAACCAACAGAATTTTCAATTCGATATCAAATATGGCTCCTCAGGAAGTCACTGCAACGACAACGGTTCCCTTAACCATAACGTAAGGCTTTTGTATATTTGTTACCCTTCAATTTAGCATCTCCCCAATAAGCAGCAGGGTGTTTTCTTTCATCATACACACAAATCCATGGATCAACTGCCAACAGTTGATCTATAGTACATAGAAATTTCACCAGAAGTATATAATAAAAAAAATATATGCTTCCTTTTGCATCGACTCTCTTTAGTCCTTTAATCAGGGGGATTGAGAATGTCTTTGTTTCTGTCATCAGGCACACATTTTATCTTTGGAAACTGGTGTTGTGCCGGAGTCAACAGCACGTGATAAAACAGCTTCACACCCAAGAACGACGAAAAAGACGACAGACCAACTACCTGACCCTCCAATTCAGATGATAACCCAACTTGGTCCAATGGACAGAGAAGCTAGGGTCCTGAGATACAGAGAGAAGAAGAAGACAAGGAAATTTGAGAAGACAATAAGGTATGCTTCAAGGAAGGCATATGCAGAGATAAGACCGCGGGTCAATGGCCGGTTCGCAAAGAGGAAAGAAATCGAAGCCGAGGACCAAGTGTTCAACACAATGCTAATGTACGACACAGGATATGGCATTGTTCCTTCATTCTGATACTCCTATGGCAAAAATAAAGACTAGATTGCAAGCTGTAAATAAATTTTTAGTTTGAGATTCTGTTAGGTTTGGTGAAATTCGTAGCTTCAATGATTATTACTACGATTATGCAAATGGGTCTATAATTTTGGCTAATTAATACTATAGTATTCCTCTTTCTCTGCATTAGTTAAACAAAACTTATCTACTTGGTACAGATCCCCATTTGTGAAATATGCATCATCAAGAAGTGTAAACGCAGATTTCACCTTGCCTAACTCCTAAGAGGGAAGCCAATAACTTCCCGATAACCTGAACATCTGCAAGCTAAGTGAGTACTATTATGCCACCCCAGGACATTTTCACGCTTCCCTGAGAAGAAGAAGGTTCTACATAAGATTCTATAATTCAAGCTGATAACACAGACTTTCACACAACATTTGAAATCCCATCAACCAACATGAAATCAAAATACAAAGTGGTCACTTTCAGTATGGTACTCAGACAAATGGGAATACATTAGCAGAAAACCAGAAACCCTGAGTGAACCATGCCATTGTGAATAATTCCATTGAAACATATTATTTTTCTCAATGGCATTGGAGGTGATTGCAGCACCGAATATGCATCCGCGTGCTTTCTAGTATATATCACTAACAACTACTAAGAATAATGCCTACGGGTATGGGCCATCCGCATAAACATAAATACTTACTTCATGAAATCTCTTTCTTGCTCTTTATCTTTTAGAATAAAAGGCTTACAGTCCATGGTATATGCTGATAAAAGAATGACAAGTGACAACGCAAAGGAAACAAGAAGTGACACTGTAACTAAGGATGCTATTTTTGCCATCTGGAAAGGGCCATAGAGCTAAACTTATCTACAATTCACAATTCCATGATTAAGATGCTGAAGCCTTCATGTACCAAACAATAATCATTGCTATCAAGAGATCTGGTTTTACTCATATATGTTATCAGACAAAGATCTGGAATCGGTGTTACCTTGCCTTATCAACACGATTATGTGTAACTCTTAGATGAAATCTTATAATAGTAAGCAAAAAAACATAGAAGCAAAAAGTCTCCTGAGCTGTGTATCAGAACTTCTTACTAAACTAAGTGATACCACGTTCCTAGTTATAGAAACCATCAGCCCTACTTGTTCTCTGCTTCAAGAATTTTAAGAAGAAATAACAACCAAGTGTATGGCTTACTAAGTGTTAATGTCAAGTGGTAGATTCGAGAGCTCACGTGAAAAGTGAATAAAGTGATAAAAGGATGCTGCACTTTTGCACTTTTCCAAAATTCTAAGGATAGTTCAGATCGTTACTCGCGGCCATGAACACGGAAAACAATCCCCAAACTAGAGAATGAGTTGATAGAAAATTAAAACACTGTGATTTATAAGATTCTTATCTTGCTTCAATGACCATATACTAAAATAGCAGTTTCCTACACATAATCCTATAGATGTGAGAGGAGTTCCTAGCTAACCATTAGAAAGGGAATCCACAGAGATTAGCTAAGAAGAAGAAGAAGAACAAGTAAAGACTTGTCTTTCTTTGAACCACAAATGAAAAAGGCCAAAACAGAACAACAAGCATAAACCCTAACATTTATTTACAAATTGGAATCAATCACCATCAAAATATAAACCCTAAAATATACTAGATTTTGGATAAAGGAACCAACTTTCAACCAGTCACAATATATTTGGGATGATTTTGGATTTATTTGAGGAAAAAATGCGAAATTGATGATTGAATATGCAAGGGTTTAAGGCGTATTAGGATAGTGAAAATTCAATAGATTGAAATCACAATTTTTTTGCTCAATTAAATCCAAATCTATCCCATATTGATGTTGACGAGCTGAGATTAAAGGAGTTTACCAGAAAACCCCAAATCGGGATTGTGAAGTGAAAAGCCCTAGCGTTTGAGCGACGACGATCGATCATCAATATTCGAAATTCGCACGGCTACTCCAGAGAGTTTCCAACAATGAATGAATGACGCTACTGGTATCGTTTCATGCTAATGGGCCAGGACAAGGATCAGAAGGCCCAATTAGTCTTACGCGCCAAACCACAATTACTACGAGTCTACGACTAAACCACAATTTCTTTTTTTGTTGTTGTTGTCTATTGCATGATCATTGTGTGATAATGTGATATCTTATCTTATCAAAATGATAATAATATTATCATTCACGATGACTGAATCTAAGCATTTCGACGACGAAGTTTCATAAAAGATTGCACAATAGCTAATTTAACTCGCACCACAAAAAAAACTGATATTTTAGAAATTGTAAAAGCTTAACATTAAAACGAAAAAAAAATATATAGTTTAGTTTGTATTTGATATGTACGTAGACCAGAAATCAGTTTCATATATCTCATATATTTCTATGTCAGACGAAAAATAGTTTCAGAAAGATCCTCCTCGAAACTATCCTCATGAAGAATGCAGAATTATCACAAGATCACTTTTATAAAAGTAATTTAATTTTTATCAAGTATATCAAACTTGGCTTCTCTATTGGATGAAGAGGGTTTGGTGGTAGTTGTTTGTCTTCTTTTTCTTTCTCTATATATAAATATTATAAAATCATACTCTTCCGCCACCAGGATTCGAGGCACGGCCACTGGCAAGTTTACATAGGGGAATTGCCAGCCTCGTGGGATTAGTCCTTGGGCCTAGGAAGCCTTTGGGAGACCCGCGGTTATTCAAAAAAAAAAAAAAAAAATCATACTCTTCTTTTCCAAATTTATGTATAGAATAATTAATAAGTTCTTGTTTACAGTATCAAGATTATATTAGAATTATTATATCTCTTCTTTTTTTTTTTTTTTTTTTTTGAATAACCGCGGGTCTCCCAAAGGCTTCCTAGGCCCAAGGACTAATCCCACGAGGCTGGCAATTCCCCTATGTAAACCTGCCAGTGGCCGTGCCTCGAACCCTGGTGGCGGAAGTCACAGCTGTGACCCCTTTACCACTAGGCCACAAGGCCCGGTTTATTATATCTCTTCAAATGGAAGAACAAATATCCATCATTTAATTATCATCTTTTCTGTTCATACAAATAAAACAGATTGAAGAAATCTGACAAAAACAACAGTAAAACAAATAAAACCCAAACTTTGGTACGTAGTTAAACCGTTAAAAAAGTGATACCAAAGAAAGAAAATAGATAGATTAGAGGCAGAAACTTGAAGTAATGTTTTTCTCGATCAGGACAAGTACTCATGATGGATGATGAGTTCTTGGATCATCTGTAATAGAAGAGAAGTCTTGATCCAATTCATCCATGGAAGAAGAATATTTGTCATTAATCCCTCCTCCAAGCTTCTTCATGGATGTGATAACTTGACGAAGCTCCAAGTTTTCCTCTTTAAGGCTCAAGTTCTCTTGAAGAACATGATCATTGTTGTCGGAGACTTGGTTAAGCTTATCTAGAAGCTGGTGGTTCTCGCTTCGAAGCCAAGCAACCTGTGAGAGAAGCTCATCTAAGTGTCTTTGCTTTCTCATTCTTGATCTTCTTGCTGATTCTCTGTTAGATACCATACGTCGTTGCTTCCTCTCATTGATGACAAAGATTCCTTCAGTTGCGTCATCGGAAGTTGTAGAGTTGTTGCTTACCGGAGATTGTAGGTTGAGTTCTTGAATTTGAGGGTATTGGAGGAGATTGAGATTGTTGTTATTGGTTGAAGGGTTTAAGTTGTTGTAGTAGTTCAAGTGGAAGTAGTCTTGTTGTTGCATGTTGTTAAGACTTGAGCTATCATAATTTGGCTGCATGGTCAATTTCTCTCTCTCTTTAGAACTCAAAGAGGGTGAGTTTAATGGTGGAGATTGGATGAGAAGGAGTGTTTATACAGCTGAGAAAGGCATACAAGTGGACCACAACTTTTTTTGCAAATTGGTGGCTTTCGTGACACATGCTTAAGAGGGTTTTGCTTTTGAAAAAAATAATTTAGATTATGTCGATCAAAGACATAACCCATTGGCCATGGACATGATTTTACTGATTGCTATATAAATTTATTAATGAGATCGAATAACAAATTGAATTTGAAGTCCACATTGACATGTTGTTTATTCAAATCGGTTCACGCATGAGATTTGTGAATAGGACTAGGCCAAGGGATGCTTGTATTTTATAATAACCATGGTTTGCATGCTTTGTGTATCAGATAAATTTTATATGGATGTGTGTATATGATAGACACATGGAGGTGCTACATCCTACATCATCATATGATTAGTTCAATAACCAAGTGGTGGCATCTTGTCGTGTGCATGTGGGTCTAGGAGAGGGCGCCGCGCCATGGCCATCTAGTGGCATCTAAGTGATACATGATCATGATGTTCATGCATAATTGAACTGAAAAAGGTTTCTATATCATGCACATGCATTATGATGATAATGACACATGAGGACTTGGGTACCATATATACATATTGTGGATAAAATCAAGCTTTCGATCAATGTTATGTGCTTACATCAGTGAGAAATTTGTAGTTTTTAGTTGTGGGGTTTCAAATTATTTTAGTTTGGAAACAATACTTTTGTTAGCCAATATATAAAGTGGCGATGATGCCAAATAAGTCAATTTATAAAGTATATATATTTCTTTATTTAATGGAATTAGTTCTAAATCTTTACAAAAATTACTCCCCAATTTCTCTTCTTCTTCTCTCTAGAAAAAAAAAGGTTATCTCTGCGACCTTGAAGATTTGTTTCTCTTCTTTAATTAATTATTATATTGTTTTCTGCATAGATCTTTAGAGGTCCTAGATAAATTATTAAAAAACAAAATGTGGTGACTTCTACTATAATATTAACATCACAGACTGCAAAAAGTAAATCTAAAGACTTAATAAATTAGAATTTTACCAAAAAATGATTAAAAAAAATTCCTAAATCTCTTAACCAATCATCCCAATTTGTTCAGGTGTATTCTTTTCTTTTCAGTAACCGAGAAATTCCAGAAGAAAACATATATGTATACTAATCTTGGAGACATGTAAAATACTTGTTTATTCTTGTCACTTAAAACATTTACAGTCTTCAGTCATTATTGCAACGAAAATACAGATACTCGAACCATGATCTCTTAATTCACATGATTCATCCTCAGACATTTATGGTTTTTTGTTCGTTTCAACTTTCAAGTGGTATGTTTTAATGTTTTTGAACTCATTGAATCAATAAAAAGAAGATCATGTTGATACAAGAACTTAATTATTACTTCAACTCTTCTTTTATTACATAGATATATATATGGTCAAAGACCACTATATATTAACAAAAACCAAACCAAACAAACTCCCTACTTGCACTAGGAAAGCAAGATGTGTTAGGCAGGCTTGGCTTGTCGTTTTATAATGTTCACTACAAAGGCTAAGGCAAAGCCTATAATACATTGAGGAGCCGATGACTCAACAACCACTTAATAAAACCACACTTTCTTTTAATAAACGTTTAAAACCACACACACTTGCATAAATGATTAGTGATTGCAAACTAATTAAAACCATTTTTTCTTTTTTTTCATTGATTTAACTAACTAACTAAGTTTTGTTAATAATTAGAGCGTGTATAATCCCTTAGTTGGTCAAGATTGAGAACATGCATGGATCATTAATATATTACCGAACGCAATTTTACCCTACACAATTGATCATTCGTTGTCGAACTGTCTAAATTTTAATATTACGACATCAAATTTTAGGAAATCGTTTTGTCCTATTATTTCCTGACTTAATATATGTAATAGATTTTTTTTAGGAAACCCATTTAATAATTGGAGAATTGAAGAAATCTTCTTTGGTCCCCTCTTTTTTTTTCCTTGCTACTATTCTATTAAAAACGTATCCTTTTTAAAAATAGATATAACCAAAAACTTAGGCATGCATGGGTTTATTATAATCCATTTATAAAAAGGCAATGTTAATTAAAATATGTGGATATTGATATTGGACCTCTTTAGGTAGACTTTTTGGGTGTTGACTGAGAATTATACAGTTATATAGCTTGTTTTTTCAATAACTAATTTCGGGTTTTACTGATGCAACACCTTACTATTTGAGGAAAGCACATATTCAAGAGACACTAGTTTATGTTGAACATGTGTCGTATAGTTTTTTCTTTTATATCCAAACTGAATATTCATTTGGGTTTGATTAGTTGATACCATAGATTTTCATCTAATGATTTAAAAATTAGTTTATTTTATTGTAATGTCAAATTCACAACACCTAAAAAAAAGGATTCGAGTGACTTAAACTTTGAAGTTCCCTGTTGATGCATAATGTGACAAATTTGAATAAAATAGTGTGACTGTGTTAGTCAAACGAAAGGCAAATACACACCATCAAGTCATATCATTAATACAAAGACGATTCTTCTTTATTTCAGTCGTCTCATGTCCTTTGCACGGTTTGTTCTTCTCCCATAGCCTCAAGTTTTTTTTTCTTATTTTATCCTTTTCTACTTTTTTCCAATTTGCTTTTCTTAGTGTTTCCTTTTTCTGATATTCTTTTAGTAATATTTTTCACTAGATCATTAACTATAAAAGTGTTTTTGAATGTTTCATTGTTTTGGTCCCCTCAATGACACTACCACCTGATATTGGCCTACCTTGATTTTTCAGTTCTTTGCCAAAGAATTCCCTTAATTTTATTCTGTCAAGAAAATATAATTTTCGTAACTGTAATTTAATCTAAATAGTACATGCCATGTAAATTTTGTAGTATTTAAACCCGCTCTTCTAACTAAAACAAAAACTATATATATAGCTTTTTTCACATTTTTTCGAACATATAAATTATATTTTGACTCATTGGTAATAAAAGAGTTCTTGAACTTTTTTTTGTCAGATTATATTCATCGGCCTCTTAAATAGCATATGAGAATTCGAAATTCCACGATCTTCTTTGTTAGGCAAACTCCAAAAATCATCAACATATTAATTTATTGTTACACTGTTTTTTAATGAAAAATGGATGATGTCATGATGGTACAGCTGATTGGTGGATTAAGGATAAGCCAATCACCAAAGCGAAGTCTATTGTATCATCACACCTTTTACGATAATTTTTATAATTCCACACCTTTTGTTTTTATGAAAATATTATAATTGTACCCATTATATACTTTGGTATTTTTCGTTCGTACCTCTAAATAATTCTATCTAATTTGCCAAATGAAAAGAATACTCTTGAATATGTTTTAACTATATCTACATGCCAGGGTCGGCTCAATTAATTCGGAGTCCCTGTACAAATTTTAAAAATTGGCCCTTTCTTTATTCAAAAAAAAAATGCGCCTTTTTCATGTTAAAATTTTTTAAAAAATTGGCCTTTTTCATACTAAAAAAAATATTTGGGCTTTTTTTCATGCTAAAAATATCTTAAACTCTTAAAAATTACTTTTTTTTTACTAAAAAAAAAAATTTTGGGCCCTTAAATATACCCCAAAAAATTTTGGCCCGGTACATTTGCTCATCTCGCTCACCTCATACGCCGGCATAACCTTTTACTAATTTTTGCGGTATAAAACTGATCGCATGTTTAAATAATCTTGACAAATATTACAAAACTATAAAAAATGAAATATTATATATATATTTTTAATATTTTAGTTAATTTAGTTAATTTATTATTTCTTAGTCACGGAAACGTAGTCCACCATTTCTCTAATTTAATAGAAAGATATGGAGAAAGGCCAAAATAATATGCTGAGATACTTGTAAATTAACTAAGGTCTTGCTCCACTAACCACTATCACTGCCAATTTTTACAACTATATATTGCCAGTCCTAATCATAATAGTTATGATTATGCAAAATTATTACTATTTCTCACAGAAAGTTTAAAATTTTCAAATAACCCACTTATCATTGCCTAACTGTGTTTTCCTTTGTTTATTGAGATCTTTTTAGTACGATTAGGGTGCTTAGGTTTTGTATCAAAGCCAGATATTACTATTTGAGTAGGAAGACGAACTAAGATAACAAGTTTACCCCATGAGATTAATTAGTCTGAATTTAGATTTACGTTAAAAAAAATTAACTTGATAATCTTTTGCCGGGTTATTATTGGTTGAGAGTACGTATAGTTGATGTCCATTTTTGTCTAGAAAGCTTAATGTCTCTTAAGGAGAAGAGAGAGAGAGAGAGAGAGAATCCTAAGAGACAAGAAGACAAAGTGGGAGAACGTCACTGAAGACTCGAGGGCAAATTTCAATCCAAAAATGATTGAGGTAATAATTATCAAATGAAACATTTCAAATGGTGTGATGAATTTGTTTTTGATGTGATGTTATTCACCCACTCCAACTACATTACGTTTTATTTTGATTTTTTTCTACTTTTTCATTGCAAACAGATCCACACAAATAAAGTTTGAAATTAAACATCAGCAAATGTTTAGTCTTTAAAAGATATATATATTCGAGGTCTAAAATGAGTGTTTCTAATAGAAATCATATGCTACGCCATTGGTACGATTAATCAATGAAATGATCAGTATTTTTTCTCTCAAATAAATTTCAGAATTGAACAGTTCGTAATAAAATATTTCCAATCGGAACCATAACAAATTTGTTTTTAGTTCCAAATTTATGGACTGAACATGGGAAGTTCTTGCCAAATTCCATATAGATTATTTGCAAGTAACTAATTGCAACCCTCTTTGGTTGATGAGAACAACTGATGGTTAAAACTCAGATTTCATAGAGGAGCTTATATTTTTCGAAAGTTAAGAAAATTTATCTGTGGAGTATTTGTTACATGGAATGAGACAAGAGACATGATTATTGCATATGAGAGGATAAGCAAATAGTGTTGAGCCAAATGGGTATCCAAGAGCCAGAAAAATAAAAATAAAAATATTCCACGATTATAAAAAAAAAATTGAAAAAATAAATCGACACTCGATGTTTGAAGTTTGGCTCTTTAGAAATGTAGAGTCACTATAGAGAAAAGAGCCAGCCACTGCCAGTGAAAATGACTTTTAACTTTAGTTTTGTTTAACAATCTTATTGCTAATGGACTTTCGGTTCATATTTGAAGTAGTTAGTGAAAATGAAACATGAAAATATAAAATAGTCAATTGAAAAGTATTAAGAAATTAATTAAAAATTGTAACGGAGATAAATGTTCACTTTGAAATGGGTTACCTACTTACCTTATCTAAATTATATCCGATTTAATGATAAGATATGTTTTCAAATCCGTTCAACTAATTTACCCATTAACGAAATTCTAATGGGTGCTGAAAAAAAAGTTATGTATAAATATGGACCTTAGAGATGTCAAACGGGCATGAGGTCCGCGGCTTGGCTCATATAATATTACGGCGAGACAGGTTTGGACAATGTTTTTTATACCCACAAATTAACGGATCTCGCAGGCAAGTCCAAACGGATTTGCGGGTCGGTCCGATGTTTAATAAAAATAAATATATAATAGAAATAAATAATTATTTTTACTTAGTTGTGAAAATATAAGATGGGAAATATGTGATAATGTAAAGAAATTTAATTTATAAATTAGTTTTACATATCCAACATTTATATAATCTGGGTAATAGATAATACTAATATAAATAGCAAAAAATCACAATCCCAATAAAACCAGAATCCGACCCAAATTATCTCATTTCACCTTGTTCTATATGTTTCAAAACATTAGTTTTACATATCCATATTATACTCGTACCCGATCTTTACCGTTGTTTAGAGCTAACAAAATGGACAAGCACTATTGAACCTAATATGATGAAAATTGAAATATATGTCAGTTACTAAAGAATTTTTAGTGTTTGTAGCTTCCACAATAAATCCAAATTTCCACCAATTGTTTCTTCAGTGGACTAAAAAGCCCGTACGTTTGGATTAGATCAGGTCCATATGAGACCCATTCCGAGAAGACCACGTTATACCGGACCAAACCCATCGTTTTAATATGTATTTGGTTAACCACAAGCTGGTCACAGACTCACATGACTGACTCAGGACCCGTATTGGCATCTGACATTTGATTACCCCCCTCGCAACAACATCATCGCTAATTGATTCTAATCCTAGATAACACAAATGGTAAAAAAAAAACATGAATGAGCTTTTCACTTTCTTTCACGTTTTACAGTAGAATCTTGCGCAGGTAAAGGAACAAATCACCTCGAAAAAATCATATTTAGAACTAATCAAAATTGGTTCGACAATTCCTCTATAAGAAAACTGTGACTGCAATTATCAGCAAAGTCTAATAAGAATAATGAACCTAAATAACTTGCAAAAAGATATGGCTCCAAATGTATTCTTCCTATTATCTAGAACCAATATATACATCATATCAACCAGTAACAGATCGTTACGGATGAGACATTACCGAAGACATAAAGCAAATTTACTTTTTCAACCCGGAACATCGACTCCCTTGCCAAACCGCTGCTACCGCGCCTTCATGCTCTCCTATGCCTTTCATATTCCAGATCATCAGTAGGTAGCTCATACCGACAAACCGGGCATGTATTCCTTATCCCTAACCAAGGTATTATACATTCTCCATGAAAGTAATGCTTACAAGGAAGCCTCTTAACTTTCTCCTTAACCACAACTTCATCTTTGCAGATTGCGCAAACGATGTTCCCATTGCTTAATTCTTCAATGGTAAAGTCCACATCAGGAAGATCATTTACTACACTTTTGGAAGCAGGAGGACTTCCCATGGTTCCAGCTTCGTTATCAAACATTTGTCCTATAATAGCATTGTAATCTACATGATGTACATTTATACTATCTAGCCAATAATCAATATCCAAATCCATAGCAGCAGGTTCTGTAATGTTATCCCAAGATAGATGAAAGGCATCATCAATACTGGATGCTAAAAAAAATTCCATTACTTCTTCTTCTTCTTCCTCCAGACTAACTTGGACAGGCTCTTGAACCCAGTTGATCGCGTTATGCGAATTCTCCCATTCCAATTCTTCATCAACCACCATAGCTTCTTCACCAAAGAGATTATACTCAACAGGAGTAACACCCGTACCAGATTCGACCCGACCCGAATCATTTTCCCTAGGAACCCAAACCCCACCTGAATCATCACATAACTGACCCGACCCTGACCCTGACCCTGACCCTGAACCTGAAGCTAACCCGATTCCAAGCTCTAATTCTACATCCTCCTCCCAAATATTGAAAAAACCTGAAGTACATGCCCTCTGATTCGAACTTAAACAAAATTCACCAACCGTGTCGACATCATACGACTCTCGATCGAAGAAATCGATGAATTCGGGTTCTGCATCCATAGAAGCCGATTCAGAATCTGAATTCGAGTCTAAGAAATTGAAATATGTATTGCAATCGCGGATAATCCTCTGATTAGACAAACTCATAGCTTCGCAACCCGGTTGGATACCAGATCGAGAAACCTCCACGGCGATTGAGCTGCCACCACCACCTTCTTCCTCTGCTTCAACGTTAATAGAACAACCGAAAAGTTTCGCCGACGACATGGTTGAGGAAGGTCAAAAACACGGAGACAATTAAAATTAGAGAAGGAAGGTGAAAAGATTCGTATCTATACATAAAAAGATTTTATATTATCATTATGACGTGTTTCTATTTTACTTACACTCGTGGGCTAAGATTTCGCCACGTAATAACTACAATTTTGGGAAATTTTGAAAAAAGGAAGAGAAAAAAAGTTACGCCGTTGCCGGGGATCGAACCCGGGTCACCCGCGTGACAGGCGGGAATACTTACCACTATACTACAACGACCTTTTGTTCGAAATCCTCTTTTTTTTATAATAAATTATAGTTTTTGTTATACAATTTGTAGCTGAAAGATCAAGTCGATGATACTCTCCATCTATATAATATATATTTTTTTTGGTAAAATATCTATATAATATATTGCCAAAGAAAACTAGAAATAATGATCAAAATTTAAAAAAACAACAGATTGATATAAAAGTGTGGTGATGAAAAGTTACATATTACAAGGTTTCTTGAAATAGTCACTAACAAATCTGAAGAATCCAGAGACTTATAAGTTGTTTGTTGAAGTTTGCAAAAATGCTCAAGTGCTTGGATCAAAAACGCAGAACTCTGATAACAAATGTTTTAAGAAAAAGAAAAGAGCAAATCTTTTGCAAACAAAAATATAAGATTCTTGTGTAAACATTCGCCCTATGATGTTGAGGCAATATCCTCTGTTGTCTTTTGGCGTTTAAGATCTGGCTCACCCTCAGTGATATCTTCTTGGGGCTCTTCATCTTCTTCGGCTCCTGCTTCTTTATGATTGCCATTGAGATGACCGTTAACTGCGTCATGACCAAGAAGCGATACGTGTTTGCTTGTGATTGTACGCCCAGCCCTTATCTTGGGACCCCAATGCTTCTCTGGGTTTGGTAGAAACCGGGCTACTTTCTTCGCCTGTGCTTTGCTAAGCGAACCGACGTGGCGCGAAAAGTCAGCCTGTCCGAAAGAAAACAGGGTTTAAAGATTCAAGTTTGGAACTTTTAAATAGAGAATCAAGGAATGGAGCATTACAACAATAGCTTAGTGAAAGAGAGACCTGATGAGATGGTTCTTTAGATAGAATGACACTTCCGGGATGTTCAGGTGATTGCGGCTTTATGGGATGATTTTTCACCTACAATCAAACAAACGAGTTCATTCATTACCAATGAGGAAAAAATAAGACATTCAAGCTTATGCCTTTAGACTTAAATGAGAGAAATGAAGGGACAAAAATGGTTGGTTTACCCAGCACCGCATGATGTCCCAGATAATCTCCATTGGAGCATCAGTTTTAATCCCCAGCGGATTCACATGGGACCCAGAGACACGGTACTTTGCATTGATTACCGCTGATCGAAACAAAGCAGCTGACGGTGAAGTACATTTTAGCGTTGCAGAGAGACTATGAAGGCTCAAAAAGAGAGGAACATCTGGCAATTCCTGGAGACAAGCCAAACATATAGGGATTTAGAGAAATTGATCCAAAACAAAAACTGAAACTTTCAGAGTGTGGAGAGTTTTGCCTCTGAGATCGTGGTAAGAACAGCGCAAATTCGGTCGTAAGCAGGATATCTGTCTTTCATGGATTTAACACCGCTTAGTATCGAAGTCACCCATTCTTGATCGTGGATTGGAGCAGACCATATTGGTCCACCCATGTTATATTTCTTTCCACAATGAGTGCAATCCTGAGGAACAACAGGACCAACTCCTGGTAGATACCTCACACTGTTATTCTGTAAGAATTATAGAAGAGGATTATCAGAAAAAGGCAGCTTTCAGAAACAAAGTAAACTAAGAATGCAAAGAGACAGACACAAAACCTTAGGGAGAGATCTTCCAACAGACTGAAGATGAAAGGAATCACAACCAATGCATTGGTAGACATATGAGAGCTTTAGTGGAGTGTTCTTCATTGCACTCGCCGAACTGCATTTCATAAAGCTTCAATCTTTACTTGCCTCTAGCTGAGAGGAACTGTTTGAAAAGAAAGGAAAACTCACGTGTAAACGCGGACAAAAACACGAACGTAGAAATCCATTTGAACCGACAGAACAGGAACAATATACCGCTTGTAGCGATTTGCATGGCTCTGCAAATAAAAAATATACCAAAGTCAATAGGTCGATAACAAAAGTTTTAGAAAAGAAATATCAGTAGAGCATCTTAAAAACAATCAAAGCCTGGAAGATTTGGCGAGAGTGAATCAATTCACGGTAGCAACAAATTACCTCGATGCTGGCGAGGAGGATCCTCAGAGCCATCTCATGACAATATTTCCCTTTCAGTGGATAAGAGCCATATCTAACAATAGACAGATTTACGACATTCAGAAAAAATCAAAGATATTTGTTTTCAGAATAGGGGTAAAATCTCACTTGGAATAGCAGACCTCGCCGTTAGCCCCACATAACACTGCCATGTCAGTTGCTGTACACATCAGCAAACCACCATCGGCAACTGATTGAACAGCTGAATCAAGGAAAATAGACGGTGCACCATATGGGTCAAGATCAACCTACGACATCAATACCAAATTAGTCCACGGAATAATGCGGTCAATAAGATGAATAGCATTCAAATCTTTTGACAGAAGATTTTGCAAAAATTGGATGCTTACCACATCAAAATCTTTTGGGTGGCTGAGCATATGGACACGAGCATCAGTAAGATGTGACTCCACCTTTGAAGTAGACATCAACCCATTGAACTTAATGTTTCTCTGGCAGGCTTCAACCGATGCTTTAATAGGAAAATGGTAATACTATATTATGCTGGGATGTTAGGATAAAAGAAGAGTAGAGTCTCGAACCTCTTCACAAGCACAAACGTTGGGAAAGAAAAATACCTGGGTCATTATCTAAAGCCACAACTTGACCAATTCCTTCAACTTCACGAGCATACCTCAAAGCCCGTAACCCTGAAGCTGACAGGGCCTATAAAATGAATAGTAACAGAAAGGGTTGTCTAATAGGAAAGCAGAATAAACAACAAAATAAGAAAACAAAAACAAAAGTACAGCTAAAACAGTCATAAAGGAGAGAAGATAGGTAAACCTCAAGCACTCTTGGTGGCTTGAGTTCCCTTCGTGCAGATTCATATGCGGTCTTGGCAGCTTCCTTTGGTCCATCCTGAGTTGTTACTTCGTGTTCTCCGTTGGTTTTACCATTATCCTCACCATTTGCAGTAGGATTTTCTTCCTTGGAAGTTTCAGAGACATCCTTCTCAAGCACTTTCCCAGATGATCTAGCTCTTTTAGATAACATCGCCTCATGCTCTTGCTTGCGTTTGGATATATATGCCCTTAGCACAGCAATAGACATGTCCCTATTGTTAACCTAACCATAAAGCAATAAACAATTAGTTTAGCCTGATCACACGTATATCCATATGGATTCACACAAGAGAACATATTTGCTAAGAAGGATTTGGGATCATTTGTCTTCAAATTTCTCACTCACACAAGCATGACACTAATCTATAACAAAAAAAAACACTAAATTTGAAATCTTAAACCAAGATAAAATGCCCCAAACTAATACTTGATCCATCCTAAGATTGCCCTTGATGTAATTCAATCAATTTTCACCCAAAAGGAAGAACCTCAGCAATTCAAAACCAATATGAACAAAAACGAAGGCAAAAATGAAAACCTGAGCTTTGTTGAAGAAGACTTGGTTCTTCTTGTGCATTAGAACCTCAGCTTCTCCTTCCTTAATAATGGTATAATCATTGAGATCTGTTTCCATTGCTGATCTCAGGTTCTTCTCTTTAGGAGCAAAGGATTCACAAATTGAATTACAAACACGAATCTGTAACCCGAATGGCAAATCACAACGCTTGAATCTATAGATATGTGAATAAAGATGTCGAAACTTATCGACTTGTTTGAGTGAAGCTTGAATAAACCCTATCGCTTCTCCTTTGTTGTAGTTTCAGAGGTGAAAGAGGCCGTACAGCGAGTAACGGAGTAGACTAAGTTAAACCCTACAATCCATTGGAGATATTTGTCATTTATTTAAATTTGGGATAAAAATTGATGATATCAAAAGATACGGGGTCAAAATGAAAATATTCAAAAAGAAGAGTATAAAGAGAGTGGCCTATACAGGGATCGAACCTGTGACCTTCGCGTTATTAGCACGACGCTCTAACCAACTGAGCTAATAGGCCATGTTTGATAGAACTTAGACATCATAAGTTATTTATTCCGTTGATGTAAATTGAGGATATATCATTATCAAGTTAAGAAGAAGGAGAAGAGAAGGAAGAGCGGAGAAACGGAAGAAGACGATGCAGAGTTTAACGTCAAACGAAGTAGCGGGTTTAGCAGTTGGAGCTCTGCTTCTTGGTGCCACCATCGCTGCTCCTAAAGTTGATGCTTTTATCGCTGCTTCTCAGAGAAGGTAAACAAAAGCTTTTACAAGTTCATTTATCCCACCACTGAGATTTCTGGAAAAACACTCAAAATCTAACTTTTGCCCAATCGTTCATGTTCTGATTGAAAACCCATGTCGTATAATATCCAATTTTGGATGAAACCGTGTGAATTTGTTTGTTGTTATGTGATAATGATGGTGATTGTAGTAGCTGCTTAGAATTGCAATGAGCTGCTTGATTTCTGAGCCAAGAGGGTTTGATTTGTATATTTTTTTCATCCTCAATTTGCTGAAAATCTGAAAATGACAAGACTTTAAGAGTTTCTTTGTGATTTGTAGTTTGAAAGGATAGATTCTGAATAAAAAAATTATGTTGAGTTATGCTTTTAGTTTCACTCTCCTATGGAAGTACTTTTCTTCTAAGTTTTCCTGAAATTCTGTATTCCTCACTGAAAGATCTTTTGATTCTTGAAATATTCAGGTGTTGAATCATCTTGATTTTGATTATGGATTGTGAAGTTCTTACCTTTGTAATGAGAGAGACTATATAGGCATGGTCTTAAGAATGTACATTTGCGGCTACTGATGTCTCCAAGAAATGTTCAAGAGTGTTGTTTGTCGATGGCTGAATGATATTAGACTTGGTCTTGAATCTATGGCTTACCATCATCATTTGTTTCTAAACACAACTTTTGCAGATCTCTTGGAATGTGTCGAAAATGTGGAGATCTTAAGAATGTAGCGTGTGGCCGTTGCAAAGGAACAGGAACAATCAAATCAGGAGGGTTCTTTGGATTCAGTGACTCATCAAACACAAGATCAGTCGCTTGCGATAATTGCCAAGCCAAAGGTTGCTTCCCTTGCCCCGAATGCTCAAAATCTTGACCATTGTCTCGGTATTTTATAGATTGCATCAATACTAAAACTACTTGTATCATCTTCTTGACCTATATGATAAATGTAATCGGTCCATTGGTATTTGGTAATATTGAAGCTGAAGCATGTCTTATCCGTTTTAGAAGTCTCTTATTCCAATTCTTGATCAGTTAAACCGGATGCTTGTGAATTCTTGATTTGGTTAGCTTTAACCGGGTCTTGTTCTGCCTTTAACCCGGAGAAATCCACTATAGTAAACCAAATGCTCGTCTGGTCCTTTCTCTCTGTGAGCAACATTAGTGGTGGGTTTTTGGCAGTTGACATACCATAACTGGTGCAAACACACATTTTCCTAGAATTTTTGTTTAGCTTAGATAAAGTTACTTCGTTTTCTTGTTTTTTCATATGAAAAAAAAAAATTCAATCATTATTGATAGTAGGTTGGTTATCTTTATCAAAACAAATAAAGTTAATCGGCTCCAGAAAAATAACTGTCTATATTGTAGCATTTCTGCTAAAAGAGATATCACAAATATCATATGTTTTGTCTAACTAAATTAGCTACATATTAGACCACAGATTTGATGAATATAAAACAAACTTTTGTATTCTGATGTCAAAAAAAACTTTACAAAAACAAATTCCGATTTTTAACAAACGTGTGAAATGAAACTACGATTTATTAGTGATTTACGATGTTTTACCAATGATTAAAGAAAAGTAAAAGGGTAAAATGTAAATAAATAACGTTAGAAAAGTGTCACTGTTAAAAGGAGGCTTCCGCTCAGAAAGCACGTCTCCGACAAAAGTCTAATTCAATAATAACTCGACACGTGTCCGTCAGACCACATCACCCATCTTGTTGTATAACTTCACTGTTCAGATTTTTTCTTTTCTTTTTAACGTCTTTATTATTTACGCTCTGTAAAATCCGTACGGACTACCCACGTCACCTGAAATTTTTTTGCTTCGTAGATTCTCTGTCCAAAAAGCAAAGTTATTTACACATTCTAGTTGCATAATTTAGATTTCCTAATTGAACAAAACCATATGAGTCCATTTATATGATGTGATTCGTAAATGCGATCCAAAAATAAATATGTTCCACTCTTTTGGAATGATATAACATTTAACTAAAGATGCGTTTTACTTTATTTAAGTGGTTTATCTTTTGGCACTGGGCCGGGGGACAATGACTATACAACTAAGAGATCATTTTAACGAATATCATTCATGTTTTATCCTCTTCTTCAAATTTCAATTCCATTAACCACGTGACAATTGCAGTGTATCACACGATTCACGAGTTATGAATATTATACTTAGGAGTATTAATACAGTTAACATCTAAATTGTATTTCTTTGTTTTCTACACAGGCATATACTTTATTATGCTTTGTTTTATTTTACTGTGTTATGTTGCATACAAAACACAACTGTAATTTATGTTGCCTACCACATATATATATATACCTTGTGGCAAACACACAAACATGGATAATGCGATCTAGACATACAAATACTCTCATTGATATTATATGACTTATATATTATGTGGCTATTTTCTCAGTTTTAGTGTTTTCTATGATCAAATTGAGCCAATTAATTGATTTTTTTTAAGTGAAAGTAAGCTCCACTAATATATCGACACGTGGAAACCCATTTTAAGGTAGGAGATGCTTTTCTGCGGCTTCTGAAAACAACTAGAAAATGATTATGATACGTTGCTTTCATTTATTGTATTGATTAATTTTTATTTCACAATTGTATATATCACGCGCTTCATATCTAGCTACAAGACTACTACAACTTGCATATTTATGTTTACTTTTGTTTTCATCAAATTACCCTCATAATTATGAGGTTAAATTCTAAGACTCTCGTTGGAAAATTAACAATCATCAGCTACCGGGTAAGAAGTTTGAAATATATGACTACTCTTAAAAAGAAAAAGAAAAAAGAATATTTTGGCAATTATTTTAAGTAAAAAATATGAGATTCTTTACCGGTTAGTAAACTAGTAAACCAAAAGTTTTATTTAACAAATAAGTTTGTACTATGTACATATGTTTATGTTCAAAATAGGAAATATATTAAACTACTATGTAAGAGACTAAGAGTGTACTTCCATTTTAGATTCACATTTCCAGCTAGTACGAGGTCTGTATATATAAGGGATACAAACTTTCTTAACACCGTTGAAACATTTATTTTTAAATGTGATAAGTGAAAGACCGTATACACATACACATGTTAATCAACTGATAACCTTTGGGCCTCGTGTGTCTGGTTACATTACCAGTCAACCATCAAACGTGATACTGTTTTTCTTAGAGTACTTATTGTTGTGTTATATATAACTAAACATAAATCATTTGCTATTATGATATAAACATAGAATTTTCAAGGAAGGATATGTTTAGATGTTTTGTATAATGTCAGGCTTATATTCCTAACATAGTAGACACCCATATATACACAAACATGAATTCTACCTGAAGAGAAGCACATAGATTTTCTAATTAAATACATTGAACATGAAAATTTTAATCTCTTTTAAATAACATTTAAACCATATAGTTTGGTGATTGTATCATATGAGTTAATTATTTGGTGATTGTATCACACGTGCTTAGAAGAGAGCGTGGGAATGAAAGAGAAGAAGAATAAAGAAGTAGAGAGATGATGGGCTAGAAATGAGAAAACACACCAAACCCTAACCTCACCCTCACATATTTCTTATCTTTTGCTCTCAATAGATTCCATTAATTCAAACAAAATTTTCATTAAGATTTCACAACCTCCACACACTTCCAAACACAATTAAAGAGAGAAAAAAGAATCAATAACCCTAAAATAAAAATCTGAAAAAGAAAAGTTTCCACTTTTTATTCCTCTTCTTCTTCCTTAAGCTAGTACCTTTTGTTCTTGAAACTAGGGTTAATTTCCTTTTTCCAAATACCATCAATTCTCAAGACCCTAAAAACTCAAAAAGATCAGATCTTTCCTCTGAAAAAGAGATACCCAACTTGTGTTTTTGTGTGTCTGTATATAGATAAACATTACATACCCATATTTGAGTGTGTGTATATAAATAAAAGTGGAAATTAAGGTAAGAAAAGAAATGGGAAGAGGAAGAGTAGAGCTGAAGAGGATAGAGAACAAAATCAACAGACAAGTAACGTTTGCAAAGCGTAGGAACGGTTTGTTGAAGAAAGCTTATGAATTGTCTGTTCTTTGTGATGCTGAGGTTGCTCTCATCATCTTCTCCAACCGTGGAAAGCTCTATGAGTTTTGCAGCTCCTCCAAGTAATTAAACAACTCTCACTCTTGTTCAGTTTCTATTTCTTGATTGTTTTTTTGCTAGATCTGAGCTTAAATCTTTGTCTAAAGGACTTGTTTTAGACCTATCTATATAGATCACACGATCTTGATGAGTTTAATTAGATTTCTTGATTTCATTTTCTAGGTTTTTTTTCAATTCTTGAAATTTAAGATCTGGTTTCTTTTTTTATTTGTTTTGTTGTCAATGATTTAGAACTGAGAATTTTGTAATCAAATAGAGTTGTAGCTAGATGGATTTCCAAGTAAATCCAAATCCAGATATGCAATCTGAAAAGTTTTATATAAAGGGATATTAATTAATATATGTCTGTGTGATTGGAAACTTAAAAGTTGGAATCACAGATTTCTATGAAAATTATAAGAACCCAACGTAGAATGATAATATATGGTTACATGCATTAACCATTTGTTAGTTCATCATACTTTATGGTGGTTAAAACTTCAAACGTGTAGATATCTATGAAGGCTTTGATTCTTGGTTTTTGTTTTAGTTTTCTTTTTTACAATTTTTTTGATGGTTTTTATATGTTAAAATAGTTTGCTTACATTCAAGAAAATATAGAAATTAATTCCTTTTTTTTCAAACGCACGAAACTCAAACTCAAACATAAGATATTGCTTGCAAATGATAGTATTGATATTTGTAAATATAAATGAAAAACTTTAACGTTTGAAACAATAAAATCCGAAGTAATTCGTGAGTCAGATAAATAATGGAAATACTGTAATCTTCTATTTTGATGAAAGAATACTTTAAAACTTGAAGAGTTCTTTTTAATGGTCATTTATAGGTTTATCTCCAAAGTCAAGTATGATCTTTTTGGATAAATTCTTATCCTCTTTTTGAGTTTTGTTTCAGCATGCTCAAGACACTGGATCGGTACCAGAAATGCAGCTATGGCTCCATCGAAGTCAACAACAAACCTGCCAAAGAACTTGAGGTGTTCTTCAGATAATATTTTAGATTCCTATCATACCTATATTTCAAGAAAGATCGTTTTAAAAAGTCTGTTTTCTTGAAATATTTCAGAACAGCTACAGAGAGTATCTGAAACTGAAGGGTAGATATGAGAACCTTCAGCGTCAACAGAGGTACATATCTATCTACCTCTATATATATACTCAATTCTGTGTACATGTAGATTCATTTTTGTGTGTGTGTGTGGCTTTGTTGGTGCAGAAATCTTCTTGGGGAGGATTTAGGACCTCTGAATTCAAAGGAGTTAGAACAGCTTGAGCGTCAACTGGACGGCTCTCTCAAGCAAGTTCGGTCCATCAAGGTCATATCATTAGCTATTTAAAGCTATATATATACATGGAATCAATGATGATTAATAAATGAGATTAATGTGAGTTGTTTAATTATAACTACTATGGTGGCATGATGATTGTTTGCAGACACAGTACATGCTTGACCAGCTCTCTGATCTTCAAAATAAAGAGCAAATGTTGCTTGAAACCAATAGAGCTTTGGCAATGAAGGTATATATAAAGAAACTCATATACATAATAAATTAAATGCATTTGATGACTGCGATCAATCTATTTCACAGGTTTTTGGAAACATCTCTAGCTAGTTTTCTTGTTTCTGATTATAGTCTTTTGGTGAAATGTAATTGTTTAGCTGGATGATATGATTGGTGTGAGAAGTCATCATATGGGAGGAGGTGGAGGAGGAGGATGGGAAGGCGGTGAACAGAATGTTACATACGTGCATCATCAAGCTCAGTCTCAGGGACTATTTCAGCCTCTTGAATGCAATCCAACTCTGCAAATGGGGTAAATTATTTGCCTTGAAAAATCATGTGTAAATCAGCTTGTGTACTTCACCACAAAGATTGTCCTTATTTAAGGTTCTTTAGTTACTTGGTGTAAAGAGGATCATCAATGTGTGTGAACCTTTTAAGCTGATGTTTTGGTGATGATGATGATGACAGGTATGATAATCCGGTATGCTCGGAGCAAATAACTGCGACAACACAAGCTCAGGCGCAGCAGGGAAACGGTTACATCCCAGGGTGGATGCTTTGAGAGTCATGTGATGTGATAAAGCTCACCAACAAAAGACCTTTTAAATATATAAAGTATATATAGACACAAGACTTGGATCTGTAGACATAATTAAGGGTCCCAAGGATCTTCAGGATATATGTGTCTTTTGGGAACCTTTGCTTTTATATTAAGAATTCAAATATGTGGAACTTGTTTTAGCTTTGAACCATGACACTGGTTTATTGTCAAGTAATGAGATAAACATTTTGGGTTACAGTGTGATATCTCCTGGACCCAATGTAAACCACTATCGCAAAATTATAAGCATCACATATATATTCATAAAGGTTTAAGGTAATTCATACAAAATGATGTAAAAAGTTTCATGCCTTGAACAAAACACTGCCCCAAAAAACATGTCAGATTCCTGTGAGCATGTGTTTTGCTGCTGCTGCTGTTTTCTCTCTAGAGGGTTTCCTCAGAACTCCATTAGCCAAACGTGCAGAGAGACATTTCCTAATTTCCCCATCATATATATACCATAGACAATTGTTAAAAATATTCACAGACCAAATCAGCTTGCACATCTCTCTGCTGCCTTGTCAATCTCCCCAGCTTCGGTTTAGGCAGTACAAGACGGGATCAATGGTAACAGGTTACGGTGTTTCGTTGAACTCCATCACCTGCAAATGAGATGAATTCGCATCAGAGAAAAATTATTCTTTAGTCAACACTCAACATGAATGAGAAAACAATGCAATTGTTCTGAGTTTTAGGAAGAATGATTAGTCATATTTATCATAGACCAGACAAGTATAGATTTTCGTTTCCAAAGGAAACTTTTTTACGCATATGTGCCTCAAATGTTGTTGTACATTTGTCCATTCTATTGTTATCAGGATCATACGTCTACTTATGCACGATGTTGCTGAATCTGAAACCAGTAAATGTGAAGCCGAAAAATGGCTTGGAAGAACATGAAAAGTGTTACCTTTCCACAAACAGGGCAGTTTTCACTTCTCTCCATCCATTCATAAATGCAACTGAGGTGGAAATGGTGAGAACAATTTGTAACAATCTTTGGGTTCTCTGATGTGTATTCTGCAAAAACACAAAAAATCTGATACTAAGCTTCCTTCGAATGCATTGATCGAAGAAAAAAAGAGATGAAAATGAATACCTTCAAGACACGTTGGACAGACATCTTCATCATCAGATGTTATATACACGCCTTCATTACCAGTAGCCATTGTCCTTGACTGAAGAATCCTCCGAGAGGATTTAGAGAACTCTTCTTTGGAATCTTCACCAGAGATAATAAGCTTATTAGTCCATTTGCTTCCTTCCACTGAGAAAGACTCAGAATCCACATCAGCATCGCCTCTTAAGGGCTCAGCTTCCTCATGAGAATGACTTGAACCCTTATCGCGTCTTGAGACAAGCGAATCACGCCTTGACCGGAAGTATCTTGGATCAGTATCATAAGGCAGAGGCCTTGGAGTAGAATGGAATGTATTAGACATAAAGTTATCATACGAAGTAGATGAAGCTATCGATACATTAGTAGCCTGTAAAGAGGACGGGAGAGAGCGGGTTTCGCCTCTTCTGAATAAAGAGATATACTGCAAAAGAAACCAAATCCGAAGCTTCGATGAGCTCCGCTTTATATAATAACTAGCAGGTGAAAAGTAAACACTGGAAAAAGGAGCATTACCAGGTTAAGGAAGTTATTAACGAGACATCTCGGGCATGGGCAGGTTCTGTTAACAGAACTACTTGGATTCGGGTAATTCTCAAAGTCTTCGACCCGAAAGCAAGAAGAAACACAGCCCATCTCCTTCTCTTCTTTCTTGAAATGCTAATTCCAATAAGTTTCTTTAACTCAAGAACTTGGAGTCAAAATTGCTTTGAAAACTTCACCAAGATTTACCAAATTCACAAAACCGGTTTGAAACTTTTAGGAAACTCCTTTAACCTTCACTAAGAATACTAAATCAGAGGTTTCTATCTACAGAAACTCCCCAAACATTTCACCAAGAATCTGCTTCATTCATTCTCTCAAATTTCACCTGTAGAATGGTCTGATCACTGTTTGGAGTTTTAACCAGTTACTGTCCAAAACTCATCACAGCCCACTAAAATGTTTTAAGAAACTATTAAGCAGAGCAAAAGACATCAAAATCAAACATTCACCTAACTCAGTACAAATTTGTGTGTTTGGTCAAAAAGAAAACTCAAGGCTTCATTTGGGAAGGTAAAAAAAAGGTAAACTTGGTCAAAGTGAAATGCAAGCAACTAACCGATTGTAAGTTGAAACCTAATTTAGGCAAATCCCTAACGAACGCAACAAAACAGAGAAACATATAATTAAAAAAAAAAAAAAACCCACTTGAGATCATTAAAACAAAACCCAAAATTGAATTAAAACAGAACAAAAAAAAACAGAGAAATTTAACCAGAAAACAAAGAACAACATTTTGAGAATGTAGTACTAATTCAGAGTCGATCACAACCCATTGTCCAGTAGTGCTTTTACAGAAGAACAAATTCAAAAAAAAAACAGATGAATCGGAAGGAAGACTATACCTTTTGAGGAAGAACTAAATGGGTTTTGGATTTTGATCGGACTCGACGGAAAAAAAGAGAGAGAGACTGAGACAAAGAACGAACGAAAATTCAATTTAGAAAGAAGAAAAAAAAGGAACTTCAATTGCTTTATTTGCAGATTCTCAGGAAAGTGAACTTGGAGGAATATTTATCGTCACTTTAATCTTCTTTCATCTTTATTGTTAATTCGTCAGCGAGAAGAGAGATTGAAGGAAAAAGTGAAGGAGGGAGAGTAGTGTGATGAAGTTGGTGTGAAAGTGGGTGGGCGTTGTTGCTGGACGCTAAATGGAGGACTCTCTCTATACAATTAAACCAAACTTATTTTATGAGTAGTAATTGAGATAATAATTTTAGTTAATCAAAATTACATTTTACAATGATTTTCTAAATGATGACACTAGGAAGATTTTGTTTAAGAAATATTATAAACTATAGATTTTTTATTCAAAAGTAACAAAAGCATAAGTTTGGGATGCAATTATTTTAAAAAATTTTAATTAGATTTTTTTTTCTCCGTATTCTCGTAAATTGATATCAATGTTTAACGCGTTATAAAAAATTATAAATGAATTTTTTTATAATTGATAATCTGATATCCAAGTATATTTGATAATTTAGATATCTACCGAGAAAATAACATTGCATGGCGAAATACTACGCGTATTAGAACGATTAAATGAAAAAATTAAAGTTTAAAATCTTTCTTTGATAGATAAAATATTTATATTAAAAATAATATTCTCTTTTTTCAAAATATATAAGGTTTAAAATTTTTGCACACAAATTAAGAAATTAATTAACTTTTGTTTATTTCTTAACTAAAACAGAATTCATTATCTAGCTAAACACGATTCGACCAGTGATAAAATAATCTTCAAAATATAAATCCTTAAAAAAACACTAATTAATTTTGCAATGAAAATTAGAAATATTATTTATTATGAAACAAAATTTTTTTTCCAAAACATCATATATTATGAAACAAAATGAGTACATGGCATGAAGAACCAAATGTCTTGCAACAATTAAATGACAAAAGTAAATTAGCCTGTTTTAATCTATTGTTCATTGGACCAAAAGAATTTTACTCTCATTTTTTTAATTATCATCTTATTTATATCTATTGACTATTGTCATATAATGCAACTAATCTTAGTTCTATATCTCAAATTTGACAATTTACTAAATAAGAATTCAACCTATTTACGAAATTAAACTTATGAAATTATTGCAAAAAAAAAAATCACCATTTAGTTATTATTTTTATTTTTTTATCATCTGAAATGTTTACATAAGTGATATGAAGCGGTTTGGTACGAAACTTTTCGTGCCAGGTTATCCATTTAGTTACTTAATCTGTTTTTTTGGTCAAAATAATCTTTTACACCCACAATAATTACTTGTTTATTGATGGACAATAAAGGGTCGGGCTTTTTCATACCAAAAAATAAAAAGAGTCGGGCTTTTAATGTCAATCAGCCCCAAGACCACGTTATAGACTACAGTTTGGGTTAAATTCATTTTGGCCCATTTTATTATTTGTGTCTTATATTGTTTAGAAATTATTTTTAATTTAAAATTTTTGATTTTTCAAAATAGAAAATGATTTTTAATACAAGTTTATACTTTAAGAAAAAAAATAGAATATTACTCACGAAAATATATATCGAATAATCCTTTTTTCTGTTCAGAACTTATATATTTTATTTAAATTAAAAAAATTTGTAGCTATCTAAATTTTTTAATATATTTTTTCAATATTTTTGATAAATTAAATATATTATCTGGTCTTTCTATAATAGTGTATTTGTTTGTTGTTTTTTTTATGTCGTCGGTTTCTAATAGAATTTGTTTATTCTCGTGAATTGGTGATTTTTTAGCATATACGGCGTCCTATTAAAAAAAAACACAAAAATCAAAAGTTAGAAAAGAAAATTCGAGAAGAACATTCACAGTCATTAATACCAGAAAAACATTCACATTCTTTAACTCATTTTATTCAATTTTCTTTTTTGTCCTTATCAAAAATGATTATGTATATAGTTTATAAGAAGACAGAAGTAAGAATTGGGCATATATGGTTGTGTGGACGTCCTTAGTGTCTCGTGAATCGACAGAGACTCTCCATCTGTATTCGCTTCCCCATTCTCATTCCCATAAGCCTTCACTTTCTTAAATTTCATGTATTGTTTCCTCTGTTTAAGAAAAAAAAAAAAACTGTAGTTACTTAAGTCTAGTTATCAACTTTAGTCTCACTGGCTATATGTTTCTCCAAATCTACAATAATTTTTAAAAATATAGATATGTGAACTCGTTGAAATATAATACTCTTCCAAAGGTTGGACAAATATAATAACTTATTGGTTTTAGAGTATGTTAGTTGATTGTTATGGTAGGTATGTTATAAGTTTTTTTTAGAACGACGACCATCTTGCAAATGAATCATCATTATCCTTTATTACAGCTAGTTTGGATTACTCTATCGATTAGAAATAGTTAAATCCGTCCATTAGGCTGTTACTGATATTAGTTAACTATCAAAATCCCCACAGTAATAATCATCTATTCTCGAATGTTCTAAAGATAAGTATTTTAGATGAATTATGACTTAAGAGTATGTAAAACTATATCTTCAGAAGTTAACTAATATCAGAAACAGTCTTTAAAAACATGGATGTAGACTATACTAAAAAACATCAAACATGACAGACAGTGATTCACAGTTTGGAATTGAAACATCATGTCATGTTTTAGTCTCATCCAAAATTCACGACGTAAATAAGGGAAAGATGAAGAAAACAGATGTTTTCAACTCAAAATATCTCAGAAGTATTCGAACCTTTAGCATAAAAAACAATTACAGATGTATCTATATTCGTATGTTAAAAAGAAAAAAAAAATCAAGACAGTAAATGGATGAAAAGAGAGGCTAGTTTTAGCCAACCCACAATGATAACAGGGATGTTTTTTTTTTTTACTTTGAACGTGTTTTTACCGTGTAACGATCGATCAAATCTAATCGACACGCGAACGTGAATCCAAATTTTTATTGTTGTCTTTTTTCTCACCTCTTACTATTTTTCACAATAATTCAGCTACTGAGCTGTAGAAAGATAGGGTCACAAGACAATATAGTAGCTACCTTTGTAGTTAGATTTTGTATTTTTCCCATGATTCACATTAACATAGAACAAAAAAAAGAGATAAGCTTCCTTTTAGCAATCTCTTCGTTTTTCGTGGCTCACTCATCTTCACACCACACTCCTATATATATCCCTCTTTCCTCGATAGCCTTCTTTTTCATAATAGTGAGAGATAGAGTCGATAACTATGGAGAGAACAACGAACTTATGGGTTTGGTTTAGTCTTATGATTTTCTTAGGAATCTCTATTAATGGAGGTCTTTCTCAAAGACAGCAACATGTTATGAAGAAGACACGTTCTTCTGCAGTTGTAGTCGGAACTGTCTACTGTGACACTTGTTTTAACGATGCCTTCTCGAAATCACACAACCACTTAATCCCAGGTCTGTTTTTTTTTTTTTTTTTTTTGTCTCTTGCTTTCTCCATAAAACTACTTGGAAAATAATGTTTCTTGGATTCTAAAACAGAGTGCTCTGTTTTAACAAAACATCAGTTTTCTTGTTTATGGGTCTAAAATCTTAGAAAGAATTGTGAACAGTTTTGTGGATCTTGTTGCAGGTGCTTTAGTTGCAGTGGAATGCATTGACGAGAACTCGAAACCGAGTTTCAGACAAGAAGTGAAAACAGACAAGCGCGGCGAATTCAAAGTGAAGCTACCATTCTCTGTGAGCAAACATGTGAAGAAGATCAAGAGATGCTCTGTGAAGTTGCTAAGTAGCTCACAGCCTTACTGTTCTATAGCTTCGTCCGCTACTTCTTCTTCTCTCAAACGCCTTAAATCAAACCATCATGGAGAGAATACTAGGGTTTTCTCTGCAGGGTTCTTCACTTTCAGACCCGAAAACCAACCAGAGATTTGTAGCCAAAAACCTATCAATCTCCAGGCGTCCAAGCCTCTTTTACCGGATCCTTCATTCCCTCCAGCGATCCAAGATCCTCCTAATCCTTCCCCTCTCCCGAATCTCCCCATCGTTCCTCCTCTTCCGAACTTACCTCTTCCGGACTTACCTCTTCCTCAAGTTCCTCCTCTTCTTCCCCCAGGACCACAGAAATCATCTTCCTTGCATAACAAGAAATCTGATTCCTTGAAAGACAAGAAAACTGAAGTACTAAAACCCGATTTCTTCCTTCCGCCAAACCCGTTAAACCCGCCATCTATCATCCCTCCAAACCCTCTAATTCCTTCTATCCCAACCCCAACTCTCCCTCCAAACCCGGTCATTCCTTCTCCCCCAACTCTCCCTCCAATCCCATTAATCCCTTCTCCCACAACTCCAACTCTCCCTCCAATTCCGCTAATTCCTACTCCCCCAACTCCAACTCTGCCACCGCTTCCAACAATTCCGACTCTTCCACCTCTTCCACTTCCACTTCCACCTGTCCCAATCGTAAATCCGCCTGCACTACCGCCACCGCCTTCTTTCCCTGTTCCGCTCCCTCCGATCCCTCTCATCCCTGGAATCCCTCCGGTTACACCTTCCTTTTCTAGTCACCATCAACCTTAAATTCAGCAATCCTTTCCTCACATTTCCAATTATGTAATCTATATGTATCATCCTGTTTAAATTATGTTTTCCTCTGCATTTTCACTTGTTGGCTTCTTGTTATTTTAATAAATATTGTTTGGTTTCATTTGCTACTTTTCATTCAATCCTCAACTACAAATACCGAAAAAAACAGTAGAAGCTAACTAATACATCAAAAGTCAATTAAAAAAAACAAATGGTCCATATTGACTTAATTAAGAGATTTGGAGAGTTTTATAACTATCTAAAAGATTGAGTACCTTTTCGTAATTATCACATTCTTTTCTCTGGGTGATTATTTCAGTTCCAGTGATTGAATCTCATCAAAAAAAACACTCAAATTCAAAATTATCCGATCTGATCTATGGCGGAGACATTCAATATCCGAAGACTGGAGATCTCCGATAAGAGAAAAGGATTCATCGAGCTTCTAAATCAACTCGCCGTCACCGGATCAGTAACGGACGAAGAATTCGATCAGCGATTCGAAGAAATCAGATCGTACGGTGACGATCACGTGATCTGCGTGATCGAAGAAGAAACTTCGGGAAAAATCGCTGCTACGGGAAGTGTGATGATAGAGAAGAAGTTTCTGAGGAATTGCGCGAAAGTTGGGCACATTGAAGACGTTGTTGTGGATTCAAGGTTTCGCGGGAAACAGTTGGGGAAGAAAGTGGTGGAGTTTCTTATGGATCATTGCAAATCAATGGGTTGCTATAAGGTGATTCTTGATTGTAGTGTTGAGAACAAAGTGTTTTATGAGAAATGTGGGATGATCAATAAATCGATTCAGATGTCTAAGTACTTCGATTAAACGTTCATGATGATAATGATGATGATCTTTTGTTTTCTTGTCTTTAGAAAGAATCACAGATTTGTTCGATTTACTTATTTAAAATGGTAGAAATTTTGTCATTTTCATGAACTGTTCTTTTCCGATTCTCTACCGTGAAGTTTCGATAATCCATTGAACAGAAATTCGCATTGGAAAGTATTGAAAACATATGGAATGACACAAAACACGAGCATTTGCATAGACAATGATAAACAAGTTGCTACATTTTGACATTTCTGGTGATTAAATGACCACTTATTCGACATTGAATCCATCACGACATGCACTTTTCGAGTTTCGATGATCCATTGAACAGATTTTGGCATCACAAAGCACTAATGATACACTAAACAATACAAAAGCTTTAGACTTTGAAAAGTTGCGACCATTACTACCTATGATAAACAGATTGGCTGAGTTGCTTCCATTGACATATCTGGTGAATCCAATCAAGACAAATCTCCACCGCTTGATTGCCAAAGATTGATGATGTCTGTAGCTTGGTTTAGTAGGAAGACGCGATGAAGCTCAGAGATCCAAGGCTTGCTCTCTAACAAAGTTTTGAGCTCTTCCCAAGCATCTTTCCTAGGCCAGAAGTAGTATGGACTTAGTGGGATTGTTCCAAACCCTGGAATCATATGGTCTAACGCAACTCCTATGTCCTTTTGCATCCACACAAACTTTAGTACCACCTTTGGTTTCTCCAGCGGCTTAACTAGCACACGCATCTTCTTCTGCAATATAAGATGAAGAAAACCGGGGAGGATTCCCTTAAACTCATACATCTCAACTTCCTTTCACAAAAGTTTTCAGAATCAAGCAACATAAGGAAGACAAGAAACTCCGGTTTGAGTTTTCGGATATGAAGAAGAAGAAACCATACATTTTAAATATCTTAAGAGTAGTGTTCTTGAATCAGTAATGATGCAACATAAGGGAAATTATATATGTGTATGCATCTCCAGATTTTGGAGATGGAGATATGTTCAGACATGGCTTCAATGGCACAACTTGCTTAACCACATGTTCGTTCAAATGACAAAAAAGGCTGCAACTTTTTCTAACAAGCTAAAACCCCAATTTGTTCCAAGAAATGATTTTGACGATGACTGACCTTTCCAAGTGGCGGAGATTCAGATTCTGGTGGTTCATGGGAAAAGGTGAGATTGGAGGGGGCAGATGCGAATATTCCGGGATATTTACCGGAGTGCCTCGTCGGATTTTGGCCAGGATTCCAAGTAGAGCACGAAATCGACGCTAGAGAAGAGTGTTTGAGCTTCGTTGCCAGCGAAATATGAGCAACATGTTTCGAAGAGAGCTTCTGAGAAGGTGAAGCTGTTCTGAACCCAAAAGAAGCACTCTGATTTGATTGAACCGCCATTTCAGCTGCGTTTGAAGCTTCTAAGCGAGCGAGAGACAGAGAACGCAAAACACAGGTTTTACAATTTCGGGTCACTTCTGGTCGGGTCGGGTCGGAACAAACGGGTTCGTGTTTTAACTTTTAATTGTATTTTACTATTTTCATGTCATAAAAAAGGAAAAAAAAAAGATTCCAAGGGTAAAATAATAGTATCTAACTTAAATAGTTATGTTCATCCATTTCTGTGGTTCAAATCAGACTTTAGAATATGACAATATTCAGAGTTAGATTAAATATCTATATGATAATATTTTGAAGAACTATATAAGGGGAATTGCCATTTCCTATTTTAAAAGTAAGCAATACAAAATAAGAGTAGTAGCACATTTGATATATATTCCAAAAAACATATCCAGAAATCCAAACAAACCCTGCAACAGTAGCACTGAACCTTTCATATCTATTACAAGACATCAGTCTTTTTTTTTAACCTCCTCCAAGTTAAGCAATCATGTCATAATCATCCAATTTGTCATTGTACTGAAGAACCTTTCGTTTAATCTTGGAAGAATCAACCCAAGTGATGAAATCTTCCATGTTCCGAGTTACTAAGAAAGCTGGATCAGTAATTGTTTCTGGTCCTACACGAATGTGTCCTTGCTCTATGTATGTCACAGCTTCTTTGTTGTGCTCTGCAAATTTCAAGTGAACCAGTACAGTCGATAGCCTACGCCTGCAAATTACCAAAAAAAAAAATCGACGTGAGGCCAACGAAATGAGATCATTGGCTATCAAGGGAAAAATCAACTGCCTATATAGGCTCTTGCATATACTCTTTACCTGCAGAAGGATGAAACAGATAACCGCTCAGTTAAAGCCAGGCTTTTCCTAGTCGGTATAACACCCATGTTATATCTGCCATATCAACATACATGTAAATAAACACAAGTCAGTCAGCCATTAAGAAAACAAGTTTTCTCATTGCAGAGTGGAACCACGCAATCAACAAGTTTCAGTAGAATGGCTCTTTTTTCCTATACATAAGCCTCTGTAGATGCTATTAAAGAAACACAGATTCTGTTAGAATCCTGACTCAATTGATTCCTTAAGAACGTTAACCAGAAAACCATTAGATCTCACATTTTACCAGGATGATATTCAACCTCTAACGGATTTCAAACCAACCCCAATTTCATCTGTCTCTAAGGTGGTTAACAAGAAAAACAATATCTCGGAGCTATATTATTAAGGCAAGATCGATGTAATAAACTGCAGAAAATGGTCAAGTCTCATGTTCAAAGACCTAAAACATATAGAAAACAAAGAGCCATTGCTTGTAATAAGCTCTATACTTAAACAAACTGGTATATATAAAAAAAAACTCACAGCTTCTCCAAAAGCATATCAGTCATCTGAATACGAAAAGGATCTGCGGGATCCATTTGTTTCAATATATTCGTCAGTTTCTGCGCCATCCTACACAATCCTGAATACCTGCCCAAAAGAAAAACAGTCTCAAGAATTAGAAAAGAATTGTTCATCACAAAAGACTCAAACCAAAAGAGTAAGAATAAGCAGAACAGAGCTTTAAGAGTAAATGGACAGAAGAGAAAAAAAGGTACAAACTTACTTTTTGTAATCATCACGAGAGCCCATGTGGTAACGATACGTAATCTCGTTTTCCCGATGGTTATCTTCTCTTTTCCATTCTAAGAAATTTACTTTCTTTATAAGCTTCTTCTCGTGATACTTGAGCTTCCTCATCTTGGACGGTTCTGATGATATGCAACATTATACGAAATTAGGGTTTATTCAGATCAAAATCCTGAATAATCAAAACCCTTCTACAATCTAATGGGAACAGCTAGGAATTATCAGTCTCTGTACAATTAGTCTACGAGTAAAATTGAAGTAGTTTACCTGAGAGAGATTAATCGACGCGGGGTAGAGTAACGATGAAGAAATAATAGGCGACAAGGTTTTTGGGTTTGAGCTGAAAGAAAATGCTAGACCGCAAACCCTAATTGGCAGAGGAAGCAATTCAGAAACCCTAAATCGAAGGAGAGAAGAAGCCAGATAAATCCGACGGTCCTTATTCTCCGTTTGATTGTAAGGCCTTAGCAAAACTAAATCTTGTTAAGTTGAGCCTTTTTAACTTCTTCTGATGGGCCTTATAAGCCCATATAGTTCTTGTGAGAAAAAAAAGAAATCAATTCAATCACTTCACTACGTAAAAAAGGAAAAAATAATTTTTTTTTTTGCTAAATATGTTAATATCATTATAATGAAAATTAGGCTTTACAAAAGAGTAGAACCTACGAAAGAGTAGCCGAGGCAAAAAGAATAAAAACAAGGTTACAATAGAATTTAGGAAAGATTTGGGATGCTTATCGAATCCAAAGGAGCATTAGCCTTTGCCAACGCTTGCGATGTCGTCTAGAAGAGAATATATTGCGGAGCTCACGATCCACCATTTTGAAGATAACAAGGGGAGACAAACGAACAGAGTTATGCAACACATTATTTCGTTGTCGCCAAATGTTATAGATCACTGCTTGAGCCGCCACTTTCCGAAGGAGAGGAGGAGCTGCAGGAGATGAGAGGCTAGTCCAAGAGAGCAGCTCTGCCCAAGAGCAGAAGAGGCGTTGTCGCGGAGATAACCGGCTGAAAACCATATTCCAAAGCTGCGAAGAAAACTCACAAGACAAAAAGAGATGGTCCCGGGATTCCGTAACAATAGTGCAAAGACAACAAGCAGCTGAAGGAATCTGTCCCCAAGAAGCAAGCCTTTGTCTAGTAGGCAATCTATCAAGGTGACATACCCACATATTAAAAGCATGCTTCGGAACAGCTCCTTTGAACCAGACCGAAGCAGCCCATTCTTTTTCAAATTCTCTTGGTCTCAAAGCATCCCAAGTCACTGCTGTTGAGAAACCTTTACACACCACATCCCCTACACACCTATACTAAGCTTAATCTAAGCTTAAACAAGCATCAAATCCATTGCAAGCAAAAGACATAGCTTTACTACATCTATACTATGCAATCTATATGATGTTAGAAGATTTCGTGAGGTCATATGGAAAGTGATTGTAATGCATCGGATCATCTTCTCTATCATCGATCAAAAAATGTACTTATAAATTTTCTTATAGTTGATATCAACCGTTTGACGGATCATTTTGCAAATATTTTGTATACCTTGGAGCCTAGACGACACAACTAAGTAGTGGACATACTAGCCAAGCCAAAGTAGCAGAATGGCAAACTCTTGTCTCTAAAATTTAGTACTTTCTTCGGATTTGCTAAAGAGATATCTGTTTGACAATTATGTAAACATCTATAGGTTTTATAGAAAGTAATAAGGGTCCCAATTAAATAGTAGTACACTTCTTCATAATCTACTAGAAGTCTCGATAACAACCAAAACTTCAAATCCAATGCACACGTATACACACACACGCATGCGCACGAATGGGCTTAAAAGTTGGGAGTCTTAAGATTATTGAACCACCGACACAGAGTTTCGTGGGTATATATTATTTGTTGATTCCCTTTTTTCCACTAAATATTTTGCGTTCAAGTTATCTTCAAATTTATTGGTTTCTTTACAATATGCGTACGTGTTTGTTCTAATTCAAGCAAAAACATAATTGAAGAAACGTCTCCTTTATTTGTTTTGTTCTTTTCTTAATTCTGAATACTTCTGTTAGCTAGTTTTTGAACATATCGATAATGCTTTGTTCTGTTACTTTACCTTTCTAATATTGTCAAGTTTACTTGCATTTTTAGGAAGAAGATATTCAATAAATGTTACTTAAAATACTTAAGCATTAAAACTTGTGCATTGCAAATTTGATTAAATATCTAGACTGAAATAGAAATGACGCATTTAATTGGACCTACCGATATTTTACACGCTTTTCTCTCTGTTTTCTTCTTAAACTCTTTGTTGAAATGACAATTACAGTGTATAAGTTATAGAAAAATCTTAAATTCTTAGATTTTTTTCCATTGGAGAAATGTATTCGTTTTTAGAAAAATAAATCATTAAGTTCCGACAGCAATGTAATGTCCGATGTCGGTGGAATGAATATGGTCATAGAAAATAACGTACATTAATATCGCTTAATAAGCAACTCATTTCTAATTGAGCCTATACAGTGGAGATGCTTTCAAGTCATTACGTGACAATTGGCCTTTACTTAATTTCCAATATATATATCAATCGATGTTACACGATTTGGTATAAATAACAATCATTTTCGAATAGCAAACATGAAGGAGATTGATCTAGATAATTTGACCGAACATCATCCTATATATAATATATTTGCTGATATAATGCCATGATTTAAAACAACAACCTGTTCATAACTTCACATCTACACGTGTATCTTTTAAAATTGTATTCACGAATGAAAAAAAAAATCATTAAATTTGATCTTTCATTGTTTTCTAAACTTGGCCGGCGAGATCATTGCTTAAAGCTTTATTAAACTGCCGCTGCAGCTAGAAATTGTGGTTAGTCACTTTCACATGTTTAATGAATTAGAGTTTTTAAACCAAAACAACTTTTAAAATCCGTTAAATGAGAAAATTTAGTTGCTAGGTTGAAAGTTATTTGAAATTCATTTTTTTTTACTACATCAAATTATATAATGTAACCGGCGACATATATATAATTGTTAATAGATTAGGAAATTTATTTTTATCAGAGTATTTACCAACGATCTGAAAATATTAATATTTAAATTTTGTTGTTTTTATGGATAAAAGCATCTACGACTGTTTGTTGGCTTGTGTATTTCTTACAAAAGAACATATCTAGATTGATGTTCTTGATTTTAAAATATTTAGAGGTACATTAAAAAAACTTTTATATTTCTAGAGAGACTCTTGAAATTTTTTTAAAATATCTAGCTTATTGCAAATATCATAAATTGAATAACACCAAAATCTAATTTATATTTAAAACTATAAATTAAATAGAACGTGATTTTAACTAATTTTTTCAAAAAATATGAACAAGATTACAAGACAAGTTGTGATTTTTAAAAAAAAAGAAATTATGAACAAGACAAAATTGTGATTAAATTTGAAAACCAAAGAAAACAAATCCAATTATAAAAGACCATCTTCTATTAATGGTTGCTTTTATAAAAAGTTTAAAATATATCTATTTATGTTTGTTACTTGGTTCATGACGAAACATATTAATTCCTTCTTATGTATTCATCCATTTGTTTCCTATAAATACCCTTAGATCCGTTTTCACCCAAAAAAAAACCATACTAAAAAAATGCTCAATCTTTTCTTCTCTCAAAATTATACATAATGCTTCTTTTAAATATACTCATATTGTCGAAATTTCGAATATCATAAATTCATAATACTGAAAATGTTAATTCAATCGGCTCGTGGCCAGATTTATACCATACTTCAATCGAAATCAAGGTAACAAAGCTAGCTTAAGTTTTGATCTAATTTTTCGACCTTTTTGCGTTTAGTACTTTAATTCTTTTTAACAATAAAAATAATACACTTCCACAAACTTTTTTATATTTTATTTTGGCTTGACAAATGACAACTGTGAGCAATAAATAGAGTTGGTCCATCTATCTATATTTAATAGTAATTTATGCATATTGTAGGCCTGCTTTTTATTTAGTTGCCAAATATTGAATATTTATTTGGATCTCTCTTTGTCATTGCTGTCACATTGCGAGAGATCCACAAGTCTAGAATATGCCCTTTTGAACAATTTTAATTTTATGTTATTTTGTTTTTATTAAAGAACCGACAGAAAATGAATCTTGCCGTATTAATTTGATTTATTTCGATAAGAAAATGGTTTGAATTTATTTTATTTAGTTTTCTAAGGACAAAGAAATTCATTTTGGATATGTAAATAATAAATACATATAAGTTGAAATAAAATGTAATTTCATTTTTCAACCAATTTTTATGATGAGATTTGAGTTTAAATACAAATGTGGATTTGAGTTTTTTTTTTTAATCAATACTTTTGGAAGTTAACTTGTGGATTAGTTTTGCTTAACGACAGAATTAGTAGTGTAGAGGCAACCTTGCTAATGTGGTTTAGATATAACTGAAACTCTGTTATTTAACTTCCAAATATATTAATTTATCCCTCTAGAAAATAAACCTAAGAAAAATAGATTGAATGTATTTGGTCAACCAAAATTCAAATATGTTCCTTTTTAAAGTTATCCAAAATACATACAAGTGCACTGATAGCAAGATAATACAATGTATTTTTTAATTTAATTAAAGTTCTACTTTGGCTCTGTATCAAAAAATTAATTTAAATTTGCAGAGAATATTACATTCTACTATTTCGTTGTTAAAAAAAAAGGTTATAAATAATAGTACTCCAGTTTTTGCCGACAAAAAAGAAGAAACCTAAAGACTGCTTATTTTTATTTTCCTCCTTGGTAGAAAAAAAGTGCTGAATTTTGCACATTCTTGTCTCTTTTTTTTCCCACACCGATCTTCTCCCCTATTTCTCCGACGTTCTTTTTCTTCATTCTCCGGTCAACACCGACCGGTTCTTCACGGAAAACACTTTACCACAAAATTTTATTTTTTTTGTACGGCTACTTTGTTGATCGCCATTGCGGAATTTCAAAGCCTTCTCCTTTATTTTCTGTAACTTGAAGTGTGAGCTTCATCAATTGAGAGTTGAAACCTGAGAGAGATTCTTCTTGTTTATTTAATAGAGCAAGATCTGGGTTTTCGTCAGATTATTAAGTCGAAGATCGTGGGCTACTTTAAAACTAAAAAATCTGGGTTTTTCGAGGTGTGATTAATGCTCACTGATTTGTGTGGAGATTACATTTTCTCTGAGTGTTATTAGAGGATAATTAAAAACTTGAGCTCCAAAACTATTATATTGTTTTTATTCCTGTCCTTTTAAATCTGCAGTCTTTTAAGTTGAAGAAGCTGTGGTTAGTTTTTCCAGGCTTACCCTTTTAAGTGTTCGATGAAATTCCTCTGAGAGTTTTTTGGGAACTGAGAGAATCTTCTGTGAGAGTGGGTTGGTTGGTGGGTGATTTAGGAAAAATGTGTAAAATGGACAAGTTTCTTTACCACAGGAAACTATGGGAGATGAATGTTAAGCTTTTAGGAGAGAGCAAGGTTGAGAAACTCAAGAATTCTTTTGTTTCGAGGCCTCGTATGAGCTTATGGATGATTCGTGCTGTTACTGTATTGTTGCTTTGGAGTTGTTTCGTTCATTTGATGGCTTTGGGAGAGATGTGGGGACCAAGATTGTTTAAAGGTTGGCCTTCTTGTTTCAATCACCATGAACTGTCCACTGCCGCAGAGATGACGTCTCTTCCCACTAAAATCGTTCTTCCACCTAAAAGTAAGTTCTTTAGAGAAGATTGATTGATAGAATTTGTGGTTGAACCGGATAATGTAGCTTACTTGGTCTTGGAGATGAATCTGGAAACTAAGCTTTTGTTTTTCTTCTCAGGGGTATATGTGAACAATGGTTATCTTATGGTTTCCTGCAATGGAGGACTCAATCAAATGCGAGCAGCTGTAAGATGAGAACTAAACCATTGGAAATAGCTTCTCTACATACATCTTTTATGAAAACAATTAGCTTACTTTCTTTTTGGTCTGCTTTTGACAGATATGTGATATGGTAACTGTTGCAAGATACATGAATGTCACACTTATTGTGCCGGAGCTTGACAAGACCTCGTTTTGGAACGATCCAAGGTATGTATCTCACTTGAAGCTTCTTTGTGAACTCTGTTTTTTTTTCTTTTTCTGATTCGACAATCTCTTACACTGTTTTCTTCTTCGGGGCAGTGAGTTTAAAGACATATTCGATGTGGATCACTTCATAAGTTCGTTAAGAGATGAAGTTCGGATACTCAAAGAGTTACCTCCAAGGCTTAAGAAAAGGGTTGAGCTTGGAATGTACCACGAAATGCCTCCTGTTAGTTGGTCAAACATGTCTTACTACCAAAATCAGGTTAATTTTCCAAGTTTGGTCTGATCATTCGAGACTAGTCCTCATTTTGCTTCTTAAACCTAAATCCTTTTACTAACATTTCAAACTCAAAATGTATCTGAAACAGATTCTTCCACTGGTGAAAAAACATAAGGTTTTACATCTGAACAAAACGGATACTCGACTCGCTAATAATGAACTGCCTGTGGAGGTTCAGAAGCTGAGGTGCCGAGTAAATTTCAACGGGCTTAAGTTTACTCCTCAGATTGAGGAATTAGGTAGACGAGTAGTCAAGATTCTGAGAGAGAAAGGTCCCTTTCTTGTCCTGCATCTCAGATATGAAATGGATATGTTAGCATTTTCTGGTTGTTCCCATGGTTGCAACCCAGAGGAAGAAGAAGAACTAACAAGAATGAGGTACAAAAAAAAAATCTTCTTGCTTTTGTTCCGACTTTGATGGATCTATTGATGTAAATTATCTTTGTTTGCAGATATGCTTATCCTTGGTGGAAAGAGAAAGTCATAAACTCTGAGCTGAAAAGGAAAGATGGCCTTTGCCCTTTAACTCCTGAGGAAACTGCTCTCACGCTGACTGCGTTGGGTATTGACCGAAATGTTCAAATATACATAGCTGCTGGAGAAATCTATGGTGGTCAAAGGCGGATGAAGGCTTTAACAGACGCTTTTCCGAATGTGGTAAGCATTCATTTCAGCATCTGCAATTTTTTCAATCTTATATCTTCCATTGACTCCATTATCTTAACTAACTCAGGTCCGGAAAGAAACCCTACTCGAATCCTCTGATCTGGATTTTTGCCGGAACCATTCATCTCAAATGGCTGCACTTGATTACCTAGTGGCTCTTGAGAGCGATATATTTGTTCCAACCAATGATGGGAACATGGCAAGAGTCGTTGAAGGTCATCGCAGGTGAAAGACCTTCATCTTTCTTCTTCTTTCTTCCCATATTTATCATCCCGAGGCTGACACCATTTTTTTCCAGATTCTTGGGGTTCAAGAAGACAATCCAGCTGAATAGGAAGTTCCTAGTTAAGCTGATAGATGAATATACTGAAGGATTGTTGAGTTGGGATGTATTTTCATCCACGGTGAAGGCCTTTCACTCTACTCGAATGGGAAGCCCTAAGAGACGGTTAGTGATTCCCAATAGACCGAAGGAAGAAGACTACTTCTACGCCAACCCACAAGAATGTCTGCAGCTGTTAGATGAACCATTGAGAGTCATTTGAGGATGTGACTTCACCACTGGCGAGAGAACAGCTTGAATATCGGCTCTAAAGCTTTAATTTACTACAGTCTGAAAGATGAATTTACAGTGAGTTTTACAGATTGAAGTTATTTAGTGTTCTTGGTATAGAGATTTCTGAAAGAGCTTCCATGGAGAGAGTAGAAATGTTGATTAAAGCTTACATTGTAAAGTTTGGCATCCATGGCCTTGCCAGTTTTGTTAGCTAAATAATAAGCCATTTTGTGTAATTAAAACCTTGGTTACAGTCTTACAGATATATATATTTCAGATTATTACTTTCTCTCTTATTCCTAAAATCAATCCCGATATGTTCTACATAAACTTTTTATTATAGCTAGCCAATGTTGTTCTAAGAATCGGTTTTAGCAGTTAGGTGTTTGAGAGTATTTTTAAACAAAAAATTGATATATTTTCAAGCGATGTTGCCTAGAGAAGACATTTTAAATAACAAAAAAAGAAAAGAAAATACAATGCTACACAAAATATTAAAGTAGATTTTCAACTGAGATTTTTTTTATTTTTGTATCCATCTTTTTAAAAAATAATTCATGTTTCTTTTCGTCAACTTTTGGTTATGAAATTTGTGACTATTAAATTGGTTAGTATAAGATCATTAATTTCACCTACTTATTCAAATATGCTCCACTACCTAAACACCTAGAGTGGAATCCGCTCCTATTGTATTGGTTAGTGTAAGATCACTAACTTTTCACCTATTTTTATGTGTTGAAAACTACTTTGGGTTCAAAAGTTCAAAGCCAACCAAAACACTTCAATTTTTGCAATGATTTTGAGAAGTGAGTGAGAACAAATGGGAAATGGCCCTGACTCACTAACCCATTACGTCCATTTCAAAATTATTTTAAGAAGATCAAACCATATTTTATATCTCGAGAAAATACAGATTATTTCAAGAGCATGAATATATAGTTTCAAGTGTATTTGAGTAACCCAAGAGAGAAAATAACTATTCTTTTAAGTATACAAGTGATCCAACTAATATTCAATACTCCCTCCGTATTTTAATAATTGTCGTTTTAGAAATTTTATTTTTTTGAATTGGATGTCGTTTTCAAATTTCTATGCAAAATTTATTACTTTTTAATGTTTTATTATGTCATACGGAGGGAGTAGCTTTTAAGTTCTTGCTCAATGGGAGATCCAAGAAATTCTATTTCGTCTACCACTCATCAAATTTCGTAGAGGTTCTTGATCTTATCGATACCAAGCTTATTATTTACAAGATACTTTTAATTGCTCTCATCTCTATATATATTGGACACTAAAATCATCTCCTTGCATATACAAAGATATTTCAATATGGATTTTATTGGTTTCTTTAAATGATTTTTACATCGCTATTACAAGTTCTGTGACATGATGTTTTTCTTTGTTTTGTTTTTTTGTCAACAAGTCCCTTTAATTGCATATTGATTGGATATTAATATTGTTGGATCCACCGAGACACATAGCTTTCGCAGCACAACAAGTACACACAAAAGTTGATGAAGATATCTTTATTAATTAATGGGTTCAAAATATAGGTGGCTCTTGTTAATGAGGTTTAATAGTTTGTGAACTTGATAATTCCTTCTTTTTACAAGGTTTAAACTTTTTAGATTTTATGATGATGATGATAGTTTGATGATGATATAACGTTGGTAATGATTTTTCGGAATGAAAATTACACAAAACTTAACCCAAAAATAATGACTAGATATATATTTTGTTAAGAGTCTTTAAAACATAAACATTTTTTTTTTTTTTTTTTTTGTCAGCAAGCAAAAACTCTTTTCTTTTTGCAGAAATCTTAATTCTGAGACTCATGTGGTAATATGTACAAAAAGACTTACTCCTATAGAAGTAAAGAGTAACTATGTTGTTCCAATGTTCCTCTCTTGATGATTCTCTTCCTTAACACCAGCCAATAACCCTAACTCAACATGCTGATCCTTAATCCTGCTCATAACCCTTGACAGATCTTCCTCATAACCAACACTAAATGATGAAGACATCGTGTCCTGTCTTCTTCCTCGAGACCGACCTTGTTTGATCTTTAGTATGAATTGTGTGACTTCTCCAATGGATGGTCTTTTTCTTGGTGTCTTATGCACACACCTGTTTGCAATCTTCGCCAGTAACCTCACTTCTTCAATGCTTGCATTTCCCACTAGTTTCTGATCGAGTATTTCGTCGATACCATCTGGACTCATCGAAGCCTGGTCATCAGGAAAACAGAATCAATGATCACAGAGTCACTCACTGAGTTTTGGTTAGATTTGGGGTTTTTAATTTAGGATTTTTGGTTTCTTCGGTTTGGTTGCATAAATATAAGTTTTGGGGTGATTTTGTTTGGTTTTGTTACGTTTACTTTTAAACTTACCAGGTTGACGTATTCCATCAGATTCTGTTGGGGATGGATTGCAGTAATGAGCTCAAGAATGATGACACCGAAACTGTAAATGTCGCTCTTCATCGTGTATTTGTTAGTCGAAATGTACGTTGGATCCATGTACCCATGAGTACCCTTCAATCCGGAAGTCATTCTATCTAAAACCATCTCTTTCGACAACCCGAAATCCGCGACCTATACCAACAAGAAAAAAAAAGAAGAACCAAAATTTTAATTTAACCAAACAGTTTTGACTAAGCAACTTAAATATTTGCTCTCTTACCTTAGCTCTCATGGAGTGATCTAACAATATGTTTGCTGACTTAAGATCACGGTGAATAACTGGCGGCACGGCTCCTTCGTGAAGGTATTCAATGCCGTGGGAGATATCAAGAGCGATTTGAAGCCGCTCTTCCCAAGTCAAGACTTGCATTCCTTCGCCTGAAAAGCAAAGTAGAAAATCTTGTCAAACACTAAAGTGATTAATTTCTTGCTGCATCTTATATTGATAGAAGAAAACAAAGGACGACTCACCGCCATACAAAAGATTCTCCAAACTTCCATTACTCATGAACTCATAGATCAACATCCGGTGACTTTTATCGACACAGTATCCTGTCAAATTCACAAGATTCCGGTGATGCAGCCTCCCAAGTAAAGATACCTGGAAACAAGAAACCCAACACTGCTCTGTTATCTCCAATATGCATGGACGAGGGCAATGAGCAGACTGGTACACTTACCTCGGTTTGAAACTCTCTATCTCCTTGACTTGAATTAGAGCCATGAACTTTCGCTGCAGCTAATCCTCCATTGGGCATAACCGCTTTGTACACAGGACCAAAAGATCCTTGTCCTAGAACGGTTGTGAAATTTTGTGTTGCTTTCTGAATATCCCTGAAGAAGTTTCAGACCATAAGCTACTACAACCTAGTAACAAATTCACACAAACTAAAGCTTTATACTGAATACTCACTTGTAGTGATATCTAGGTATGCCGGATGCAGAAACAGTGAGATCTTTGTTATTGTTGTTCCACCATGGCTGATGTTGAGTTGGTGCTGCATTCTCAGGTGGCTGTGACGATTCTGTGTTGGCGCTATCATCAGGGATTACTACGCCTCTTTTAGCAGTGTGAACAGGTAGAGTCGGGGTATTCTGTTCATTAGCGCATCGTCTTAGGTGAGAGCGGTCATTGTACCATTTTATGGCGAAGAACAAAAGCAGAGCGAGCAAGAGACCAAGTGCAAGCCCAACCGAGATCCCAATCACCACTAAATCACTTCTATTCACCATTTTGATATCATTTTGCAAACCATAAGGGAATTAAATCCAAAGATGGAATCTTTTGTTTCTGAAAAACCGTTCCTGCAAAAAATTTCACAAGCAAGGTTTTGCATCATGAAGCATTATACACATTATTACTAGACATACAATTCAAACTCCTTCAAGACGATTATCTAGACATTGTACTCCAAGTTCGGTAAACTAGCTAACAAAGGTGAAAACATGGGTGAAATGCTAAACGAAGCAACTCGGTGATTTATACAACAGACCGGAACAAGCAACAAAAACATTTTCACACATCACCTATACTCCATAACTCCACTCACAAGTATAGAATCATCACTGAATTAACTAAATAACAAAATCTTCTAAGTGGTTCTCCAAAACTAATTGTTTGCTACTTCACAAAGCAGGAATGAGCATCAAAGATTCAATTTTTGTTCTTCAAATTCTAAGTGATCGTCTCTTATGATATAAACGAAATTGGGTCGAGATCTCCATGATAAACCAAAGATCCCACCTTTGGTTTTCTGGAAGATACCCTAGAGCTAACACGCAACCAGAGTCGCAGTGAAAATCAGAGATTGTTTTAGTTTCACAGATTCACAGTCCAAAATCACAATTTGCTCACTTAAACTCAACAAAGTTAAGGACTTTGTATTTTCCTCCCAACTAATCAAGATAGAAACCAAGTGGGTTCGATCAAAATCTCGAAATAAGAAAGAAAAACAAAACCCAGAAGCCTTTTTACCAACCAAGAGAATTGCAAAATCAAAATCCTAGGAGCAGCAAAAAGCCATTGAACATTCTTAACACTTTACCTAGCCAGAAGAAAGCGTAAGCAAAGATCTAGGGTTTTGATCTTTTAGTGTTGTCTTCTTCTTCTTCCTCCGCTTTGAAACAAAGTCAATCTACATGGATGACCTCGTCCATAAAGTAAACTGATGAACAAAGGAACAGAGCAAACTCCAACATTTATTTTTTTTTTCTTTTTCTCAGAAAGAATATTTGTTCGCTTCAAAAGCGAGATACCGCGTTTATTTAATCATTTTATTCTGAAAATTATATTTGTTAATATTATTTCCTAGTATTTGCTTAATACTTTATAGCATTGGAAAATTTAACTCATATATATTCTAGTTTTTGTGAAACGGTATATATACTAATTATCTCACATTCACATTTTCTCCTCTAAGCTATTGTTGTTTAGTTCAAATGTGATATTTTAAGCTCTCTTGCATAGTTGTTTAACTAAAAGATATTTTTGATACCAAATGAGAGTTATTGCTAAACATATTAAGTAAAACAGCTAACAATATAATCTATAATATTAATATATTTTACTTTTTTGATTTGAACTTTAGAAGCAGGACCCAAAGGCATAAAATGAAGATAAAAGTTGTACTTCAAGTTGGTGTGCAAAATGATATAAAATAATTGAGTTTTCTTATTCAATATAGTTCACATTTGATGATGACTTGACCAAATCCAGCTTGGTTTGCTTTTTTTTTTTTTTTCTTCTTCTTCTTCAAATATATACAAATATATGCATGTCCACATTTTATTTCCAAAAAAGTTAGAGAAATCAAAAATGTCTTCTTCTTTTTTTTTCTTTTTCTTTTCTTAACAAACATATTTCGTGGGAAATGTAATTCAAAGTAAGGCTAGTTCAATACAAAGACTTTTATTTTCCAATCTATTTAAGAACTACAAGCGGTGGGTAATATAATGTTTATATAAAAGTATAAGTCGAATATACTTAATTTCAAAACTTTTAAATATCTCCAAAACAGTGAGAACTATTTTTGAAAAACTCAAAGACAATATTAATAAAGTCTTTATATAAGTAAACATACTAATATTCAGCATTACATGATACATCCATTTTATGATTTTAACAAACTTATTAAACTACTAATTGAAGGAAAAATAAAACAAGGGTCAATTAGTGACCATTAATAGGCACGCCATTGTGAACTGGAGTTCTTTTCCTCGGCTCTACCGGTGAAGGATATTCGTGCTGCATCAGATGATCAACCTCTCTCTCTAAGTCTGTCGATATTGAATATTCCAACGATCTCGCTACATTTTTTGTTTCAATCGGTTCCAGAGCTATTAACTGCAACATATAGACCAAGCTAAGAAGATTGCTTAATATTGAGAAGAAGATATTGATGATGATTCATTTTAAAAGTGTTCCCAATCTGGATAGGCTAATTCAACGTTGATTCTTTGACAAATAACTGAATCCTAAAAAGAAAATGATCAAACATAAAACCAAATGTTAATTTAATTCGAACTTTCGATATGTGTCATTGATTACCTTCCGTGCTATCAAGAGATCTCCATTTTTCGATCCACCTACATTTATAAATATAATTATCAAGACTACGTACAAGTCTTAAAATAAAAATTGTAACTCATTAACATATTTAAAGTTTTATCCTAAAACTATAGTTATAGGATGATGGATCTTGTGTGAATGCAACAATTACATGCCTACAAAGAGTCGTTTAGTTGCTGTAAATAAAAATGTATGTCTTTGTGCACATTACATATATGCATGTACGAAGAGAAAGAAACATATATTCAAGGATATTATAATCATGCAAGTAAACAATCTATATATGTATATGCATCATCATCATCAACATCATATGACCATCAAAAGAATGAGTAGCTAGATTCAAACCTCGAGGCCCATGAAGAAGATAAATGAGAAAGAAAAACCCTAAAACGAGGGTCATTAACTTCAAAATTGTCTTCTTCATATTATATCCTTGGTCGTTTGTACTTAAAAGTACTTGCGTTTGCTTTCGAAAGTATATATCAGTTCTTCAACACTTGACGTTGATGTTCGATATTATACAAATAGTATAAGGATGTTATAGATTTTGTGGAAACAAGAGGCTAGCTAGGGTTTTCCGACAAAAAGATACCTCTCCTTGGTAATTGCAAATTAAAGGAGGTTTATCAATTAAAGAAGTTTTATTGAGAAATTAAAATCATCATCTATATTCCAGATAATTATATTGTTTTGAAAAACTGGAGACATTTTTTCCGATATGAAAAATGCTTTATTTATTTATTTCGAATCGACTCTTGTTTCATTGGCAATGACTATTTGTAGTCAGTATATACACATATTTTCTTGATAAATTTTACGGTAAATTATAAATTTTGAAGCTATCCTAATGAAAAGCTTAGTTTGCTTGATTGAAAACTACTAATAATTAACATTGGTTGCTTAGGGTTTCTAAATAAGTCTGATATTTTTTTTTTTGTATTTTACCCAAAAAGATCCCTTGACCATCGATTTGCTAAATGATATGCTTTGTTGGACCATTTCTAATGAAATCTATAGTACATTATTATTTTAGTGACATCGAAATTGATATATTCTTTTTGAGACACGAGGACGAGTTCTCCGATCCTGGTCCGTTCCTTGAAAACCTTCACAAATTTAATACCTTTGTTAAAAAAACTCCTCCTATGGATTTAACTAGCGTTTTCAAATGATACTCTAGCTGTTAATGTTCTTATTTAAATTTGTACAGAATAATAATCCCAAATGATACTATTAACAATTTAAAAATAGATGGATCATGGAATTCAACTAAACCCAAGGACTCAGCCCTTAAATCAGGGCCCATTATACTAGTTACATCCATCCGGTTATCATAAACTATAAACCGGTTTAGACACATCTGAAAAACCATCATCACATAACAGAGTGGTAACTTATATTTCAATCAGAATTCAGAAGCTATGAGCAAAACCATCAATGACTAGTAAACAGATTTACAAAATAAGGAGGTTTAGAGGTTGGCTTTTTCTAAAAGCTGTCTCTATAAAAGAAGAAGAAAAGAGTAAGAACATAAAAGAAGCAGTAAATGAGAAAAAGAAAAAAACAAATCTTTTAGAACAGTAACAGTTAACCACTACACTCCATGAGATCATTTACCACGACCAGTTCCTCTGAACCAAACACGGTCTCTTATGTCACGTAACCATGTCTCTTTCTATATCACCATAAAGATATGTAGTAGAGTTGTTTTCTTCATAAGCTTATCTTAAAGAGCTCAAAACAGAGAGAAAGAGAAAGAGATAAAGATAGTAACCAAGCATGAAGAGTTTGTTGATTTGTGTTGTGTTGTTAGAGCTTGTCTGGTTTGGCAATGGACAATCTAGAGATCATCAACCTCTTGCTCCAGCTTTCTTTGTCTTTGGAGATTCTTTAGTTGATAGTGGAAACAACAATTACATTCCAACTCTAGCACGAGCTAATTATTTCCCTTATGGGATTGATTTTGGCTTCCCCACTGGCCGTTTCTGCAATGGCCGTACAGTTGTTGATTATGGAGGTATAGCTAAAAGACTAATGATCGTAATATTGGTTTCACATCTTTTAACTAACTTTCTCACATTATAATGTAGCAACGTACCTCGGCTTGCCATTGGTGCCACCATACTTATCTCCTTTATCCATTGGGCAAAATGCCTTAAGAGGGGTTAACTATGCATCTGCAGCAGCTGGGATTTTAGATGAAACTGGTCGACATTATGTGAGGATCAAGAAACTAAATTTCTAAAATAATAAAGATCTTAAAACCTTTTTTTCTTCTTACAGATAGGTTCATTTACCTCTGTATTTCCAGGGAGCAAGAACTACATTTAATGGACAGATATCGCAGTTTGAGATTACGATCGAGTTACGTCTCCGGCGTTTCTTTCAAAACCCTGCAGATCTGAGAAAGTATCTTGCGAAATCGATAATTGGGATCAATATAGGAAGCAATGATTATATAAACAACTACCTTATGCCTGAGAGATACTCCACCAGCCAAATCTACAGTGGAGAAGACTATGCAGATCTCCTGATCAAGACTCTCTCAGCTCAAATATCAGTAAATCAATGATCTTTTATAACTCTTCCATAATCTCATACTACAAAATTCACAGTAGTGATGCAGAATTTCATCTCATACTCAGAAAGTGTAAAGTGTGTTCTTTTACAAATATTTTGCAGAGACTATACAACTTAGGTGCAAGAAAAATGGTGTTAGCTGGGTCAGGACCATTAGGTTGCATACCGAGTCAGCTATCTATGGTAAGCAGCAACAACAACAGCGGGTGTGTGACAAAGATCAACAATATAGTTTCAATGTTCAATAGCCGGCTGAAAGATCTAGCAAATACTCTCAACACAACTCTTCCCGGATCTTTCTTTGTCTATCAAAACGTCTTTGATCTATTTCATGATATGGTTGTGAATCCCTCTAGATATGGTAAACTGACATCAATCCCTATTTATTTAATAAGGGGTTTACTCTTATGTCTATATAATAGTACTGAGTTTTAGTTCTTCTTTTTGCAGGTCTTGTAGTATCAAACGAAGCGTGTTGCGGTAACGGGAGATATGGAGGAGCCTTGACATGCCTTCCATTGCAGCAACCGTGCTTGGACAGGAATCAATATGTCTTTTGGGATGCATTTCATCCAACAGAAACTGCCAACAAAATCATAGCTCACAATACCTTCAGCAAGTCTGCAAACTACTCCTACCCTATCAGTGTCTATGAATTGGCTAAACTGTAGAGAAATGTGTCTCAAAGCTAGATTTCCTCAGGTTTTCTAGTTTCTAATTAGTTAGAAGACATTAAGTATGGGATTTGTAGCTAACAATTGCCCAAATCTTTAAGATCACATCTATGTTCCAATGTTATAAGTTAAACTTTTCTCTTTCTCATAAGTGTTAGCCAACAAGAAATTCTTGAACTAGCAGTCATTATTTGCAAAGGGAAGCTTAAATTTACGATGTAGAAAAGGAAAATTCAGCACAGGAAGCTAAAATAAAGTGTATATATATTTCATATCTCTGACAGGGATATAGAGAAAGTTTTCATATCCAGTGAATGCTAATTTACAGAAAGCTAGAAACAAGTTTATCTTACAGTTTTTCTCCCCGATACTGTTAATCATTGGTGAAGCATATCATTGCTGACGAGGTCTTCATTAACACTGAAGGTACACACCAAAGGCTTTCCGATTTCATATCTCTGACATGTTTTGCTAGCGAACTTGTAAGTTTTCAAGAATGTTGTGAGACAAACGATTACTTCTTGTTCAGTGGACAGATGCATCAAATCTTGGCTCATAAAAGCACACTTGGCTGTTGCATGACTGAAGAGCACAACCGGAAATCCAAGACCAAATCTTCTTATCCACATTGTATAGAAGACCTTTTCCTTGATTCCAAGATGTAAAGCAGATCAAATTATCTTGTCCAAAACACTCAAACCTCTCAGCCGAAAGTCTCAGAAGTGCTCGGAAGTACTTTGGTGGCATTCTACTTATCTCTACCCAAGAAACCTTTGCGTGATCAAGCTCCCATATCCTCATGCTTTGGAGGGTACTATAGAGGCCAATCCTTCCTACGAGAAACAATCTCTTCTGAGTTCCAGCAACTAAGTAACCATCCAATAAAGATCTCGGGAATTTAGCTGGAATGTGTTCCCATTGCCCTGTATCAAGCCGATACATCATCAACCCAAGAGGCGAGAGAGTTTCAAGATATAACCGGGAATCACAATAAGCCATTTTCGAAGAGCATAAGTTCACCGCAGGCATTATCTGATGTAAGGACCATTTATCAGTTTTGGAATCATACACTTCGGTAGGAACTGACTTATCACCATAAATATCACTTGTGGCTATAACTTTGAACGATTTGTCTGAGCGATCTACGACCATAATCAATTGCCTTTGTTGGTTGTAGTGCATACTCGGTAGAGTCCTCCAACTCTGCATCAGAGGATTGCATACTAAAGTTCTGAAAGTTAGACCATCCATACCCGAAAAGCAAACGAGACCACCTGAAGAACCAACCAACCAAAAAGCCCATGGAGGCAAAAACGTGAATGGAATTTTGTACCATGTCTTCAATGGTAAACTAAAAACCGAGCATTGCGGGATCTGCGGCGAGTTCTTCCAAAAAGTGAGAAGACAAGGTCCGTGAGATGACACATTTGAGTGAAACTTGAGAAAACTATTATCCTGAAGAATCAAGTTCCATTTTTTACAAACAGACCGGATTCGAAATATCATAAACGGTGGAACCCTAGCTAAAATCTCGTTGAGCAAATCCTCTGGAAGCATTGCCCATATACCATCCTCCATCTGCACATCAGCAACAACTGGTTTACCAAATGAAGCAACTGTTTCTTCCTCTAAACCACGAGGCTTCGTCTTGACCACTTTCTGCCTAGAAGGACTCGTGTTTCTCGACCCAACTCGACCTAAAGGACTAGTATTTCTCGACCCAGAACCCTTCAATGGTGAAACTTGCTTCGATGAAGTACTACTATCTTCGTCTCCATTGTTCGCAGATGCAGAACAAGCCACCGAATTTCCAGAATCCGATGACTTTTCCACACTACCCATTAGCAATCCCCAAAATCCCAAACGCTCCATTCAAACTCAAATCCAAACCATTAGCTATATAACCTCAAGATGACTTAGATCCCCAAAACCCAAGGAAGATCACTCGATCATCGACCAAACAGACGTACCAGATCCTCGAACAAAAAACCCAGCAGAAGAATAACAAAGTGACCACAAAGGAACTCAAAACTCAGGTAGAAATCAATCGGAAGCTACGCAATCAGCTAGCCTGGAGTTAGAGCAAAGATTCTGACTTTGGATCAGTAACTAGTAATTTACCTCAAGATATTATGCATCAAGCTTCTTCCTTTAGGAATCCAATGACATACATAAATTTTGCCAGCTGGGTTTTTCTCGAGAGCTACGCGAAGAGAGAGAGATAGAGAGACCTAATACATTTTCTCTGTAGCTTCAGTTCCGAGAAAGGAAACAAATCGGGCTTGTTACTTCTCAGACAAAAGCTAAGGGGTTAAATTGTAATATATTAAAACTATAGAGGTGGAAAATATCAAATTCGGTGCGAATAATCAGGTGTGGGTTATCATATGTGAAACCAACTAGCACCCAACCGTTAATCGACACATACACCAGAAAATCATATTTTAGTCCAAATTTAATTTACAAATTATAGATGAGTATAATTAGTATTAAATCCGATTGATATTTTTGACCCAAAAAAAAAACAAAATCCAAGTGGTATTATTCATACAAAAATCCAAATCTTATATTGCATGTTAGTTATATTCGGCATTGTAATTGGGTTCCACCTTTTTTTGTTGATAATAATTGGGTTCCACTAAAAAGTTGTATGAAATGGTCAAAATAATAGAAGAAAATCAAACAAATTTTTTTTTTTTTCGATAAATATTTAACTAATTAGGCTCCATAAATTCCTCAAGCCTTTTTGCATAGTAAAGAGACATTGGGCCGTATTAGAGGGCCTTAATCAGATATTTTCCGGGTCGGGTAAGATTCTCCTATCCGGGTCAAATTTAGGGTAGATATTTTTAATTTATTTTAATTGTTTGACAATATGTGAGAACAGAGACAACCCCCAAAAGAAAAAAAAACAGAGGCTTAAGAAAGCAAGGGTTTTTAAGAGAGGGTTTAAGGCGGCTTCGTCGTGTACTCTTCACTCACCATTTGTTTTTATTTCCTTCAGTCTATGAAAGTTTTCCCAATTTGCCAGTTTTCTTGCTCATGCGATCGAATTTATTCAATCTCGTGTCAGGTTTTGTTCTGGTTTATCGATTTTACTCAATTTTTTAAGTTCGATTGATGTCCAGTGCTCAAACCCCATTGTTCTTGGCAAATCAGACTAAGGTATTCGATCACTTGATTCCATTGCATAAACCCTTTCTTTCTTCTCCAAACCCAGTTTCCCAATCCTTCCCTATGTGGAGAAACATTGCTAAACAAGCAATTTTGAGGTCAGCTACTAGATCAAACGTCAGTTCCAAAACTCGTGGCTTTCTTGGGTCTTCTCCGGAGTCTATTTTCTTCAAAAATTTAAGCTTTCGGTTTCCCGTGTTCGGTTCCATCTCGGGATCGCCATGTCACGAAATGGGTGTTCGTAGTTTAAGTGGGATCACAAGGCGAGATGAATTTTCCAAGAGCGAGAGGTGTCTTAATGGGACTTTGGCTAGAGGGTACGCGAGTGTAGCTGAAGAGGTCTTATCAACAGATGTTGAGGAAGAGCCTGAGGTACATGAATTGTTGAAGGAGATGAAGAAAGAGAAGAAGAGAGAGAGTCATCGTTCGTGGAGGATGAAGAAGCAAGAACAATTTGGAATGGGTCGTACCAAGTTTCAGAATTTATGGAGAAGACAAGTTAAGATCGAGACTGAAGAGTGGGAAAGAGCTGCTGCAGAGTACATGGAGCTTTTGACGGATATGTGTGAGCAAAAGCTTGCCCCTAATCTGCCTTATGTGAAGTCGTTGTTTCTGGGTTGGTTCGAACCATTACGAGATGCAATTGCTAAAGACCAGGAATTGTATAGATTAGGGAAGAGCAAAGCAACTTATGCACATTACCTTGATCAGTTGCCTGCCGACAAGATATCTGTTATTACAATGCACAAGTTGGTGGGGCATTTGATGACTGGTGGTGATAACGGTTGTGTTAAGGTTGTTCATGCTGCGTGTACAGTAGGCGATGCCATTGAACAAGAGGTTGGGTAGCTTGATCTTTCTCTGGTTTCTACTTTGTTTATATCATATCACCTGCCGGTAGTTTTCTTGGTTTGCCGGTATAGTGGGAAATTTGAGATCTTAAAGCTGTTTTCACTCATGAGTGAACCTGAACTTTTGACGGTTAAACTCTATGTATCCCATAGCTGGATACTGGAGGTGTGAGCCTGAACTTAAAGCAAAAAAAGATTACTTTAATATTTAGGACATGATATTGATAAAATATTCACTATTTGTGAATGGAACTCCTTCATTTAAGCATGTTACAGTTGTAATTAAGCATAAAAAAAACCTTATATGGAGGTGTGAAGTATTATTTTCTCTTGTATTAGCCTTTAGGGTTCCTTGCTTGTCTTGATCTGTCTAGGGTGTTTTGGATTCTTGTATTCTAATGGTGTTGTTTTTTCTCTTTGTGAATTGATAGATAAGAATATGCACATTCTTGGATAAGACCAGGAAGAAAAAAGGGGATGACAATGAGGAGAGCGGGGAAGTTGAAAATGGAACTTCTATGAAGGAACAAGATAAGTTAAGAAAAAAGGTCAATGAGTTGATAAAGAAACAGAAGTTGTCAGCAGTTAGAAAGATCTTGCAGTCACATGACTACACAAAACCATGGATCGCAGATGTTAGGGCTAAGGTGTGTATATGCTTGGCTGCAAAATTGCTGGAGAGGTAAAGAAAGATTATGGTGGCTGCATAAGTTGCTAACATTTTGATATTTTCTAATTTATATCCCAGGTTGGAAGTCGTCTAATAGAGTTACTCGTAAGAACAGCTTATATACAGTCTCCAGCTGATCAGCAGGATAATGATCTGCCTGATGTCCGACCTGCATTTGTGCATACCTTCAGGATAGCGCAAGGAAGCATGTGAGGAATTTCGGTCTATGATTTTCAAGTAGGCTTATCTTCTTGTCCTGAATGTCATAGGCTCATATTCCAGCTTTTCTTGTACAACAGGAATTCTGGGAGAAAATATGGTGTAATCGAGTGTGACCCTTTGGTCCGAAAAGGCTTGGAAAAAAGTGTAGGTGATCTATTCGCGTTTGGTTTGTTATCAGACTAAATTTAGCCCGAAATCAACAAAAATAATGTTGACTCTTTTTCAGAACTCGGAGTCATTTATTATGGTCATTTTGTTGAATGTTATATCTAAAGAGGGTTTGACTTGGGTAGCGCCTGTAAATTAGATTGAATATATCTGGGATTTGAAGACTAAGGTATAACTGAGATATCTAATCTATATATTGTAGGAAGTGTGAATGTCGCTTTTTTCTTTGTTGTGCAGGGGAGATATGCAGTGATACCATACATGCCAATGCTGGTTCCTCCTCTCAAATGGTCGGGGTAAATGAGCTTTCTTGGCTGTATGCTTACCCCAAATGATGAAATAATTGCATTGCATGGTATCTCAAACATAAATTCCAAAATGAATTCAGTATGATAAAAGTTAATGTACATTATTTTGTGACCAGCACTAGTTACTCGGAGAAGACAGAAACCTTAAAGCTTATCTATCTAAGTTTAAGAAAAAGGAAACTTAGATTTGTATAGCTTCGAGAACTGTCAACATTTCTTCATAAGAAGCTTGGAAGACTTTACCTTTGGTGAAAGTTATGCAAGTCATTTCACTTTTATTTTGTGTTTCGCAGATACGACAAAGGTGCTTACTTGTTCTTAGCATCTTATATAATGAAAACTCATGGATCCAAACAACAAAGAGAGGCACTTAAGAGCGCACCTAAAGGACAACTACAACCAGTCTTTGAGGTCAGAGATTACTGTTTCTTCACGTGCGTTATGTGGGAATCAGTTACAGTTTTAATTTATGTAAATATATTATGGACATTTGTTAGGCCCTGGATACGCTTGGAAGTACTAAATGGAGGGTAAATAAGCGAGTCTTAACGGTTGTAGATAGGATATGGAGCAGTGGCGGATGTACTGCTGATCTGGTGGATCGCAGCGATGTGAGTTACTCCATGTGTTACTTTTATCTTATAATGGTTACTGTTTTTCATCTGTACAATAGTTTGACATTAGTTATTGTTGGTGCAGACAAATTTTCTATCATGAGGCCTCTTTAATTCTTTAATTTCAAACTGCAGGTTCCTTTACCAGAAAAGCCTGATACTGAAGATGAGGGCATTCTTAAGAAATGGAAGTGGGAAGTCAAATCTGCTAAAAAGGTGAACAGCGAGAGACATTCTCAGCGCTGTGACACAGAACTCAAGCTTTCGGTGAGCTTTATCCCCCTTGTTATCAAAGTAATGTGCCGGTTTTGAGAGTTCTGTTCATAACTGTTTAAATGTGAGCAGGTAGCACGGAAAATGAAAGATGAGGAAGCTTTTTACTATCCCCACAATATGGACTTCCGGGGACGTGCATATCCCATGCCCCCGCACTTAAATCATCTTGGCTCTGATTTGTGTCGGGGTGTTTTGGAGTTTGCTGAGGGAAGGCCTCTGGGAATTTCAGGCTTACGCTGGCTGAAGATACACTTAGCAAACTTGTATGCTGGTGGTGTAGATAAGTTATCACTTGATGGACGGCTAGCTTTCACTGAAAATCACTTGGATGACATATTTGATTCGGCAGACAGACCACTTGAAGGAAGCAGATGGTGGCTACAGGCTGAAGACCCATTTCAGTGCTTAGCTGTCTGCATAAATCTGACTGAAGCTCTGAGAAGCCCATCCCCAGAGACAGTTCTGTCACATATTCCTATACATCAGGTACTTTCTGGCAGAAGTTGCCACTTTGACATCTCCTCCTTAAGGCTTGAATTTTTTTAATGATTTTACGTTGTAGTTTCTCGTTCAATCTCTGTGTTTCTTCAAATGAACTTCCCTTCCTTCACTTTGGTTCTGGCCAGGATGGTTCCTGCAATGGTTTGCAGCATTATGCCGCTCTTGGGAGAGACACAGTAATTCTCTTGTTTTTAATCTTCTATGGTTTTTTGTTGGCTGCTTGTCATCTTTCTTTTCTGATTATGGTTTTATAAGATGATTATCAGTTAGGAGCAGAAGCTGTTAATCTAGTTGCAGGTGAGAAGCCGGCAGATGTTTATTCAGGAATAGCTACCAGGTAAGCTCTGCATCTACTACTTAAAGCTAACTTAAATTTAATCGAGAAAATAAATGTGCATTCAAAATTTCATATGCATATACCCTGCAGGGTTCTTGATATTATGCGCCGAGATGCAGACAGAGATCCTGAAGCTTTTCCAGATGCATTGCGTGCAAGAAAATTACTTAACCAGGTCCTTCTGAAATTCTTTTCATTCTTTTTTCATTTTCCTAACCTTGTGTTTCTCGGTTTCGGCTTCCATGCTTGCATAGTGGAGTAGAGATCTCATACATTACATCCTCAAAAAACATTGTTAAATCACAAAATAAATTGAACTGTTCTAATGTATATGTAGTAGTATTGACATGTGAGCAAGTTGCCTGATATTTGTATGTTTGGGTACGTTGTTTACTCATTCACATAACTGGTTAGCTGATACAACTGGACGGTTGTTCAAAATCTGTAGGTGGATCGTAAGCTTGTAAAGCAGACGGTTATGACATCAGTCTATGGTGTCACCTACATTGGCGCTCGGGATCAAATAAAGAGAAGGTTGAAGGAACGGAGTGATTTTGGTGATGAAAAGGAAATTTTTGGGGCTGCTTGCTATGCAGCAAAGGTATATTAGCAACAGATAAAAGCACTGGCACTAGAAAATCTTAATTTGGCAATTTCATTCATCTGATCTTCAAAGAACGTGTGCTTAACAAATGATTAATTTCTACTTTCTAGTTCTCATGTACGTTGGAAACTTATCAAAAGTAAAAATGCTACGAGGGTATAATCTTTTGTTTTGTTATGTTTGGGGCAGGTAACATTAGCTGCTATAGATGAGATGTTTCAAGCTGCACGCGCCATCATGCGTTGGTTTGGTGATTGTGCGAAGGTGTGTAGACTTTTTTTTCCAGCGTCAATTAAATATGCTTTTGGACTTTTCATAATTCTTGGGGAAAACAATAATTTCCATGAGCAGATTATTGCTTCAGAAAATGAAACAGTTCGATGGACAACCCCATTAGGTCTTCCTGTTGTACAACCTTACCACCAAATGGGAACAAAACTCGTAAGTCTTCCTAAAAGTTAATAGAGTGGATAACATTATCACTGACACCATTACTCTCGTCTGTTGAATCTAAATGTGTGACTGTCTTCACTTTCCATCAAAATGAATGCAGGTAAAGACATCCCTCCAGACCCTATCGCTTCAGCATGAAACTGATCAGGTATGCTTCCGCTTTACCTTGGTTTTGCACATAAACAAAAGATATGTAAGGAAACAGAGTACGATGCAAAGGCCTATTCCTAAAAGATTTTTGTGGGCTTTTATCTTTGTTTTATAGGTCATTGTGAGGCGACAGAGGACAGCTTTTCCTCCAAATTTTATTCACTCCCTGGATGGGTCTCATATGATGATGACTGCAGTTGCCTGCAAAAGAGCAGGCGTATGTTTTGCAGGTTCTGTCCTTTTTTCACAAGTTAAATCTTTTGGACCTCCATCTTCTTCTAAACCTTGGTCTATGTGTCAATTAACACATGCATGTAAAAATTATTCAAACAGGAGTTCATGACTCTTTTTGGACACATGCGTGTGATGTGGATAAATTAAACAGAATACTACGGGAAAAGTTTGTTGAGCTGTATTCGCAACCGATACTAGAGAATGTAAGTGTAATATGCGTCTCTATGTTCAAATGGTTGAGTATATATGGCATGTGGAAGACTGCTTCATGAACTAGAGTTTGTCTTTTTGCTCTTTTTAACAGTTGCTGGAGAGCTTTGAGCAATCGTTTCCGCATTTAGAGTTTCCTCCTCTGCCTGAACGAGGAGATTTAGATTTAAAAGTGGTGTTAGATTCACCTTATTTCTTCAACTGAAAAAGAAAGCAATGGCTTCCACTAGATTCTCAGACATCTTTCCAAGGTCTCAAGAAACAAGAATGAGAGATTCTTTCAGAACATAGTATCAACCCCAAGGCTTGAGCTTTAGGTGTTAGATGGACGAGAAGAAAGACAAGCTTCTTGCAAGGGCCAGAACAAAAGAAAAGCTTCTGGGTTTATGTACAGAGACGCAGACAGAGAGAACGAGTAGAAGAAATCCTTTGACTTGTGTTCCTATGTGCTGATGAAACCTCCTGGGATAAGAGTAGTAGCTTCTGATCTAAAAGAATCCCGGTTTGGGAGTACCGGCAGCTGGTTAGGAACTATTTGATGTTATGTGTAAACCCGTCGGTACACTGTAGAATAGCAATAACTGTACACACACTCACTACACGAGATGGTTTATTTATTATTAACTGAAGGTGAATTGGTGGAAGTCATTTTTTCCCAGAATATAGATTGAAAATATATTTAATATCGTCAGTTTTTGTTAATTATTTTCCTATATTTCAAAACTAAGCATAGTATTTAGGAGTCTTGTAAAAAATAGTGAAATTAAAAATTTCGTTTTAAATGTGGCCTTCTCTAATTTACTTTCGAGAATCGAGACGTTGACAAAAAATAATTAGTTTCAGACAAAAGATCCCGAGATTGATATTTACTTGTTGTATTTTGTGTGTTTATTTAATTAGAAATCTACCTTAAATTAAATGTTGTTAGATAACAAATGATTTTTATTAAACATCTTCAACGTTAAACAGTTTCGGAAAAAAAGAAACAAAAAAGAAAAGAGGAACGAGGAAGCTCGTCGTCCGTCGATCAAAGAAATTTCAAAGCGATTCTTTTACCGGATCGATGAACTAAACCCTAGAATGGTTTCGTGATTGGTGGTGCTCTCCTTTGGTATTTTCTGGGAATTTGGCGAGATTCAGTCTCATATTCTGTTCGATTCGGGTCTATAAATCTTATTGTTGGAATTTGTAAATAGGGGACAGTTTCGTCTTTGGGGATCTAATCTTGTTGAACGTGATGAAGTCTGGGAGTGCGGCGAAATTGATAGTAGAGGCGCTTCTTCAGCGTTTCCTGCCTCTCGCAAGACGACGAATCGAGACAGCTCAGGCTCAGGTTCGTCTCCTTCTCAATATGCCTTTTTCGTTTTCACACATTTGAATCCACATATTGTCAGTGCTTTAAGGAGTTGGTATCTACAAATTGGGTGGTTTCATTCTCAGTAGTTGAAACTTAGTCTCGAGTACGGTTTACTGGAAGTATTACATTGAATTGGGTATAACAAAAGGAAATGCCGCTGTTCCGACTGCAAATTACTGACTAGTATATGTATTTGTTCTTAAATAGCTCTTGTTAGTGATATGGTTCTTGGTATGATGTTTGCAGGATGGACAGTACCTTCGTCCATCAGATCCTGCTTATGAGCAGGTGTTGGATTCATTGGCTATGATTGCGCGTCATACACCTGTTCCTCTTTTAGAAGCTCTTCTTAGGTGGAGGGAAAGGTGGGTAAATTGTTATTCCTCTCTGTTAACAATTAGATGGTATCTGGCTCTTGTCCATATGAAATACGTCTAAATGACCTTGTCTCCCACGGGCTATTATTTCTGCATTTTGCATTATGTTAGCTTTGAGTCATTGAGCTTCTATGTTCCAGTGTTGCTTTTGGACTCTTTGGTGCATTATCATAATTCTTATGTGGACTATCACTTTTTCTTCTTATAGGTGAAGTTATTGACTATTTGTTATCTACGACTGGGCGAAGCCACTTCTCTAGACCATTACTAATATGGTGTTTGTTTGTGGCTTGCAGTGAATCACCTAAAGGTGCAAATGATGCATCGACTTTCCAGAGAAAGGTATTTTCTTTTGACTCTTCAGAGGAACAATTCCTCGGGTTTTTAGTAACTATGTACACTAGATCCAACAGACCAGACTGTTATACTCTTATTTCTCTGTTTCTTAGTACTCTTACCTCCATTTAAGAACGCTAATATTAATGGCTTATTTAATCAAGTTTCGAAATTGGTTTTCATTTTTCTAATGTATGGTTTTACATTACTGGAATCAGTTGGCTGTGGAGTGCATCTTCTGCTCAGCTTGCATTCGCTTTGTGGAGTGTTGCCCGCAGGAAGGGCTCACTGGTTTGTTAGTCTCTCTATTTAGTTTCTTTTCAACAAAATGCGGTTACTGCCTTGCTAAAAGAAGAGCATTTTTCGTGAATGGCAGAGAAGCTATGGTCTGGACTTGAGAACTTTGTTTTTGATTGGCTAATCAACGCTGACAGGTAGTGATTTCAGAATCTGGAATGGTTGAATTTTATATGATTCGCTAAACAGTATGCCTTTATCCTTTGGCATGCTTTTTTCGAGTTGTAAAAAGCTAAATTGCTTAAGATCTGGGTGCTCCTCTGTTACAGGGTTGTTAGCCAAGTGGAATACCCATCGCTGGTCGATTTGAGGGGTCTCCTTCTTGACTTGGTTGCTCAACTCCTGGGTGCACTATCCCGTATTAGGTAATTCATTTTGTAATGTAGTTGGTATCAATCCTCCAAGTATGCTAAAGTATAAATGAAAAAAAAGGTGGACTACATTCACAAATTTTGTTTGTAGAAAAGAACTTGTAAAAGTGGTGATCTATTTTGAGCCGCAACCTCAACCACTCTAATTCATTTATTACTTTTATTTTTCACTAACAGATTCAGCTCTGTCACGGAGCGGTTTTTCATGGAACTCAATACTCGCCGGATTGATACAAGTGTTGCAAGAAGTGAAACTCTCAGCATCATTAATGGGATGCGATACTTGAAGCTTGGGGTATGTCTCAGATATCTTAGAAAATGCAGGCTTCAGGAAGTGAACGTGACATTATGTTTATTTCCAGGTTAAGAGTGAGGGTGGGTTGAATGCGTCTGCCTCCTTTGTAGCAAAAGCAAACCCTCTTATCCGTGATATACACAAACGTAAAAGTGAGCTTTATCATGCGCTTTGCAATATGCTTTCTAACATTTTGGCGCCACTTTCCGATGGTGGCAAAAGCCAGTGGCCTCCTTCAGTTGCAGAGCCTGCACTGACACTCTGGTATGAGGCTGTGGGACGCATTAGAGTGCAGCTAATCCAGTGGATGGAGAAACAGAGTAAACATCTTGGTGTACGTCAATCTGAATTAATATCGCTTTTGCATGTCTTCCTTGTGATTTCAGTCCTGAACATGTATAATTGGATGAATAGGTTGGCTATCCGCTTGTGAGTCTTCTTCTCTGTCTCGGTGACCCACTTATATTTCATCATAATTTAAGCTCTCACATGGAACAACTGTACAAGCTTCTGAGAGTAAGTTTGCCTGTATTCAGAATTTAAATTAAGTAAGAATGCATGAAAACAAGTGTCACGTCCCACACCCTGATGTGCACTTGCAGCTTCTTTTTTTAAGTATGTTGAGCATCTGTGATTACATTGTTCTTTTTTAAGCTTGTTCTTGGTAATATATATATCTTGGTTTCACTCATTATAGAGCATACTGCGCCTTATATGCAGGATAAGAACCATCGCTACATGGCACTTGATTGTCTTCACCGGGTGTTGAGGTTTTATTTGAGTGTCTATGCTTCCTCCCAACCACCAAATCGTATATGGGATTACTTGGATAGTGTGACATCACAATTGCTAACAGTTCTGAGAAAAGGAATGCTCACTCAGGATGTCCAACAAGATAAACTAGTTGAGTTCTGTGTGACCATAGCTGAACATAACCTTGACTTCGCTATGAATCACATGTTACTAGAACTGTTAAAACAAGATAGTCCAAGCGAAGCAAAGATTATTGGTCTTCGTGCTTTGCTTGCCCTCGTTATGTCACCTTCAAGCCAGTATGTTGGGTTGGAGATATTTAAGGGTAACCCGTTAACCTGAATTAGGTTGTTAGTAGGTCTCAGTAAGCTTTTCCTTTCATACACTTAACTTTTCTTAGTGTTCACTTAACAGGTCATGGAATAGGCCATTACATACCTAAGGTGAAAGCAGCAATTGAGTCAATTTTAAGATCCTGCCACAGGACCTATAGTCAAGCTCTTCTAACATCATCGAGGACTACAATAGGTAAATTTGGTTTTACGCAAAAACTTAGTCTGATGTACATGGTTTTGCGAGGAGGTTAAAAAATCTCTATATGATGTGTGTATTTAAGGGTGATAGTGTTTCTGATTTTGTACTAGGATCCTCTGGCTAGTACTTTCTCCTGAAAACTTTTTTTTGCTAACCTTCATGTCAGATGCTGTGAATAAAGAAAAGTCTCAAGGGTCTCTCTTCCAGTCAGTGCTGAAGTGCATACCTTATCTAATTGAGGAAGTTGGTCGGAGTGATAAGATCACGGAAATAATACCTCAGCACGGTATAAGTATTGATCCTGGAGTTCGAGTGGAAGCAGTGCAAGTTCTGAACCGGATTGTTAGATACCTTCCTCATCGTCGTTTTGCAGTCATGAGAGGGATGGCAAACTTCATCTTAAAGCTTCCTGATGAATTCCCACTCCTCATTCAAGCATCACTAGGACGCCTGTTGGAACTCATGCGTTTCTGGAGGGCTTGTTTAGTAGATGACAGACAAGATACTGATGCTGAGGAAGAAAAGAAAACAGCAAAGGCAAATGATAGGTTCAAGAAATTATCTTTTCATCAAGCAGCAGATGCAATTGAGTTTCGCGCTGCTGATATTGATGCTGTTGGGCTAATTTTTCTTAGTTCAGTCGACAGCCAGATTCGGCACACTGCGCTAGAATTATTGCGATGTGTACGTGCATTGAGAAATGATATTCGGGATCTCATGATTCAAGAGCACCCAGACCATGTTATGAAATTTGAAGCTGAACCCATATACATGATCGATGTCTTAGAAGAACATGGGGTAAGTACCTTCTGTGTATATCTCACCATTTCAGAGGCTCTTACATTTTTAGCCTTTTGGTTGGTTATGGTTTAAAACCGTCTGGCTTTGTAGAAAATTTAAGATTTGTATCCTTTTTTTCTTTCACATAATAGGATGATATTGTTCAAAGTTGCTACTGGGATTCTGCCCGTCCTTTTGATTTAAGACGAGATTCCGATGCCATTCCTTCTGATGTGACTCTTCAATCCATAATCTTTGAGAGCCTTGATAAAAACAAATGGGGTCGGTGTCTCAGCGAGCTTGTTAAATATGCTGCTGAGCTCTGCCCACGCTCTGTTCAAGAAGCCAAGTAAGTATATTTCTTAGCTGCATTATCTTCGGTGTGTTTGCTCCAAGTATATTTTCCTAGCTACATCATCCTTTCCTTGGTGTGTTTTCTTGAGTCTTCTCTGACCGTCAACACTGTCCTACCAGTCTATAAGGATTAAAGTAGGCTTTATGGATCAACAAGCCTTCAGTTCATGCCCTAGTTTAACGTGCAGATAAAATTTCACTTTACTGTGGGAATTTTAAAATCTATTTATAAAGCACTAGCGCTTTTTGCACAAATTTTTTTTTGTCTCATTTTATTAACATACCTCTTTTGCTATTCTTAATAACATGAAAGAAACTAAAGTGCCCTTTTCATTTCCAGGTCTGAAATTATGCACCGCCTTGCCCATATTACACCGGTTGAGTTTGGTGGAAAGGCAAGCCAGTCACAAGATACAGATAACAAACTGGATCAATGGCTTCTGTATGCTATGTTTGTGTGTTCGTGTCCACCTGATGGCAAAGATGCGGGTAGCATTGCATCAACTAGAGACATGTACCACCTTATTTTCCCTTATCTCAGATTTGGGTCAGAAACCCACAACGTAAGTTTTTTTTGTGTCTCTGCATTTTTAGTTTGAAGTTGGTAGTTTTATCAGTATTTTAAACCCACTTGTCTTGTTAGGTTAATGTGGTTTTGGTTGAATCTTTTCTGCTAGATAAGTTCTTAAACAATCTTTACTTTATACTTCCTCGCATGTAGCATGCTGCGACTATGGCTCTTGGGCGCTCGCATTTGGAAGCATGTGAAATTATGTTTAGCGAGCTTGCATCTTTCATGGAGGAGATTTCATCAGAGACAGAGACGAAGCCAAAGTGGAAGGTATATACTTGTGCAAAAATCATGTAGATTACTTTCTTTCAGAATCCTACAGCATTCACTATGCAACTGCTGGGCTGCACAGAGTTACGGTTGTACTGCATATCACTTTAGAAACATTAGAAAACTTCCTTCTCAATCTCAATTCACAAAAAGGGTACCTAAGCAAAAAAATTGAAAAAACGTGAGAACAAGTAAGGGAAATCTCATGGATGAAAAGTACTAGAAGTCGCTGTCATTATTTGTACCCTCTATGTGGCTTTATTGAGCTTCATTTTGAATCATTAGAGTTGAGGGAACGGAAGTATCCAGTATTTTCTCACGTAAGGGCTGCTTACGGATGTTGAACTACTAACCAGATTTTGCCGAGTATTTCCCTGAATATGAAATTAATGACCGTCTGGTTCCTCTTCACCATTTTTGTTACATTGAATTTTCAGCTGGGTAATTAATATTGAGACTTGACACTAAAAAGATGTGTTCCAATGATATGAATGCAGATCCAAAAAGGAGGTCGCAGAGAGGACCTTCGTGTTCATGTTTCTAATATATATCGAACAGTGTCTGAGAATGTCTGGCCTGGAATGCTTGCTCGTAAACCAGTTTTCCGCCTCCATTATCTGCGGTTTATTGAAGATTCAACAAGACAGATATCGTTAGCACCTCATGAAAGCTTTCAGGACATGCAGCCTCTGCGCTATGCACTTGCATCTGTTTTAAGATTCCTTGCCCCTGAATTTGTTGAATCAAAATCAGAGAAATTTGATGTTAGAAGTAGGAAACGTCTATTCGATCTGCTTCTTTCCTGGTCTGATGATACGGGAAGTACGTGGGGACAGGATGGTGTTAGTGATTATCGCCGTGAAGTAGAGCGCTATAAGACCTCGCAGCATAACCGGTCAAAAGATTCTGTAGACAAGATTTCTTTTGACAAGGAACTGAATGAGCAAATTGAAGCCATACAGTGGGCCTCATTGAATGCAATGGCTTCCCTTCTGTATGGACCGTGTTTTGATGACAATGCAAGAAAAATGAGCGGCCGTGTGATATCTTGGATAAATAGTTTGTTCATCGAGCCTGCTCCCAGGGTCCCTTTTGGTTACTCGCCTGCTGATCCAAGAACTCCATCTTACTCCAAATACACAGGAGAAGGTGGACGAGGGGCAACAGGCCGTGATAGGCATCGAGGCGGTCATCAACGTGTTGCGTTGGCAAAATTGGCTCTGAAGAATCTTCTACTTACAAACTTGGATCTCTTTCCAGCCTGCATTGATCAGGTAAAGTTTCTCTGACTGAATGCATGGAAGTTGTGTTTAATTATACTGTCATCGTGGTAATTATTAGATCAAATGTTTTATATATCTTGACCAATGATGACAACTTATCCATGCAGTGATGGTTTCCGTGTCAGATAGATTTGTTTTATTAGCTCCAGTTTAAGCATCTGAATTCTTTTGATAAGCTTTCTTCACTTCTATGCTTTGCTCATCTGTGTGACTCCGTCCTTAATTAGACTCTTCTAAACTGCATGACCTAATTTATCTGTGCTTTTCCCAGTGTTACTACTCTGATGCGGCTATAGCTGATGGGTACTTCAGTGTGTTGGCTGAGGTTTACATGCGACAAGAAATACCAAAATGTGAAATCCAGAGGCTCTTGAGTCTAATTCTCTACAAGGTAGTCGATCCATCTAGACAAATTCGCGATGATGCTCTTCAGATGCTTGAGACACTTTCTATGCGTGAGTGGGCTGAGGATGGTATAGAAGGTTCAGGAGGCTATAGAGCAGCAGTTGTAGGTAATCTTCCAGATTCATATCAACAGTTCCAGTACAAGCTCTCCTGCAAACTCGCCAAGGATCATCCTGAGTTAAGCCAGCTGCTTTGTGAAGAAATTATGCAGCGTCAGCTTGATGCTGTTGATATAATTGCTCAGCATCAGGTCTTGACCTGTATGGCTCCATGGATTGAGAACCTTAATTTCTGGAAACTCAAGGATTCGGGTTGGAGTGAAAGATTACTGAAAAGTCTTTACTATGTCACATGGCGACATGGGGATCAATTCCCTGATGAAATTGAAAAACTTTGGAGTACCATTGCTAGTAAGCCCAGAAACATCAGCCCTGTATTGGATTTCTTGATCACAAAGGGAATTGAGGACTGTGATTCAAATGCATCTGCCGAAATAACTGGTGCATTTGCTACATATTTTTCAGTTGCTAAACGTGTAAGTTTGTACCTAGCACGGATATGTCCTCAGCGTACTATTGATCACCTGGTTTACCAACTGTCACAGCGGATGCTGGAAGACAGTATTGAACCCATTGGTTATAGTGCAAACCGGGGTGATTCCAATGGAAACTTTGTGCTGGAGTTCTCTCAAGGACCTGCCACAGCACCTCAAGTTGCTTCAGTTGCAGACAGCCAACCACATATGTCACCACTTCTTGTCCGTGGCTCCCTTGATGGTCCCCTTAGGAATACAAGTGGAAGTCTAAGCTGGAGAACAGCAGGCATGACTGGGCGAAGTGCTTCTGGGCCTTTAAGTCCAATGCCTCCTGAGTTGAATATTGTTCCTGTAGCTACTGGTCGTTCTGGTCAGCTCCTGCCATCATTGGTGAATGCATCAGGACCTTTAATGGGAGTTCGTAGCTCTACAGGAAGTTTGAGGAGCCGCCATGTCTCTCGTGATAGTGGAGATTACCTCATCGATACACCAAATTCTGGAGAAGATGTGTTGCATTCTGGGATCGCAATGCACGGCGTCAATGCAAAGGAACTTCAATCAGCTTTGCAGGGACATCAACAGCATTCACTCACTCATGCCGATATAGCTCTGATTCTTCTTGCAGAAATCGCATATGAGAATGATGAAGATTTTAGGGAACATCTGCCTTTGCTCTTCCACGTCACTTTTGTTTCGATGGATAGCTCTGAAGACATTGTGCTAGAGCATTGTCAACATTTGCTTGTGAATTTGTTGTACTCACTAGCGGGTCGGCATTTGGAGCTATATGAGGTGGAGAACAGTGATGGAGAGAATAAACAACAGGTTGTAAGTTTAATTAAGTATGTGCAATCAAAACGAGGAAGCATGATGTGGGAGAATGAAGATCCAACGGTTGTGAGAACAGATCTTCCTAGTGCCGCTCTTTTGTCTGCACTTGTTCAGAGTATGGTTGATGCTATATTCTTCCAAGGAGATCTTCGAGAAACTTGGGGAACTGAAGCTCTCAAATGGGCTATGGAATGCACGTCTAGACATCTAGCATGTCGGTCACACCAAATATACCGTGCGCTTCGGCCAAGTGTGACAAGTGATGCATGTGTCTCCCTTCTACGCTGTCTTCATCGATGTCTTAGCAATCCCATTCCTCCAGTTTTGGGTTTTATTATGGAAATCCTTCTGACGCTACAAGTCATGGTAGAGAACATGGAGCCAGAGAAAGTCATACTCTACCCACAGCTCTTCTGGGGCTGTGTCGCCATGATGCACACAGACTTCGTCCATGTCTATTGCCAGGTTCTTGAGCTTTTCTCCCGTATTATTGACCGTCTATCATTTCGTGACAAAACAACTGAAAATGTACTCTTGTCAAGTATGCCTCGGGATGAATTCAACACTAATGATTTGGGGGAATTCCAAAGGTCAGAATCTAGAGGGTACGAGATGCCGCCGTCAAGTGGAACTCTTCCAAAGTTCGAAGGTGTACAACCTCTTGTCCTCAAAGGACTGATGTCTACTGTTAGCCACGAGTTCTCTATTGAGGTCCTATCAAGGATTTCAGTGCCTTCATGTGACTCTATATTTGGCGATGCTGAGACAAGACTCCTTATGCATATCACAGGTCTACTTCCTTGGCTTTGCTTGCAGCTGAGCCAAGACCAAGTCATGATTTCTGCGTTACCACTCCAGCAGCAGTATCAAAAGGCATGTTCTGTGGCAACTAACATTGCTGTCTGGTGTCGGGCGAAATCACTCGATGAATTGGCTACAGTTTTTGTTGCATATGCTCGTGGGGAGATTAAAAGAGTTGAAAATCTCCTTGCATGTGTCTCTCCTCTGCTCTGCAACAAATGGTTCCCGAAACACTCAGCTTTAGCTTTCGGTCACTTGTTAAGACTGCTAAAAAAAGGACCAGTGGATTACCAGCGAGTCATATTACTTATGCTCAAGGCATTGCTCCAACACACTCCCATGGATGCTTCGCAGAGTCCCTACATGTACACAATCGTTTCGCAGCTAGTCGAAAGCACTCTGTGTTGGGAGGCACTGAGTGTTCTCGAAGCTCTTCTTCAGAGCTGCAGCCCGGTACAAGGGGGCACCGGTGGATCCCACCCTCAAGATTTCAGTTACTCTGAAAACGGGGCTGATGAGAAAACGCTTGTACCTCAGACTTCTTTTAAAGCCCGAAGCGGACCCCTTCAGTACGCAATGATGGCTGCAACAATGTCGCAACCTTTCCCTCTCAGTGCAGCTGCAGCAGAGTCAGGGATACCTCCGAGAGATGTGGCTTTGCAGAACACAAGGCTAATGTTGGGCCGGGTTCTTGATAATTGCGCTCTAGGAAGAAGAGATTACAGAAGATTGGTGCCTTTTGTCACAACGATCGCAAACATGTAACATTTTCAGTAAAGTTTTGCAATTTTTTTGGTTATTTGTATGATTTTCAGAAGTTTTAAAGAAGCAATGTGTTTGTGTGTGAATAGTTTGGTGTCGTAGCAACTAACTTGTATGGTCGTGGTTAGTAGAGTTCCAATGTATTCCAAACATAAGGAAAGATTTATTTGTTACTTTATCATAATTATGATCGCGAAGAACTAATAGATGGTGAAGTCAACCAAAATTGTAATATTATCAAGTACAATTTTAACATGTAAATTCCTCGTTCCTTTTTATTATCACAACAACTATTCACATTATAGAGTTGTCGAAATTATAACTTTAGTCTACAACAATCTAACACTCTCTACGTAATCTGGAAAAACCATTGCTCTTCTAGAACGATACATGAACGCTGAGGATGCTTCAACCTTAGTGCGTCTAAAACTATTCTTGTGGGGATGGTAATGGAAGACATAAATCTCATGATCATAGTATGGTGATGTGAAAATAAACTCACCCGTCTGAGTAGTGTGGCCTTTGAGGCGTACAGACAAAAATAAGTTCTCCCAAGGCTCAAGACTGAAAGTTATTAATTTCTTCAAGCATTCATGTTTTTCAGAATCCTGATCTATAATCCACACAACATATGTATATAATGTGGTTTCAGTTGGTATGGCTACCTTCCCCTCGTAGTTTATCAAAGTGTCAATATCAGAACTTGGAGGTCGAATCTCTTCAGGCAAACTAGTAAATAGATCCAAATTTTCAGACCTCAAATCAAATCTCATTATGCACAGATGCAACATCCCCGACCCCGTTTTAGCAACATAATACACAACACTATCTATGCACAAACCGTTAGAGCAAGGACGGTGAGGAATGCTACAATCTATCATTTTCCATGATTTCTTTTTAGCTCCCAATGTGAATACTTGATGTTGAGATGACTCATCCCTTTGATCACCATACGATTTTACCGTCATGCACAACACTTTGTATCGATCACTAACAGAATCATACCCGAAAAAGCTATTTGCTATCGTTCTCCTGGTTTTGACTCTTGGTAAAGTTATGGATGTACCTGTGCTAGGGTTAGCCACGATTTGCATTGGACCATATCCAAGGCTTATCAACCCATTGACATGATGTTGATCATAGTACTGTTCATAGTTATATGGGAATGGGAGCGGACATGTCACACGTGATACAAGAGACGTTGATGAGGAAGACTGCGAGAAGAAGTGCCATTCGTGTTGACCCCTTTTGAAATCTGCTTCACTAGAAGCAATTAGGGTACGAGGCTTCGACGAAGATCCACACGGGTAACATCTGATGAAATCTGGACTGCGTATAGTTGTTGCCCATGACTTGGATACCGTAAGAAACCTAGCTACAGATTTCACAGGCAATCTCGCAAGAATCTCGATCACTAGGTCACGGGGGATTTCATCAAACTTGTTTCTCTCTTCCGAAGTTTCTGGATTGCTGATCACGGTTTTGGTCTTTTTGTTGCGTCTTCTCATGATCGATCGCTCTGGTTTCGAAACCCTAGATTTCTCTGTCAACTCTTTCGTTTGCTCTTTTTCTAGCTGAGTAATAATAATTGAAGGTTTATAATTAAAGCCTTTAAAGGAGCAGGCCCGTACCAAATATACCAATGGGCTTTTTTATACCCGACTGGTAAAGTGGATCTTACCTAACCGGGTCCTGTCTTCACGGATATGCATCCTTTTGCACAAATTGGGTAAACAAGGAGTGTAAATAAGTCGTTGTCGCTCGTGGACTCATAGTGAATTCATATAAAATATATCTTAAACCATAGGCATAGAAACTAGAAAGTAATTTCGAGTGGAAGGCTCTCTCTCTTCTCTCTCCCAAATCTTTTAGAGAGAGGAGGCGACTTGTTCTTCTTTTTGGCCGTCCGGTTTGTTATCCGGCTCTTGCCTATCAACTATCGGCTCATATAGCGATGGTTGGATAGTTCTTTGTCTGGCATCGATCGGTTCTCGCGACGATGGCTAGCTTTAGGTTCTCTTCGGCGTAGTCCGATCTTCTCTTCTTTCCATGCTTTCTATCACGGTACTTTTGCCGTTGATTATTTTCAGTTTTTTCTCTTTGGATCTGTGATGGTGGTAGCGGATTTCGCTCAACAGTGTCTCTTTGCGATTTACGAAAACTATCTATGAGCTTTGCGAATTCAGTTGAAGATATGAAGCACTTTCCTCAGCATATTATCAAATTGCCTTTAGCTGTTAATTGTTTTTAGAGATTCGATTGGTTTTAATCAACAGTTTCTGGAGTAATTGGATTTATTCTCTTGTTGAGTTTAATTATTCCGATGTATTTCCATGTTGCTGTTTTGCTATTGCTGGTGAAAAACAGATGATCTACCGACGATTTACTTACGACGGTGGTTTCTTCACCGGAAAATCGATATCTCCGATGGCGAAGGATGACGATGGGAATCTTTCTTTTGCTCATCTTACACGTGTATTATTACGTGTCTTTGGGTGATCTTTATTGATCCAATCTTCTGCTGTAACGGTGCATTATTGGGCTCTACCTGGGCTTGCTTTTGTTTCGTAATCCATTTAGTGTTGGGCTTTCCTTGGCCTTGTAACAAATAAGTTTATTGAATAAAATCCATCATTGAGAAAAAAAAAAAAAAAGAAACTAGAAAGTTGTTTTAGAAGAAAAAAATGGTGATATTGCTTATGAAATAAAATTGATTAATCAACAGAGTAATCAACGAAACAAACAAAAAAAAAGATTATGGGTATCAAAACCATGAAAATGTCTTCTCTCCTATAACAACCTAACACTCTCTACGTAATCCGAAAAAACAAATGCAAGTTTCTGATGATTAAAATATTTCTGGACTCCGGGTGCTTGAATCGTAATCTTTCTAAAACTATTCAAGTCGGGATTGTAATGGAAGACATAAAACGAATCATAATAGTGCGTTGGTGCCAAAATAAACTCACCCGTAGGAGTAGTGCCTGTGACGACTAGATAACATGAACCCTTCCAATTAGGTTTAATAGTGAAACTTATTTTCTTCAACCATTCAAGTTTTCCACCTTCTTGATTCATAACCCACACATCACATGTATTATGTGTAGGGCGAGTGGGTATGGCTACTTTCCCCTCGTAGTTTATCAAAAGGCAATCATATAGACTTGTTTCAATCTCTTCAGGTAAACTAGTTAAAAGATCCAAATCGTCAGACTTCAAATCAAATCTCATTATGCTCAGCTGCAACATTCCCTCCCCCGTTTTAGCAATGTAATACACAACACCATTTATGCACACACCGTTCCAAGACCATGGACGGTGAGGGATGCTACAATTTATCATTTTCCATGATTTCTTTTTAGCTCCCAATGTGTACACTTGATGTTGAGATGATGCTTCTTCCGGATGGCCACGCAGTCTTTCCGTCATGCACAACACTTTGTATTGATCACTAACTGAGTCATACCCGAAAAGACTTCTTACGAGCTTTCTCCTTGTTCTAGGTTTTGGTAAAGTTATGAACTTACCATTGATGGGGTTGGTTACGATTTGCTCTGTACCATATCCAACGCTTATCAATCCATTAACATGATGGTAATAGTACTCCATGTGACGAGGATATGTGAACGGACATGTCACACGTGATAGAAGAGACGTTGATGTTGTTGATGATGGTGAAGACGGCCTGAAGAAGTGCACATTTGGGTTTGGTTCCTTATAATTTAAGTCACAAGCGATTAGGGTACGAGGCTTCGACGAAGATCCAAGCGGGTAAGATTTGATGAAATCTGGACTGCGGATAGTTGTTGCCCATAACTTGGATACAGTGAGAAACCTAGCTACAGATTTCGCAGGCAATCTCCCAAGAATCTCGATCACTAGGTCATGAGGGATTTCATCAAACTTGATTCTCTCTTCTGACGTTTGTAGATCCTTGTTGTTCTCGGTTTTGCTCTTTTTGCTGCATCTTCTCATGATCGATCGCTCTTGTTTCGAAACCCTAGATTTATCTCTCTACCCCAGCTGAGTAATAAAAATGGTGACAATGTTTATAAAGGAGCAGATCCGTACGAAATAACCTACCCGACTGTTAAAGCATGGTTCTTACGTAACCCGGGTCCGGTCTTCACGGATATGCATCGGTTCATAATGGGCTTGACCGGGTCGGGTCTTCAGGGTTTGGTTCTCAGGATCTTGCAAAAACATATTAACATTTCGGTTTATTAATTGAGATATACCTGGCTATGATAGGTTGATCAAAATATCGACCAATTGTGAAACTCTGCTCTTTCTTTTGTAAAAAGCTCTCCGAAAAGCAATTCAACTTGTTTTGTCTACAAACAATTCCTTATACCATATAAAGCCAAAACATACCTACGATAATGGATGATTAATGGAAAAAAAAATACAAATTGCAAACACTTATGAAAGGTTTTTTTATTAATGAAACAAAGAAAAAAGCTCAGAAAATAGTACTACAAATCCACCACTGTTTATAAATAAACCGGTGATATTTAAACCAAATGCAAGAACCATAACCGGACAATGAGAAAGTACTGATGATGAAAACTACTCAAATGTGTAAAAAAAGCAAGAAAGGTTCATAAAATCCGAAATTTAAAAGTAAAGATAATTTGAGCTAAAATAACCAAAACTGTGGTGGTTTTTTTCTTTTTGGCTCATACTGCTCAAGCTTTGCCATTGGCTGCTGGTGGGTTAAGCTCATCCCAAGCTTCAATCCATGTAACCATGGCGTCTGCAAGCTTGTCAAAGTACGGGTCTAAGGAACTCAACTTCTCCTTCACCAACTTTGAGAGCTCAATGTAGCATTGCTGAACAGTTACTGCTTCTTTCGATAGCTTTGCGTTCTGGAAGAACGGAATGATCTCCTCCTGCCAGAAGATTCCCTTGTATTCCTTCTTCAAGTTCACAAAAGGGTTGCTCGCCTTGCTGTGGTAGATATACGGCAAACCGGTCTTCACTCCCAAACTCAAGTGGTCACAGATCACCTATAAAAGATTCAATCCCAAATAGAGGTAATGCTAAGTACAGAGCATGTGTTTCATATTTAGCTATACTATTCATATCCGTAAATTTAAGTTGTTCCAGTCAATCATGAGTCTTAAAAGGGAATAAGAAGAAATTACCTTGATGCACCAACCAGCCCACATATCGTCGTAGCGACCAATAGGCTGACCATCACCCATGAGACCAAAGTACAT